TGTGTGTATGTGTGTGGTGTTGTCTAATTCAAACTTGTCTGGAGCCAGTGGATGAACATATTTTATACTCAGTTGAGAGATTTTTACCAGGACACATAAAGGCAGCAGGGTGCATAATTAGGTATGCCTGCCATCTGCATAGCCCTCCAGGTGCAAGAGGCATTAGCTTTATTTAATACTACCACAATATTAATTTTACTCCATTAATTTATGTCATTTGTCCTTATTTCAAAATCATGTTGCCAAAAATCACCTATTTGAGGCAATGACCCAGTTCTGGTTTTAGTGAGAGACTCATGAACAAAATCTTAACCTCATTAGCTATAAATATTCCTAAGAACAGGAATTGTCTAGCTTGCTTTCACTTTATGAAAGGAGTCTGTAAACAGAACCTTCTTGATTTGGGTATAACAGAGTTTTTCCAAAGAGAATAAAGGGTAGGTGACAAAGCTCTACAATATTGTGAATACATAATGAAAAATGTATTTCCTTTCAGTTCCTTTAAGTCCAGGAAAAAGTGTCCACTGAGTTATTAAAACAAATCTAACATTCACAATCCTAAAAAAGAGAGCAGATTTCAAGTTTTGATAATTGGTAGGCAATAGTAACTGACAGAATTTAATAAATGCTGTTTTCTCATACTTAATTTACATTTATGACCATTTAAAGTTAGAGAGATACAATTTCTCCTTTAAGCACAATTAAGATTAAAAATTAGTCTTTCTTAATGAAAACTATTTAGTAACTAATGGTAGAGTTATAGGAGAATAAGGGAAGATGAACATTATATGCAATCAAAAAGTTTGTATGAACCCAAGTTCAAAAGATAAAGACATGATTACACAAAAATGAAAACTGAAAGCTATTTAAAGCTATTGAACGTACTTTAACTCTGTCTTTTTAGGATAGGACTTATAAAATAATATTACAAATTCTGGATAATCCTGTGCATGAAATTACATACAATTAACCTATTTTAATTTTCTAAAGAAGGGTAAATCTATAAGCTTTATTGAACAGAATGACATACCTTTAGATTAATGAAATTTAGAGGAGTGAAATTTTGTATGCCAGGTATTTTTAGACTCAAAAGAGAACAATCACAATTTCAAGTTCACCAATGATGTGGAAAAATCATGTTTTCCAAAGGAAGATTGCACTTCTTTCTGAATACATGCACACAAGGAGAAGGGTAGTGAAAGGATCACAAAGTAATCATAAATGCCAAGCTTCCTCAAAAAAATTGTCCAATGTTAAACAAGTTGAAATTCCCTCAAAGAAGCTACCTAAAGCAGTCTTCTGATGGTAGTACTTTTGGAAACTTGAAGAACTATTTTCAGTGACAGAATTCTCAGATTATCACAGATTGGTAATCTCCTTAATTGCTTTTAAGGTGTATTATTGAAGGATAAATTTATTATACATATTTTTCTAATTTACATTAAAATAACAAGGAACATCTATATTTGAAGGGGAAAGAAGGTGCAATGTTAAGTATACAAAAATCATTTTAAAGAACATTTGCTTTAAGTAGTTTTCATTTAAAATTTTTCTTGCCAACAATTTTATTTTTCCTCTTAAAGTAACCGAGGGTAATACCACCTTACAAATAACTCCATTCAGAAAGGGGCAAAGTTAAATATTAATTCCTTGTGGACAAAGTTGAAGAATGTCTTTGCACAAGTCAAATGCATTCCAGAACACTTGTCACTGATATGAAAAAACACACCAGGATTGTTGAAAGAAGGTGATGATAGTTTTGATACTTCCACACATCCACCTATTTACTCCTGTCTCCCTGCAGGCATCCTTTCAACTTCTTCACTCACTTTGACAGAGATCTAAAGAACGGTACTCCCACCCTGCATGGTATTCTCAGACAATAAACTAGTTGCCCAGATCTAAGGGAATTTAATACACTATACCTCACAGGAGGGAAGAGGTCCCTTTGCTTCAAATCTCTCAAAATCTGCTCTATCAAAATTCTTAAAATGAAAAAAACATAACACCCCTTATTCTCTTTCATGAATTTCAATTTTGTTATGCTTTCAACTTCATCTCTGATGCATAGGATTCTATGAACTCATTAACGTCACCTTGCTACTCCTGTTGCTACTTGCCAGTCTGTGCGGAAGTTAAAAATACTACTATCATCACCATCATTATCATCATTCTGGAAGGGTCACAAAGAATACAAGAAAAATATGCAATTGTTCAGTGTGACTTATACTGAACCTACTGTGGTAACCCAGTCTTGAGTTGTACATGGTATTATCACTACGGGAGTCTTCACTCTTTGTTTACTTTTTCCTTGAGCACAGAGAACTCTTACATTGCCAAGAAATAATAATATAGAAGGCATTAAGTCTTTGTCACATCTCTCCAATCTGAGGAATCCATATACTTCTCAATCTTTTGCTCCCTCTTTCTCTTCTTCTATTTCCTTCCCTCTCTCCCTCCCTCCTCTTTCATGTGCTTTGACTTTATTAATTAGTAGCAATTAAGGAGGAAAACTTTTCTCTAGTGTTTTTATATCCCTATAGTTGCACTTCTATCACTATTTTATTTTTATTTTATTGTTACAACAGAAATTTGTTCTGGAGGTCAGAAATCCAAAATTAAGGTAGCAGCAAGACCAAGTTTCTTCCAAAGACCCTACAGAAAAATCCTCCAGCTTTTGGTATCCACAGGGGTTCCTCAGGTTTGTAATTTTGCCCTTGTCTTGACATGGCCTTCCTTCTCAGTTTATGCCTTCGTGTGGCCTTCTTTTAAGGATTTAGGGCCTAGAGTAATCCAGCATGATCTCACCTCAATTTAACTAATTATATTCATAAAGACCCCATTTTTTTTTCTCTCTTTAAAGAGATGTGGTGAGAGGAGGATGATTTTCCAGAGACAGAGTGGGGAGCAGAACAGGCAGACTGACTGAAATTCACTGCTGAGGGGAGCAGCAGGTGAGACAGGAGAGGTCTGCTGCGCCATGTGGGTTGCTCCCTGGCTGGCCTGGAATTGAACTTGAGCTGCAGAGGCTGTGGATTGCTTCATTGTGTGGTGCTTAACCCCTTGCGCCCCCAGGGAGGCCCCACAAAAACCCCATTTCCAAAATAGGTCATATTTTGAGTTTCCCAGTGGACATTAATTTTGAGAGAACTGTACACAGTATAGACATTCAACAGTTGTTCTCATTGGGGTACTCCCACTTATTTACTCATACCTTAATTTTGTTGGCTGAGTTGCCTCTCGAGTCTGCTGCAGTGTTCTTCATAAAAATGCTCGCTAATTAAAACATAAAAGATGGGGGCCTCCCCTGGTGGTGCAGCAGTTGAGCACTGGGCTGCAAGGCTGCCCGCAGCCTTTGCAGCGCTGGTTTGTTCCCCAGCCACCAGCGAGGGTCCCACAAAAAAAACAAAAAACACATAAAAGATGGTAGCTCAGTTTCTAGCAACTTACCATGAGAGGATTATGACATATCTTCATGATGGATTTAAGTGATGACTAAGAATGTTGATGTGTCACTGGGATACTGAAATGAACTGTTACACCAAGTACCTTGGTTGGGGGAAATACAATATATCCTAAATTACTGCAATATGTAATTTTGCCTATTCATTTTATATAACTAAGAATCACAGAATTCTTATATTTTAGAAACAGATACAAGCTTTGAGATAAAATAAACTATAGTTTTATGGATGAAATGAATCAGAAGGAATATCCATTAGCCAATTGGGGCACAACTAGCAGAACAAGGTTCCTAATTCCTTGCTCAGTGTTGAAGTCAGACTTTTCATGTTTATTAATATAATTTCCATTATGAATTTTTTCCACTTGAACACACTTTAGTTCTTGAAAACAAAATATTATTACATTAAACGAATCTCAGATAAATATATACAGGTGAATATTCCTTCTACAAAGTAGTTTCTCTTTTTGTGTTCCATGAAGAATGTATGAATCGTTGGTATTAGTAAAAATTCTGGACTTAAACAATATTGAGCCTTTCATAATCATGTTGTCCAAAGTTCCTCAGCTGTAACTATGGATACCATATGTTCCGTTAGACATATTGAAAACCAATTTTAAACTGTAAATCTTGAAAATATAATAAAGCTTTTCCCCAGTAAAAGGAACAAAAATATGCCTGCTTCTTTATTTGTGCACTATGAAATTTCTTATTTATTCACTTTGATTCTGCATTTACAAAAAAGTGCTGTAATAAAATACATGTACACTACTTCTGTTGCAAATATAGATAATATTTAAAGTGACTTTATATTTCTAATATAGGAGTTTTGTGCTCTAAAATGGGAGTGAGCACATGATAATTCCTCACCAGTTGTCTCAATAAACAGCTCCATCTGTTTCCTTTAGTCTTAAACTATTGTATTATAAGATGTTGATATAAGGCAATGAAATGAAATTATCTTAATCTCCTTAATTTTTCTATCAATTTTCTAATGGCATACAACCAAAATAATTACTAACACGTTGCTTTTTTTTTCTGTCATTAAGATTAATACTAATTGAAAACCAACTGAATAGAGTGCTAACACATTTTTAGTGCTGCATCAGTTTAACCAACACTAACCATTCTTTCTGTAAGGCTTCTACGTTTCTTCATGGTTAACATGGTTGCTTTCTAGAGAAAACACAGTTAACACGGGATATTATCATTTTACTTATAAGAAACATGAAAATATTTTACGTTAGATCAAAAATGAAGATGAACAAAGATGTGCATTAAGTGTTTTCATTACAAGCTTAGGAATAGTGTGTCACGTATTTACTGTTTACTCAATCTTAGAAACGTATTTTAGGAGGAAAATATGTTTATGTGAAGTGAGGAGATGCAATTTTTATAATATCCAAATCTCAAGTAATAAAAGAGTATTTTTAAAGATATTCAATAGAAAAAATTTCCCTTTTTAAAAATGGGGAAAGGATGCAGACTGACAAAAATGAAGCCTTTTTATAAAATTCAAGATATTCTTCTTTATTTAATATTTTCAATTTTCCCCCTAATTCATGAAGCCATTTTCTTTGACAAGCTTCAAAATTATTTTTCTCTCTACTAATCTGTTTAGCACTTAATAATTTTTGCCCATAAGACTATAAGATGTCAGATATCTTTACAAAGAAAGACTGGTTTTACTTATGCAAATTGTCCTCTTTGAGTTTGAGTTTGCTAAATTCAAGAGGAATGGAAAATGATGCCAGGTTGTTAGTAAGAAAATCACTTCCACATGAGAAAAACAAACTTAAGTTAAGGGAATTTTCCCCTATGGTTCTGAAGATCCCAAAGACGACAGCAGGGGAATAGTCATCCACAAGAGCAGCTCCAATCTCTTAAAAGTGTGGGATGTGAGTGATGGTTCAGATGGCTCCATTCTAGCTGCAAATTCAGGACAGAACCATTAAAGTGACAGTGCCTTTTGTCCGCTTAAGGATGGCGACAGCTTCTTCATGGGTCACCCCTTCTAGACTCTGCCCGTTGACAGCAATGATCTGATCACCCCTTTTTAGACGCCCATCTTCAGAAGCTGCTCCCTGCAATTATAAAGTAGGCTTGTTTACTTCTCAAAAAGTGCTGCCTTGCAGCTACACAACAGAAAAAGAGCTAAACAAGAATGTAAATTGCTCTGCATGTATACACACATTGCTCTCAAGGCTCCACGGGCACTCCACAGCCATTAAGCAATGATGAACATACACAAAGGAGGCCTTTCACCTAACATCGAGACTCCAATTTGAGAAAGAATTTAGCAGTCAATAGATAACTTGGATGTCTTTTTGGTTGTTCAGCACAGCAGTTGGTGGAAAGAATATTTGGGAATTTGCCTAGTAGGAATGATTTCACTGCATCCAAAATTTTCATCCTTTAAAGTAAACCTATACAAATAAGACAAAGGATAAGCAAAGCAGTTTTTGAGGATAAGGGCATGAGGACCAGAAAACCCAAAGTGTGCAGAAGCATAGAGCTCACATGCACACGGACAAGGGCCTGACAAGGCACAGACCTTGCTAATTGTAATTCTTTCTGTGGCTTTAAAAACACTGTTCAAGATGTTTGGTTCTTTACTTCCTAAGAATAGGTGGAGCCTTCATATTCTTTATGGGACCTAAATGATTAAGATTAAATACAGACACCAATGTTTGAAGAAGAACCTCATCTTAAGGCATGCTTATAGAGTAGGCAGTTAAGCAATTAAATGTAAGATTAAATATATGGAAAAGTTAATGAGGTATCCATAATGATGAAATTCTTAAAATATGTTCTAACTAGCATGCCTAAATAAATTCCTAAGCTGAAGAAAAGGACGCCTGACTTCTATTCACTGGCAAATGCTGTTTGTATTTTTGGACATACCAACAGCTTAAAAAAAATCTCTTAAATTATGCCTATAGCAAGGTAGTTATAAAGCATTTTAAGTTGCTTAATAATATTTTTTTTTTCAGAATTTTTAACAGAATGTAACCTCCATAGATGAGTATTTTATAGGGGCACAGAACTAATCTAAATCTACATAAAATCACTTAATATGTTTGACTAAGTTCTGTTCCTACACACTGTAAAATTTTGAGATTCTGGAATTTCTCCTAAAAGAAATCATATTTAACTTTGTAGCTTCTGAAAAATGTCTTAACACATTACCTTACGCTTTCATAGGTTTAAATTATTTCATTATTTTCACCAATGTTGAAATAACTTTAACCTTATCTTCAAGATTCTTAAGATAGAACAGGTTACAATGTGATTATAAGTACATACATTTTTTTTTATTTTATACCTTGACTTCAAGGATGTTCCTTAGTTCAGGTAATAGAGTTGTTAGATACTCTTCAAGTTTTTGGTAATTGCTTTTCCATTGTATTCAATGAAATTAAATTTGCAAAGTAATGTCCTGTTAATCTGCATATGTATTTAATATACTTTCTATGCCTGTTTTAAATTTCATAATAACAAAAATTGCAAAGAAAAAGAAATTATCAGGGCTCTATAGCATACACATTTAAAATGTCCTATTTTCAAAAGACATTCAATCACCTGCATCTTGTTTTCAAAGGGAAAACTAAACTGTCTAACTAAAACTCATTCATATTTGTATGTATATTGTGAATAGTACCCATATAATCAAATTGAGGCTATTTTCCTTTAAATACAACTAAACCTCAAATTGGACAAAGTATTTAATGACTTGTTCCTGTGGGGGATTCTAAAAGAAAATCATCGACTGTTGGCCATTTGGTGTTACCTCAGGCCATAAACTAATAAGCCAGCTGCTGACCACTGTTAATGAATGTTTAGAGTAGAAAGGTTCCTTAAAATTTTTGGGCTTACCTTTGCAAACACTGTTTTAACATAAATGGGTAAGTCTCCATGAGGGCTGCCATATCCTCCTACTATACTGAAGCCTAAACCATCTGGTCCTCGATCTAAAGTAATAGACTTACATTGAGGAGGTCTACAATAAAGGGAAGGAAAAAAGAGTTGCAAATTAAAAAAAAAAACTATATATATGTAAATCTATAAATTACAGATTATCTGACATTGATCTAGAAGTAGCATAATTCTCTGCATTACTGAGAGTATATATGATAAGTATTTTTGGGATACTTAAACTGTCAGCGCATACTGGGCTCAGTATTTTAAATTTACATGATCAAATGATCCTACTTATTATCCTACTTCTACTAGTCATTTGCAGGTACCTTAAACTAACATTCTCGGTGCCTTAAACTAACAATCATTTAAATCTTTTAAACTGAAAGCTCATCCCTTTTCCAGTTTCTTTAAGTGAGAGGACTAAAGAGCAGAAGATTATCATGGAATAAGAAAGAAACATCACCATCCCCTACTTCAGAGAGAAAAATGGATTATGAGCAATGTGAAATGTTGCATCAAGTTATTTTAAATTAATATGACCCTTCTCCTTCATTTTCTGACTCACATACTCAAGTGCTGGGTAACTGAATTTTTTAAATCAAAAGGATGATTAATTAAATGAGCAAGCAAAGTTGGAATTCTAAAAGGACAGATTTGACTTGTTTTATGTCACACAAATCAGTGACATCAAGACCAAATTGTTTACCCAAAAACTCAGAGCTGAACTGTGGGAAGGGTAGTGGCAAGCACACATGCCTATCTATATTCACAACAAACTAAATCCATGGCATAATTATTGAAGAGTTTAGAAACACTTCATTTCTACACTGCCTATCTTCATCTATTATTTCACCTTAAGTGACTGGTGGGGGAATAAAACCATAACATATGAACTCACCCTAAATCATCCTGAAATATACTGCTGGATGTCAACCCAGTAAAAGAAAGTCCAGAATTGGCAGGTTCCTGTTGATGACCTGTGATCACACTCACATCTCCTCCAGCAACCACCTGTACATAGGAGAAATATAAGGAGAAAAACACATGTTCATGTGGCTAGGGTGACAGCAATAATTTTTCTTCATAAAGAGCATTTGGATTAAAACATGTATTTTATTGTCTGCTTAATTATTCCTGATAACATAGTCCAGAGCCAAGAGAAAGAAATTTCACAAAGTCCAAAGTTCTCTTCAACTGACAGTAAAAATATTTTATTAACTCAGTTTTACAAATCTCTTCAATGCTTTTCAAACATGGTTTCATATGCAAATATTTTTGAAAGATCTTTAAAATACAAGCTACTCATATTATTTGAAATTCTAGCAATTAATCATTTACTACTAAGTCTTTATAATTTTCCCCCTTAGATGCAAGTATAAAACAATAAATTCACTGGGATAAAATGTGACAGATGTATTTCTTACATACTTTCCTGGAACTCTCATGTAATCATTTATGTTCAAGGGTAATATTATATAAAATAACAGCAGGAAACATAATCATTTTTACTGTTTTAACATCAAAGCTCATTTATCCTCAAGCTACCCATATACTGAACAGTGCTTGGGATGAGAATCTTACCTGCATTTCAATGGAGCCAGAGGCACTTTTCAATAAGTTAACTGCTTGTGTGTGAGTCATCCCCTCAGTGGATGTTCCACAGATTGTGACAATCCTATCTCCTACCTGCAAGAAGAAAGAAAAAGCAATGTGCTATGGAGAGTGAGACACTAGGACTCAAAAACCACTTCCTTCCCTACATTTCACAGCACATACAGATTGCTATCAGGCCTGCAATATAATCAAGGAAACCACTAAGTTCAAGAAGCAGTAACCACAAAAAGCAGCCTGCACGTAATGGTTGAGATCTACATAACTGAGTTTTATAGGCTCTAGGGGTAGAAAAAGGGGTGGGGAAGGAATCACATGCTTCCATTTCTAGTGGGTAAGACACTGCTTCCTATTAAAAGAATAAAATATCTCTTATCATTTGGAAACCAGACTTTCTCTGGACATTATTATTATACATTATTAGAAATGACATTAAGTAAGGGGCTGGAAAACTTCTAGATACAGGCCAGGTCCAACCCACTCCAAATTCTGATCAATAAAGATAGTCTGGAAGATAGTCGTGCTTATTTGGCAATTTTCACAGGTAGACCTGAGTAGTTGAAACAAAGTCTGAAATATTCATTATTTGGTTTATCAGATAAAAAAATGTTCTTACCCCCGTGCTATGTGTAACAATTTTTAATCATTAGTCATAAATTTAGATGCCAAAGAGATGAAAGCATTCCCAATTAAGACAATATTTAAACTAAGAGGTGATTTTACTTTATGGAGACTTCAGTGTAATAGTCACAAGATTTCAGGACTGGGCAGTTAGTATAAATTCCATCAAAGCACTCTATGTTTGTATAATCCCTCCACACTGAAGTGAGTTTGGTAACATTGTAAGCCATATTTATATTAAAATTCTACAAAATTAATAATGAAATGCAACAAAAAGACCATTTTCAATTTAATCAAGTTATACTGATGTTTAAACCAATGAATATGCAAAGAAAAAAGTCATTTCATACCGATATTTTGAAAACACTGTTTTCTTCGAATGCTTTCTTTTTATAATCAGTAAGAAATATTAAATACAAACCTTCTCATTTCATTAGCTTGCAAATTTGCATACAACAGCAATTTCTCTTCTCTTACTATTTTCTTCACAACAGCAAACACTGTTGTGACTGAATTAGCTGATTTAAAAGCAGATATAGACAGTTAAAACTGGTTGCAACAAGTAGCCAGATTCAGTTTATAAAAACTTTTGCCAGCTTTGCTAGGGCAACCAAGGCTATTAGTAAAACTTACTCTGAGTTTCTGAGTCTGAGCTGCAACTCCATTTGCATGCATCATCGCGATAAATATAGGAACATCACCAAGTGGGCTGCCCACTCCTCCAGCAATGCTAATTCCCAATGAATCTGCAGGTCCCTACCATGAGAGACAGAATATTCTTGTTAAAGTGGTATTTCCGATTCACTTTTTGCTTTCTTTAGCACATTCCATAGTTAATTCTGATTTTCCAAGTGTGAGGACAGAAAATGAGTTCAAGAAAATTGGATTACTTAAAGTAAAACAGGTTCTCATCATAATTTAGGGAAATAAACTGTTCAGGAAGCAAAGGAAATCATCACATACTAAAGGAAAATCAGTAGTGGGACTGATGAAAATTGGATAAACTGAAAGTGAAAGGGCCACAAACTTCACAATCAGAGAGATCTGTCTTTAAAGCCAGGAGCCTGCACTTATCAACACTGGGACCTGGAATAAGTCCACCCCCCTCTCAATGAATCACTAGATCGTCATTGACAAAATGGATCTCCACTCACAAAGGGTTGCAGGGAATATAAAATCAGAAGGTGGTGGCATAAGTGTCTACAAGAGAATTATCACACAGAAAAGGGTAACTGAATCATAGCTGCTTTTATTTTCTCTCCTGTGCATGACTGTCAGAACAGTGTGTTCCAGGAGAATAGGAAGTATCTGTTGAAAGCTAAGGTTTACTTTTCAGTGTAAGTGAGAGGTCAGTCATTACTGTGTGTGGGGCTGTGTGGATGCCACTTTTGACAGAACAGAAAATGCCGACAATGGTTTTTCAAACAAGGCACTATGACTAGGAAATTCAGCAAAGATTGTGCTGTGCTAATTCTACTGCATATAATACTTTCCCACATTTACAATATTTTTTTTTCAGATGATATTATAAAGCAGTACAGCTACCAGGAAAATATAAATGTAAATGCCTCTGAAGTCAACATTTTTTACTGTTTTCCCTCCTCCATGTTACCTTTTTTATTTCAACTGTTCTTAATCCCTGTATTTCTGATGCCACTATAAAGATAAAAAAATATGAATATTAAAGCAATAACTGTAACTGGGTGAAAATAAATGTTACCCAATTTTTTTTGAAAGGGGGTGCTCAAAATTGCTTTTAGACACAATTAAATCTTTCTTAAAGGAACTATTTCTCCAATTGGAAAAGTACACAGACACCATCCCATTTTTTCTTTGTTCTTATAAACATTGATTATATAACTGCATAATCCACTCTGAATGAATTAAGGACAGAATGTGTTTTGGAGAGAAAGACACATGTGCACAGCTGAGAAGAATAAAGTCGTGAATGTATTAAAAAGAATCCATGGATTTAAGTACCTAAATTTCTAGAATATTAGTCATATTGCAAACAGAGACTGCCATATGGTTAGATGCCTCAATTTGAACAACTTTCAACCAATGCTTCTCGCCAAAAAACCTTCTGCATCATGATTTCATGTAAAACACAGGAGGATTATATTCATTTTTTCGATCAAAATTTTTGGAATCTTCATGGAAAAAAAGGCTTCACTTGATAATATCTTCGATTTATTGGTGTTACATTAAACAGAAATGAAATGAAAATCAAATGAGAAAAGCTGCCAAAGGCACAACTTCATACTGTTCAGAATTTTTGCCTATATGCATCTTGCACTAATATCAAGGCATAGAATGATATGGAGGAAAAATATTTCAGAGGTAAATTAAAGTAATGGGGGAAAAATCAACGTTGAGGACCAAAATTCAAATCTGTAAACCATGCTTAAATATCAAACCAATCTTACATGCATTCTTCTTTGAGCTACTTTCCAGGGAGTCAGATGTACTGGATCCAGAAAGTGGAAAAGTGAATGATGACAGGCTGCCCTCACTCATCTACAAATATATAACAATTATTTTACAAAGTTTTGGAAGCAATAAGGCATCCTCTAAAAAGCACATATCAGAATTCAATTTTTTAAATGTATCTAGAGAGAAATACTATAATAGTGCAAATAATACTTTGAAGGGCAATTTAAAATTCCTACTCATTATTTTCTCAAGGAAGTTGTCCAGTGATAGAGATAAACTGAAGTTAGAAGGGTGGATGAAACTGAGCTCAATCAACCTAAAATTTCAGTGGATTTCCATAATCTGATTCAAGTTAATCTCAAAAATTTAAACTATGTTGTACATGACTAGAAAGGAAATAACAACGGCACAACTTGGGCTAGTATACAGGAAAAAAAAGGTAGTCATCAGGAGTGAGTAAGGGAGCTTTAAGGACAGGCTGATGAAAATGGGCTTCTGTGATCAGAAAAGAAAACTGAGGCAAGGGGCTTGCAAAGAGATTTGAACTATATAAGCACGTTGTATACAGGTGGCAGGAATCTACAGTTCACCTACATGGGGTATTTCCATTTGAATATAGATTAATAAATGTTACAAAACAATTCAAAATGTTACCTTGGTTTGCTTTACATATATTTAAATGGTGAACTTTGCTGATTATGGGGAAAAAATCGTATCAGAAAAGAATACTTGAAATAAAATTGCACAGAATGACTTATAAACTACTTATTCTACATTTTGTTTACCTGTCTACTCTAATTTCTTGCTCTTTCATATCAGACTGTCTGTAAGCCACTCCACCAGGTCTGCACACACACCCGCAGGCAGAACCACAGTCAGGGTCCCCCTGAGCTCAGTTTGGTATGTCGACTGTAGACCCTGATGAGTTCCACAGCTACCCACCTGGCTGATCTGAGAAGGTCTCCTCTCTGAATGGAATGGAGCAGCTTTGATTCTTCCAACTTCCAAGGTTACTGTGCCTAGGGAACACTGGGGGAGTGGTTGTTTCATGGAAACATTGAAAAGTGCTGTGATGATTTTAGGAATACATTTTACTCTTCAAGGCAAAGTTTTTAAAAGGCATCCTCCTTTTGAAATTTCCATATGCAAGTATACCTCCAACCCTTTGCAGAAGGTTTTTTACAAAATATTAGAGCTAATAAAAATAATGCAGGCAGCACAACACCAATTGTCTTATTACCTCATGATTTACATGGAAACTTTCTACCAAGGCAAAGGAAAAATGAGAATTGAATAATTACCTCATGAAACACAGATTTAGATGTATTAAATGAACTAAATAAAGATTTAAAAACAAAATAATAAAACCCACCACTACCACTACTACAACTTGTATTGCCCCTAACAGTAGTACTCAGATAATTTGATAAGCTCTGCTTGCCAAGCTATACCTGAATAGACCTGCTGTAAATACTTAAATAAGCCACATTGCTATAAACACAAAGAATTGAAGATAATTTTCCTGTACTGAGCATTTAGTGTCAGACATACTGGTTTAATATTATTTACTAGTTGTGTGACCATAATAGATACCTATCTTGGTAAGTATTTTATTCTGCATTTTAAAAATGGAGAAGGTATCCAGTGCTGTGATTAGTAAGATAACCCATGTTTATGATAGTTTTTTAAAAAGTAGCATTTACATAGATATTAGGCACTGGTTATTACTATGCTGCTTCTGATAACCCTTCTACCAAGGGTATGGCACTCCTAAACATGCATGTTGTGAATAGAATTTGGAAAGATCAAAACTTTACCTGCAATATCTGTTTTTTTTTTTTTTTTTTGAGGGGTGAGGACTTACCAAACCCATCTCGAGCCTAATTACATTTCCAACTGTTAACTACAGAGGTTAACAAGTTCCATACATTTTTGCACCATGGAAAGTTATTACTTTTTCATCTATCTTACAATGTGTGTCTGTCAAACTTCAAGGGAATGCAGTATTATTAAAAATTAAGTTTTTTTTACTATTACAGCAATCCATATTCATTAAAGAAAATTTGGAAATAAAATGAAACAGGAAAAATAGGACTATATGTCTCCAATAATTACATCCCAATTACTGTTAACAAAATTATAAGATTTTATATTACATAGTTATATCTACAATATAGATATAATTTGTGTTCTGTAATCTCCCTGATTTTATTTTTCACGTTAACAGTTACCATAAATATCGTTTTAAACAGACACATGTATACCATATGCTTTGCTTTGTTTAGTGAAATTTATACAGTTTTTGTCAATTGTGTTGCATCCATTTTTCCTATCATAAAGAGCACAACCAAGAACCTGAGCACATGACATTTTTGTGAATTGAGGATTATTTATGTGAGCTTTTTAAATGAAGAATTATGAACTCAAAACAACAACAATAAGCAGCAATAGCTACATAGCAAAATTATGCTAAGGCTCTCATCATATACTGTCAGAATGATTTTTTAAACAGTGGTTTAGTTTTAAAATTAATTTTACTGCTTTATGGAGTTAACAATTATTTTTAATTTATCTCAAAATGGAGGATATTCCTCACTAAAAATATTTACCTTATTGTTAATAATTGATGAATCTGTAAGAAATGATACATTTAAGTGTACTTTATTAATAACTAAATTTAAACACATATGCATCTACCAGATTCCACCAAAAAACACAGCAGTAAATAGTCATAGGATCAGGGGCCTCCCAGGTGGCGCAAGGGGTTAAGATGCAGCACTATGATGCAATCCGTAACCACTGCAGCACGAGTTCAATCCCCAGGCAGGGAGGTGGCACACATGGCACAGCAGACCTCTCCTGTCTTGCCCACTGCTCCCCTCAGCAGTGTATTTCAGTAGATCTGCCTGTCCTGCTCCCCACTCTGTCTCTGGTGAATCCTCTCACCCTCTCCATCTCTGGCCTAGACTCTAGCTCTTGTATGCATAAATAAAAAAATCTTAAAAAAAAACAATCATAGGATCACCTGAAAATCCCTCCGTGAGTCCAGTCACTGAAGGAAGCTCCTACAAGCACCTGAGACCTTTGACAGTTCTAACGCTGCTGGTCACTGTCATGAAGGCTCATGTCATTTGACACACAACACATGTCAGGATACCAACCAATCGGATCTTTTTCTCATCAATGTTTAACTATTTATCTTCAGGTCATAAGAACACACTCCTCGCTAAGGAAAACGAGGTAAGCATTGCATTTTGTAGGAACCTAAGTCCCCTCTAGAAACTGGAATATTCTCTGACAGAAAATAAACCTAAAGTTCCTGGAGCTGAATTTTTAAATGACTACTCTGTATTTTACAATTTATTTTAAAAGTGATGCAGGCTCTGCTTTTTAAATCAGTAAATGATTCTTCATGGAGGAAATATATTTCATAATATAAAATGAACTAAAACCTGGTAATTATTGATATAATTTCCAGTGAAGGTACTACCAGGTAAATCTGCATTAAATCACCTTCACTTCATAAGGATGACCCATTCACTTTCATTTTTTTCAAAAGAATTATTTATTTATTTATTTAAGATTTATTTATTTATACAAGCACTGGGTATAGTCAGAAGCGCGGGAGGGTAAGAGAAATCACCAGAGCCAGAGTGGGGAACAGAACAGGCATACTGAAGAAACACATTTCTGAGGGGAGCAGCGGGCAGCATGAGAGGTCTGCGTGCCATGTGGGACCCTTGCCGGCGGCCGGGAATCGAACTAGCGCTGCAGAGGCTGTGGGCAGCTTCACAGCCCAGTGCTCAACAGCTGTGCCACCAGGGGAGGCCCATAAGATTTATTTATTTATGCATACACGAGTTGATTTGTAGGCGAGAAGTGCAGGGGATGAGAGGACACCAAAGACAGAGTGGGGAGCAGAACAGGAGGATCTACTGAAATACACTGCTGTGGGGAGCAGGAGCAGCAGGCAAGACAGGAGAGGTCTGCTTGACCATGTGCCCTAGCTGGGGATCAAACTCATGTTGCTGTGACTGGAAACAACTTGACAGCGGTGAGACTTAATCCCTTGTGCCATCAGGGAGGTGCATTCACTTTGATTTTTAAGTCAAATTTTACATAGTTCAGTTGTTTAACTTGAGGAACGTGAGGTAACACTGGCTTAATCATTGTGCTTTAGAGTAAGAATAAGATTTGAACCAAATATTTTCTTCTTTGGCTCAAGACAGTTAAATCTCTTCCACATTCTTCATGTCTGGAAAAACACAGACATCCAATCTAGTGTGCCTAGAAAGGGGCTAAGAGGCTGGAACAGCAGAATCCAGAAAGTATAATCTCCACAGGTACCCTGAGTGTTCCTCTGTCACCTCCTGAATTTCTGCCAAATCACTTTTCAAAGCCCAAAGATGAGAATCTTCACTTATGCCACATGTCATAAGGATAAGTTCAAATATAAATACGAAGTTAATATTTTTTTGTTTCTCATTTGCTGTCTGAGTATGTCCTTTCCTTTACAAAAACATCCATATACTACTCACCTTAAAGAGGAAAGATTTATAAATAAAATCTTTATAATATTTAGATTTATAAATCTTTTTATTTATAAATCTTTCCTCTTTAAGGTGAGCAACCAAAAAAAAAAAAAAAAAAAGAAACCAGAAAGAAAAAGAAAAATACCGTATGGTTTCACTGACAGGAGGAATTTATAGGAACCAAATAAGGGATCAGGAAAAAAAAGTAACTATAATGAAGTAAAAATCAAAATCAACAGGCAACCACAGACCAGAGACATTCTCTAGGTGGGGTGACGGAGAGGGACCAAAACAAGGTTGGGAAGAGCACAAGGGACTATGGTGATGGTGCACGGGTGAATTGGTGGTGGGAATGTCATGGGAAATCATATACTGTAGAAAAATGAAGGACGATGTAATAAACATGCATATAGAAAATAAAGTGAATCAGGAAAAAAAAGATGACAGATTTATTAAGATCATATAGTGAATAAACACTATATGTTTATTCTTTAGCAATTTGTCACTTAAATATGGCATCTGGCTTCTAAGTATGTCTTTAAAAAAATACTTAACGAGTTTATTTATTTTTGTGTAGAAGAGCTGGGGTGTAGGCCAGGTGTGTGTGTGTGTGGGGGGGAGGGAGTGTTGAGAAGAGACAGAGTGGGGAGCAGAACAGAGTGGGGAGAAGAGACAGAGTGGGGAGCAGAACAGGCCCATCTACTGAAATACACTGCTGAGGGGAGAAGCAGGCAGGACAGGAGAGGTCTTGGGGGTCACCTCCTTGGCTGGGGATTGGACTAAGAATGTAGCAGTGATAGTGCTAAGACTTAACCCCTAGGCCACCAGAGAGGCTCTTGAGATGACATTTTAAATAAAAGAACTCAGTACCTGTTTGACTTTGGTAACTCAATTTACATTCTCTTTCTTCTTTATTATTCTACAAAATATTGTAGACTTTTACCTTTAGCAAAGCAGCAACAGTTTCCTGAGTTGCATTACGGACATCTTCTCCATTCACCATTAATATCTGGTCTCCCTGCATCAGTCTTCCATCAGCATCTGCAATTCCTCCTTTGACAATGTCGGACACAAATACTCCAGTGTCATTTCTACAAACATAATTTTGTATTTCAAAATTTTTCTCAAATGTCATGAAATACTTCATACAAAGGTAAATTTTTTAACTGAAAAACTTACTTCTATTTTCATGGCTTTAAAAAATGTTAACATTTTCTGCATTACTGGAAATTCTAATACATTACTGGAATTAGTTATTGTGATAAATAGTTCATATAGTGTTTCAGAGACTAAACAGCTATTCATAAGCATATTTCATCTTCAATAGGTATATATTGAGTAAAAATGGCTATTATTTTCATTTTATGGGTCATATAGCTATTAAATGGCAAAATCTGAACTTAACAGTCAGTTCATGGGTGTTTAATCTACTGTTCTTTTCTATGCCATAATGAAACCTGGAACCAATATTTACCAGTAGTTACATAAAAACTTTGCAATTAACATAAACATTATTAACATTAAAAATAATGAATGTGTATTTCACACTAAACCAAATATTATCTAGAACTTAAAAAAAGTACCATTCTTGTAATCTTTTATTTTGTAGTCATTACAAAGTTAACTTTCATATAAGATATATTTATTCAAAATGAGCAAATAGGAATCTCATTTTAATCCTCCTTTCGTTGATGAAACTGTGAACAAACCAAGAATTTCTTGTTGGAATAGAAAGATAACTGTAAGTGGAAATGTTTACTGAAAGTTTAATTATATCTCTTGAGCTTACCAAGGCCATGAGTTCAAATGAGGCATTTTTACCTTTTGATCCCTGCTTTCCCATTTTCAGAATAATGGTGCTGAATTTACTATTATATATTTTTATTAATATTATTTATATGCAAATACTTAAAGTAGGTACTAAATCCACATATGTCCACCAGTTTGCCACCCCACTCTATTATTTAACTTTCAATTCCCATTTAAAAGGATGTTATTGTTCACGCTGATCCTTTTCTTCCTTTTACTGGACCTCAAATTATCATTTAATTACTTTTTACCTCAGTTCAGTCACCTCTTTTTACTTCCCTTAAACAGAGTCACATGGCCCTGATAGGGGCTAGGGAAGGGGAGGAGATCTGGTAAGACACTAAGCTAGTGTAGCAGGAAATCTGCACACACATACTGTTTATAGCCTGTCTACTCAGAGTTAATTTTCCAGCCCGAGAACACATCTGGAGGAGTGCAAGAAGCCAGTGCTATCTGATGACCAGCCTCAGCACAGTGGGACTAGACTGAGACCAGGTCTCCAGAAGAGTGATAAGGAACTCCAGGGGCTGGACATCACAATCTCCTGGCAGTGATGAAGGCCAGCTTACTGCTCAACTGTCTTTGTTCAACTTACAATAAAAATGAAGCTGGAAATGAAATGTTAAGGTGGTTTTTTCAGCGTGCTCACCCCCCCATCTTTCAAATTGTCGGCTATCTGTTTAAGGTTCACTTTAAAGATTCAATTCCTGTCTCTACTTCATTGGCATTCAGTGGTGACAGATGGTCTGAGCGCCAGTCTTCCGGGTACAGTCCCTTTTTCTCCTTTGCTTCCACGACTCGTCACAATTCATCTCTGTCACTCAGCAATAGATTATTTGTTGCAAGGATATATTTAATTCTTGTTTACCAAACTGAGATTTTTTTTTTTAAGTCAGGAACCATACCTTACTTGACTCTGTTTCCCCAAACCTAATATATTTCCTTGTACAAAGCAGTTACTAAAAAAATATCCAATGACTTTTTGTCCAGTACTTTCAAAATCCCCTAACATAAGGTTTGAAATTCAAGTTTGACATTACATTACTGAGTGGGCTGACGATAACTACCTATAGAATACTAACAGGAAATGATGATTCCATTACTACTAGTATTCTTCAAAAGAATTTGAAGTCAGTTATTTTCAAAAGGCCACTGGTTTTGTCCTCTTCAAGTCATACCTTTTGCCAACAATACTTAATCCCAGACCTTTTCCTGGCTTCTTCTGCAGCTCAATGGTGAGGGTGTCATAAACGTCCTCCTCTTTATATGGAGCCTCATCTCTGTAGAGAGTGAGACGCACTCTTTGTGGTGTTTGTCTCAGGACATTTATTGCTTCATCATGGGTGGCCTTTCTCAAGTCAATTCCATTCACCTGCATAGAAACGGGAAGTGACTATGGCATATATGATGAATTAAGAAAGAGAAGGAGGGACAGAAAGGATAGAAAGGGGAGAGAAGGAGAAAGAAAGAAATAGGAAAACAAAGTCCATTTTCCACAAAGCAACATTTTCTTTGTTAATTGTAAAGGCCAAACACATAGCATCCCATACCTCTAAAATTTGATCTCCAGCCCAGAGTCTTCCATCTTTACATGCTGCTCCTTCTTCATAAACTTCATGGATAATAATTGCACCCTAAGGACCCAAATGAACACTCATCCTTTATCCATTCTCCCAAAGAATGGTGAGTAGAAATGGAGTTAGAACACAATGTACTTCTATAGATATCGATAGACTTACAGACTTACGGCTGTATATCAAAATTCAAAGAAAATTACTAAAGATTCAAAGAAGCTTATATTTCTAATGATAGTAATTTAAAGAAAAATTTAAAATAATGTAAAGAATATAAACTATACATCTGTAAAGACATATATATGTAATAGATATAAAACACCTCTCCTATCTGCAAATGAAGTGATTAGATTTGAAAAGTTACTTTTGGTATTTAGAAAATTTTACAAACAAATTATTCATTTTTTCAAACTTATCTCAATAATCCAACTATATATGGACAGTACAAAAGGAAACTAAACTATGCCAAGGACTGGGGAACTGCCAGACCTATTATGAACCTAAAGGTCACAATCACAGGTGTAAAATAATCCTATTGAGTCAGATTAAAGTACTCAAGATAAACATCCTAGTGCACAGCTGAATATGTGATCAATTAAAATAACAATGTATGAGGCATTTTGGTAAGCCCTTATATTTCATTTAATAAAACTGAAAACAATCTTCCCAGTGACAAACTCTTAGGCTGGCTGAGGGGCCTGCCTGTGTGTCTGAAGCCTCTCACCAGCAGAGTGTCAGACCCTCCAACGATGCTCAGGCCCAGTCCTGTTCGCCCTTTGGAAATCTCAATTGTTGTTTCGCAGCCTGGGATAATGGGGCAGGTTGCAGGATCAGAAGCAAAGATTGCTGGTGTTGATGATCTGCTAGTACCTAAAATTTAAAAAAATAAAGCAAATAAAAATTGATTAGATGGCCTTATCTATCAAACTCACCAACATCTTTGCCTTAGGGAGGACAGAGTAGGAAAACAAACCAAGATTGGTAATAAGAAGATTTCAATAATCTTTTATCTATGTTAAAAAAAATCAAACAAATATGATTATATCATCGTTGGTAATTTAAGGTGGTGGGTGGGCACAAAAATACCTGCTTAATTATTTTATTATATTGTAGTTTTTAGATTTATAGCAATAATATATATGAAGGATTGAAAACAGAATTGACTTGAACCTCTAGTTTCGCTTTGATAATGTACATTTCATTGGAGTCAAACAAACTTGTTTTAAAATTATGACTTATAGGGCCTCCCCGGTGGCACAGAGGTTGAGTGCTGGGTTGTGAAGCTGCCCGCAGCCTCTGCAGCGCCAGTTCGATCCCTGGCTGCCGGGTGAGGGTCCCACATGGTGTGCAGACCTCTCCTGCCAACCGCTGCTCCCCTCAGCAGTGTACTTTGTCAGTCTGCCTGTTCTGCTCTCCACTCTGGTGAATTCTCTCACCCTCCCACGCTTCTGACTATACCCAGTGCTTGTATAAATACATAAATAAATCTTTAAAAAAAATTATGACTTATAAACCTCAGAAATGACATGTGTGGCAGGGCCCAAAAACATTCAGTGAGACCTTAAAACATAAAGCACACAGTAGTTCTGGCCATAGTGCTTGCCTTTTAGAGCTTTTACTGTTTCTGTTTTTTCTCCCTTTTCTTCTTATTCTAGAGCAAATCTTATATAATTAAATCTGAGCATATATGCAACTGGATTTAATGTATGATCTTATAAAACATGAAGTTAAGATCTATATGCAGTTTGTCTCCTTGTATCTCTCTTGATGTTTCATAAATTCAGATACTAAATCCAGGTACATGCATGCTCAGAGCTGAATTGATAAGGAAATGAACAAACAAGGAGAATGTAACTTCACACCTTGTTTTATGATAATCTTATATCATATGTTTTATGATGTACCAACGAGCATACAACAAACAGCATATTTTGAGAAAACTAGGACACTTGGTAGAGTAGCTTATGCTTTAGACAAGATGCTCTCTTTTTAGGAAAGAATCTGAGACAGACTATTTTCTTCCTCCTGAAATGGTAAGAACAGGTGTAAGATATTTTCTTTTATGTTATGTTTTCATTCAGCATTTCATATTTTTTAGACAACACTATTTAGGGATCAACATAAAATTGAAAATTGAGAAAATTTCCATAAATTTTTAACACTTTGGTGAATTACTCAGTCTTTCTAAATGAAGAATTATGTTCATCAGATATGTATTACTTTAAGACTTTTTTCCCCCGACTATATTACAAGTGTTTTAAACAGCTTTTTAAAAAAACTGAATGTTTCACTTTAGAACCGAAACATTCTTTTCCCCAACTACACAATAGGACAATGTGTTCAAATGTTTTTTTTTTTTTGATACTTCAAAACTTGAAATTGTTTTATTAAAGAGTACTGTAGTTTTTCCTCAAAAAGTAACTCAAAGGAATAATTTGTCTCAATATACTACAATGGAATCCATATCAATCTACTTGACTGGATCCACTACATGTACCGTGGCACTGACTAACCTTCTTCTTTCTTCCAGGGTCAGGCATAGCTGATCCCACCGGTGAAGTGGGAACACTATGACTTAGAGAAGTTAAATCAATTGCTCAATATAAAAAAAGGAAAGCATCAATTCTAATTCACAGTCAGAAACCTTATTAAATCACAGGTCCCCTTAGGAGAAGGTCATAGGAGAGCAGAGTATTGCTCTCTTGCTTTAGAACGAGACTAAGAGTGGTAGATGGCTATTTAAGATGGCCAATTATTGTACCACACATCATCACATGCCTAATAGGCCAGCACTCTCTCTTAAGGAGTCTCTCTTTTTATACCACCTCTCACCAAGGCCTCCTTGTTGCGGCCTTTCAAACACTAACTACAGGCAGGCAGTTGGCTCCCAATTAGGGACATGCTGCTGAGTTCAAGTGTGTCAAACACGCGGGCCTCAGGTGACACTAGCCCTTACTTCGGATGGGCTCTGGTTCCTGGGAGCCAGATGGAAGGGCTGTTGCAGATTGGGAGCTGTTCTTTCTTTCTCCAGTGGCTGAAGCAGAATCTGGATTCTCAGCATGAACAGTAAGTTTCACTGATGTCTTTGCTGTTTTCAAAAGGCTAATAAACTGGTAGGGTATTGGTGTGGAGGGCAAACAAAATATAAAAGCAAATTAGTAGCTGTAAACAAAGAAGTCACTATTATAATTGGAGTCCAATTCTATCTATGCTTGAGAAATGAGTTATAGGAAAATTATTTCCTTGTCAGGACTTAAGGGAGCAAGAAAGAATGATTCTAATTTCTTTCTAGTTTCTCAACTTAGCTGATACACATTAATGCCACAGTCATTTTCTACTGTAAGTTTAGTTCTCACCATATTCTACCTTACTTAAGTACAGGGTTTTTAACCTTTTTACATTTCTCATCTACCTCTCTGCTCTCTACAACCTTAGAAGACATAAGCGATATTGTTCCCACTTCCTGATTCTACAGTGAATCTGAAGCAACTTACATGAACGTTATGAATGGAAAAGAAACACATACATCAAAATCAGAATAAGAAAAACTGCAACAGAAGAATCAATCAAATGGAAAGTTAAGACACAGATACTCTGGATTAAATGATCCAATTTATGCTAGTATTTACGCTGAATTTAAGCTGAATATAAAAAAAAAAATAGCTTTAAGTTTTTTGCTGGCCAAAGTATAGATGGAAACATTTGCACACCAAGTCTCAAGAGTAACAGTTTTTTATTCTGCCATTTTTATGTGAAAGGTCTCAAGGGAGATTCCTCATAAGTACTATAATCACTTTAAAGGAGGAGCAAACTCAGGTTTGAAGAACTGTTTAACCCAATAAAAGTGATAGATTTAATGAGTGAGTCTTAAAAACATGTTTATAAAGCAATATACACAGTAGATACTTAATGGAACAAATATGCATTAAAAATATTCTGTTGGTATTAAAACTAAGTTATCCTTTGTTTAAATGCTTCAAGGTTTCCTAAGGGCAAACCAAAATGGTAATTATCCACAATGCCTCCTCAAACTGACTTTACCAGTCAATAAAAACTTTCTTAACATCACCATGAGTGGAAAACAGAAACTGAAGAACTGCATAATCTCTTCCTTAAGAATATCTGTCTAACAGAACTCTAAAATACTATGATCCACCAAACACATATATTCTCTCTCTCTCTTTCTCTCTCTCTCACACACACACAAACACACACACACACACAGTAGCCATGCACAAGGATGGGTTCACATCAGTATTTGCTTTCTTTTGGAAAAGTACCTTTTCAACAGGATGACCAACAACAACTTCATCATCTATAGCCAAGATCTGATCTCCAACTTTGAGTCGTCCATCCTAAATTAAAATATGTCCAATTTTGAGTGATTTTCCAGAAATAATTCTCTACCAGTTTATGACAGAGGGAAAAGCAAAGACTCACCCTGGCTGCTACCCCATGCTCTGTTAGACTCTTTATGATGACTCCATGGAGAGTATCTTCTTCACTGATAGCAATGCCCAAACCCCCTTGATCCTAGAGAAGTAAAAATGACAATACTCAGAAGATTCAAAACAGATTAATTTTATGCAAAAGAAAAGACATAAGGACATAACTACTGAATGCTATCTTATACCCAAGTAGTAGCAAAGCAATGAAAACTTGCATAATCCCTTCAATGGTGAAAGACTATTGGTGCTTTAGTGGAGGGAGTAGTGTGATAACATGTATTTGTAGAGGTGTGAGAACTATACCCCTAAAACACACATTGTGATATATATCAAGTACCTCAACAAACATAACTGTTTAAAAATAGAAATTTATTTTCTTAAGCAAATTATAAATTTTCTAATGGGAAAATCCATCCATTTCTCCCATAAAATGACTATTCAAGTGTTTGCACTTGAATATTTCACATCCATATGTATAATCTCTAGTACCTTTGTGTTATATATATGTGTGTGTATATATATATATATATATATATATATATGTGTGTGTGTGTGTGTGTGTATATGTATAATATGTCAACAGTCACCTATCATGTGTAACTGACAAAATAACCAGAGAACAAAAGTGCACTTGATAACTTAATCAACATACAACATTTTCTCATTAGTTTTGTATCACTGGCTAACTACTAAGTTATTTAAAGCCAAAGTATCTTCCTCCCCATTCCCTTTCTTACTGATGGCTTAGAAAAAACTACCAAACTGGATTCCTTCATCCCTTTCTGCCACCCTCTTTTTTAAGCAGAGAGATTACAGGTATTCTGACCTTAGAGATACTCTGTCCTTTCTGGTGGTTAGTATGCATATTTGTTTCTCCAGAGAGTTGTGTTGTGATCTGCAGCAGAGTGAAAATGTTCTGGACTTTGACCTCAAAATCCTACACTGAAAACCTGCCCAACCTACAGAGTTACACCGCCTTTGTTTATATTTTCCATATTTTCTTGTATCAAAACCAAATGCTCAATAATAGACTTTTATCTTTCTTTAATAGTTACTTTAATAAAATTAAAATAGAATTTTAAATATTTTCATTATGGCTTGTCATTATTATTTCCATTCATGGAAATGTAAAGTAAAAGAAAGAGAATCTTGTCATGTTCTCTCTGCAATGTACACAGGGGAGCGAGGTTTCCCATTAGACATTTAAGATCAAGGCAACGCTGCACCACCATTTTAAAGATGATCAACTCTGGCTTTTCTGAGGCAGATTAATAATGCCTGATGGCATTCTGACTATCACTGAGTGTCTCTTTACTGCCACTCTTTCCAGGATATCAGTTATGTGCATAAGACAGAGAAAACTATCACCTTTGGCTGAGCTGGGTTCTAATTCACTTTCTAACCAGCTGCAGAAAACTTTCATCATAAAAATATGAAATAATAAAATTTTCCCAACAGCAAAGTTGCTGCTAGGATCAAGTATAATTAAGAAAGGGTTTGAAAGCTTCATATGGTATACAAAAGTGCTACTAAACATATAATCTTTCTACTTACAATTCTATAGGATATAACCCAATATACTTCAGATACTCTAACCTTGCCAGAATTTCAAAGCCCCAAAACCTAATCTAGCGGTAAAAGAATAAGGCTTAATGAATGAAAAGCTCAACATGCTACCAAACTGACCAAATCCTTATCCTTTTGCCCAATGGAAATTATGTATCATCCATTTGGAATTTTCCACACCAAAAGACTTCTTTGTTGCCACAAAGAAGTACTTCTTTATGTAATACTCTACATCTACAATGAACTATCTAAACACAACCTCTGAATGCAGGGCAAAGAACTTGATTTTATCTGTCTGAAAATGGAACTCCTTGAAAGAGCCTGAGGCAGGATTAGGACGATGTAAAAATCTACCTTAATTAAGGTAGACTAATTTAAAGAGAAAGCATCAGCAAAAACTAGTACCACAAAGTCAGACATCTCGTTACCAGCTAATTCTTTCCTAATAGTGTAACAATAATAACAAGCAACACTTACAAATGTATGGCAGTTAATAGATGCTATAGACATTTAATTCTCATAATAAATATTTAATTCTCACTACTCTATGAAGTAAGTGCTATTACAACCTCCATTTGGTAGAAGGAAAATTGTGGGCAGATTGAGAAATTTACCAAGACTTACAGCCAGCCATCTGTAAGTGGCAAATTTAGGGCTCTAATCCAGGTGGTCTGGCTTTAAACCTGTTATCTCAAGCACTAGAGCCCTGCTCCCCACTCATATGTTTAACAAGTTCATGCTACCAGTATTTTCTGTGCACTTATTAAATCCTAAGCTGTACTATACTCTATGTAAATAAATTAGATCAATGTCATGAAAAGACACATGTAGAAAACATTACCTTATTTAGGACTTTTCGAAAGATAAGCATAAACAGATTGAAAAAAATCATTCATAATAATGAATTCAGTATATATGTAAATGTTTCTAATTAACAGATTATAGGGAAATGATTGAACTGTTAATCACTACAAACTCTACTTTCAAAATTTGGAGAAAAAAAGAAACGATTCTGCTATCAGCAGAGCTTATATGGAAAGAGCGTGAGTGATTCTTGAATGCAAATGCATGGACTTCAGGACAAAAAAAGTCAAAAGGCTTTAATGATGTTTGTTCTTTTACTTCTACAATACAAAATGCCCATAATGGCATCTCTTAAGCATATATACCATAACCAGAGGAATTCATTTTTGTGCAGGGTTATGTACTATAAGAAATAAACCACAGCAAGAAAGTCACAGTATTTTTCCCCCTTACATACTTAAGAAAGTCTGAACATGTCAGGCATTTTGCCAATCACTTTATAAACATTTATTCAATCTCTACGTTTACCCACTTCTAAGGTAATCCTATGACTCCAATTTACATGTGAGAAAACAAAGACAAAAGAAGGTCATACAATATATAAAATATATACTTGATGGAGCAAGGATTCACTCCAGACAGACCGACTCTGGAGTTCACACAGCCTCACAGCTGGAAAGCTGCATATGGATCACTCCTCTTCTGTCTTGCAGTATTTCATGCAATTATCCCCTTATACTACACCACACCTCCTCCTTTCTTCTTTTCCTCCCTAAGCACATCACTATTCTTTTCGCTTATATTCTTATCCATTCTACTGTTCTCCTGCATTCTAGCATGAGCCTGCAGCACCAGAAAGCATTATAGATTTCTATATAGCAAACTACCTAAAGAGGTCATTTGGAAACTGAAGCTCAGCTATTTTATTTAAAAAGGCACTGATTTCTATTAGTGGAACTTCTGGTTACTTGAGCTTTCAGTTTTATGAAAGACAGAGACTACAGCCTACTTCTTTATTCTTCCATTTCTTCCATATCAGGTTCTTGGTTAATAAATCAGAGGAGAGATTGCTGCATTTCATACAAAAAAAAAAGCTGGGTGCCTAAAGATAATAAATATTAGTTAGATAGTTAGCACAGTGCTTCCCAAGCTTTAGTGCACATTGCAATCATTAAGAAAGCCTATCAAAATATAAACATCACTTCCAGAGTTTCTTAATCAGTGGATATGGACAGATCATTTCCGACAAGATTCAAGGAGATGCTGGATGCTGCTAGTCTGGGGGAACCCATGTGTGGGAACCAGTGAATTATAACACTGATGTGAAAGTACTCACATCGTTTCATTTTTATTCAAAGCTGACTTACTTTGGGAAGCTCCAGATGTTGCACATTCTTAAACAAACTGAGGTCCACAGGTGCATCAGAAGTAGGGATATTTGGTTCAGCCTAATAAATGGAAGGAAATAGCAAAATAAACAACTTACTGTTATGTATTTTTGTTTAAGAAAGGGTAATCAAAATTATTTCACATATTGGATAATACTATATTATTGCTATTTTAACATTTTATGCCATTTATGAACATTATATTCACATTCACTATTGTTTTAGAACACAGAGACACAAAATGGTTCTCATGACCAAGCAGATTTACCCTATAATGAAATCTACTAGCAACCCTGTCCCACATATGTTAAAGTTAGTATGTTAAAGTAAACTTAGGAGCTACTAAATATTTTACCTGGAAATTACTAACAAATTCCATTTTCTTAATGGGAATACTTAGTACAATTCAAATTTAAAAAATTTTCTCCTTTATAATCTAGAAATCTTGAATAAACCACTCGACTTAGTAGAGGATTCTGAAAAGTTAAAATGAGACAATGGTTTGTAAATCTACCCATGTATGGATAAACCTAATGTTTATGTATTCATTTGTGGAAGGGCATTTCTATTCATTCACCATTTCCCACTAATAATCCTGTCTCCTATAATTATAAGCTTTTCACTCTCTACTATTTTCTTTTATTCACCTTAAATACACACTCATGCTTTTCCAAACCAAAATGAAACTTCTACAAAAAGATCTCATAATTTTTGAAGACTTTCTAGACACTATTTTCTCTTTCTTAATGTCTTGTCTGTCATTTGCTTCTGTTAAACTTCTAATTGCCAAATCCAATGAACTCTCTTCATTTATTATCCTCTTACTTAGCCTCTCTGCAGCATTTCAGATTGTAAATTTACCCCTCCTGAAAAAGCATACTTCCTCAGTTTCTCTGCAACATACCAGTTTGTTCTTCACCATCACTGTCAATTCTTTGTTGGCTTCCTCCTAATTGTCAGTACTACATAAATCTCACCTGGGCCCTCTGTAAAAGCCCCAGCGCCAATGGCCATCAAATGCCTCATATTCATCTGTAGGACTTCATCTCTAAACTCCAGACCATATGTCCCAACTTATACTTCCACCAGGCTTTCATTCTTAAACTGCCACAAACATGTATTTTCCATTTTTATAAATATCTGTTCCATTTTTCATTTTTCTATTTTGTTAAAAGAAAATCACTCATCAAGGCACCAAGTCAGACACCTGTAAGCCTTGTACAACTTGTCACTTTTATCCACCAGTCTTTTTCTAGTTCAAAGAAGATAACCTGGCATAAGGCAGGCAAGTGTTTATTAGATAAGTAAATTGTAAATCACTCATTTTTCCTCAATCAGTACATTTATTTGGGGGATGAAATGATATCAAATTGAGTCCTAAACACTGGATGGAATCATTTCTTGTTTTGTTTTGCATCAGTTCACACCCTTATCTCTTCCTCTTGAACTACTCCAATCATTTCTTCCTTCCTTTAACCTTTCTCCCCTGCAACCGCTGGCTTTTCTCTGCATTATTTCCAGACCCATGCAGGGGAGGTGCTAGAACAGCTAGAGGCCTTCTCAACTCCTTTGAGGCCCCAAGGAAGTTTTTTAAAAAGGTAATTCACGTTCCTTGAGTTCTCTGCTTCTTCAAAGACAAAATGAGAATCATGTTTCTCAAGATTTTACCATATCTCCTTCCTCAGTGACTTTTCCTCATCAATTCCCTATTCACTGCCTCCCACTATTCATTAATATTCTGCAGTTTTCAGTTCCCTGCATTTGCTTGAGCCTTCATGCTATTCCTCAATTCTGCTTGCTACTTGCAAGGTTTCTGTCCTCTAAATTTTCTACTTCAAACATATATTCATGTGTAACCTCCTCTATTAAGTCTTATTCTCACCTTCCTTCAAGAGATAGAAATGACAACTCTTTTTTTTTTTATTTTTTTATAGATGTACTTTCATTTATTTATATAAGAACTGGGGTACAGGCCAGATGTGCAGGAGGGTGAGAGGATTCACCAGAGACAGAGTAGGGAGCAGAACGGGCAGAGTGACTAAAATACACTGCTGAGGGGAGTGACTGAAATACAGGGCTGGGAGGGATCGAACCAATGTACAGAGGAGGCCCAGAAATGACAACTTCTTTTCTACCTTCATTATTCCCTATGAAGAATCTACTAGTTGTCTAATGTAAGTGGTGTGCTTATTTTTTTTTTTAAGATTTATTTATTTATTTATTTATTTATTTATTTATTTATTTATTTATTTATTTATGCAAGCACTGGGTACAGTCAGAAGTGCGGGAGGGTGAGAGGATTCACCAGAGCCAGAGGGGAGAGCAGAGCAGGCAGAATGATGAAGTACACTGCTGAGGGAAGCAGAGGGCAGCAGGAGAGGTTTGCACGCCATGTGGGACCCTCGCCCAGTAGCCGGGAATCGAACCGGTGCTGCAGAGGTTGAGGGCAGCTTCACAACCCAGCACTCAACTGCTGCGCCACCGGGGAGGCCCTGGTGTGCTTATTTATTGTCTCTTATACTAAGCCCTAAACTAGTTCGGGACCAATTTATTAATCTTTGATATCTCTGCAAAAGTTCCATAATTGCTAACTGAAAAAAAGGAAATGAATTAGTAAGTGGTAAAACCAATCAAATTCTCCCAGAGAGGTGCAAACTATATACCTCTTTATTTTGAAGATTCTCTGAGGTAGAAGGCAAAGGTTCAACTGAATTTCCAGGACATACAGCCATCTGACTCACTGCATCTTTATTTCTAAAAGAAAAGACATAGACATATCATAATTATTCCTATCATTTTAATTCTTTTGTAAATTCAAGAGTCAGAAAGATTATCAGAAAAATTCAATAACCCCAAAGGCCAAGAATTACAACAGTCACACATTTATGTTTTCTTTTCATTTAAAAGAACACAGAATTGAAAAGCCAATAAAAAGTATTAAGTTAAATGACAAAGAAAATGGTCACCTGATAAAAATTATTTTTACTTTAGAAGGGGCACATTTAATGATCGATGAAGCATTCTGATGACTTCTTCCATATAAAATTTGACCATTGATCTGTGAAAAATAAACATTATTCATTGAGCCTGGAATTTTCACTTCTTAAGTTTTTAATCACATCAACTAAAAGTAAAGTTCATTTTTTTTCTCCCTTTCCAGAACATGAACCTGACTTTCATGGTGACTAAAGAAAAACTCAAGTTTAAAGCAACTCTAAAATTGCATGCATATAGTCTTGATGCCCATGAACTGCTGAGGAAGAAGTACCACTTATAGAGAGGAATCTTCTGACAGGAACTGGGCTTCCAGCATACTCTGAACAAAGCAAGGGATCAGTGGAAGCACGTCATGACCTGAAAAGATATCTTGAGAAATACCCTACTGTCATATTTCCCTAGTTAGTCTTAAACTACAAGTCCTGAAAATTGGTCACTGGCAGATTTAAGACTTGGGCACCAAAATGTGCCTAATAAACAAAGAATATAAAGGAAACTGCCATTCATCCAATCATTTAGGCATCACTGAATGAGCACTCCCAGCCAACAGAGAAATTCATTAGGTATGTAGAAGAGTATTAAGACAGAACAAACACATGTGGATCTCAGGCTACAGGAAGCAAGGATAAACAACAGGAGCAACTACAATTCCCAACACTATAAAGGATGGCCTACAAATCTGTTTGGTGGACTGCATGAGTTACTGCTTTTGTTATTTAGCCTTCACCTTGACCCCTTGCTTGCCACCCTCATCACTTATACCATTCAACTTCCAGAATGTCTACTGGGTCAGTATCTTTACTATGGTATGATTGGTCATTTGGCTTTTCAAAAGCTTCTAATAAAAATGCAGCATACAAATGTTTTTGAAATGTGATCTTTATTACTGTCTTGGGGCCAAAATTGTTTCTGGCACTACACAGCCACGACCTTTTAATGGAAGTTAATGGGAACATGGATTCTACTCAGTAGAGATTTGGCTTAGAGTCAAATTGCTGCAATCTATTTTATTAGACAAGTGGTAGTTTTCTCAGACACTATGAGACCCAGACAGATTTTCTGGAAACCGTTGGTTTCATTTCACCAATTCAGCAAAAGAAAATTCAGAATTTTCCAGAACTTACTTCTAGAAGCTCATCTGCAATCTGTAATCGACCATCTTTTCCAGCTGCTCCATTTGGATCAATACCCACTATAAAGACACTCATCCTGGATCGGTCTTTGTTCCCAGCAAGACTTAGGCCCAAGCCGCTCCGACCTTTCTCCAGTTCAATCATATGCAGCTCGCCTGTTAGGGTTCCATAACGCTCTCTGATATTTTCTAAACATAACAACAATTAAATCATTGGTACTGAGGGTTAATTCACAGTCAAATGCTTGATTACAGAAGGTAATTTAGTTTTATATCAAAAGGACACTATTTGTACCAAGATGTAATCCTCGGTAGTTAAGAAAAACTAGACTTACACTGACCATCAGAGCAGTAAGATTGGTTCTCTGAAGTATCAACCTTTGAATAATTTTTTGCATCCAGAGATTGCAGTGTCTGAATAATCAGTTCACTCGACATGATCAGGCCCAAGAGCAATGATTCAAATTAGCAAACTCAGGGCCTCCCCTGGTGGCGCAGCAGTTGAGCACTGGGCTGCGAAGCTGCCAGCAGCCTCTGCAGCGCTGGTTCGATCCCTGGCCACCGGGCAATGGTCCCACATGGCGTGCCGCCCGCTGCTCCCCTCAGCAGTGTACTTTGTCAGCTGCCTGCTCTGCTCTCCCCTCTGGCTCTGGTGAATTCTCTCACCCTCCCACGCTTCTGACTACTCAGTGCTTGTATAAATAAATAAATAAATCTTTTTAAAAAAATAGCAAACTCAAAAAACTTCATTAAATCAGAATGTTACTTTATTGTTTGCAGAGACCAGAACACCAGGATATTTGTCTTCACTGGTCAGTGGAAGCTTTTCTCCCATAGAAATAGTCTCCTTGCATATTACATCACATTGGGCACTTTCTTGATACATATAACCAGAATACAAGAAATGGGTTTCCTTATCTCACTGAGTCATCAGGCCAGGTCATTCAGTGTACCTGGCCCAGCTTTCAGACAAAAGTCTAATTAGATTGGAACTCCCACCCTACATGTTCAAGAGGTAGTGTTTATTCTTTGATCTGAAAATGAAGGCCACATGCAGGTGCTCCAGGTAATAGGTGCAGATATACAACTAGGCAGCAGCCAGAACTACATGACATTTTGGAGACTACCTGCCAGCTGAGGCCAATGAAGGACAGAACCTTGATAGATTAACATCAAATTATTGTTTTGAAGTCATTAAGTTGTGGGGTGGCCTGTTATAAAACAACAGATAACTGAAGCATTCTGTTTCATCTTTTACTCAGAGTACCTGCTATTCTTCTGGGAGACTTCAGTAATAATCACTTAGAAAATGTTACTCTATGATTAATATGCATTTTGCATTGTTCTTAACTATATCAACGTTACATATTGCCACTTCCAGACTCCTTCTAGAGTCTAACAGCACAACTTTTTATTCTGTACTTCCAAAAAGCATAGGTTATAACTTTCTTTTTTTTTTTAATTGATTTATTTATTTATACAAGCACTGAGTACAGTCAGAGGCGCGGGAGGGTGAGAGAATTCATCAGAGCCAGAGCAGAGAGCAGAACAGGCAGAGTGACGAAGTACACTGCTGAGGGGAGCAGTGGGCGGCAGGAGAGGTCTGCGCACCATGTGGGACCCTCGCCCGGTGGCCGGGGATCAAACGGCGCTGCAGAGGCTGCGGGCAGCTTCGCAAGCCAGCGCTCATGAGCCACCGGGGAGGCCCGGTTATAACTTTCTTAAAGGAAATGACTGTATTTTTAAAATGAACCTTTTTTAAAAAAAATTTATTTATTTTTATGCAAGAACTGGGATACAGGCCAGATGCATGGGAGGGTGAGAGGATTCACCAGAGACAGAGCGGGGAACAGAACAGGCAGACTGATGAAATACACTGCTGAGGGGAGCAGCAGGCGAGACAGAAGAGGTTTGCTTCGCCATGCGAGATTCTCACCGGCTGGCCGGGATCGAACCCATGCTGCAGAGGCTGCGGACAGCTTCACAGTGTGGCGCTGAAAAGCCTGCGCCACCCAGGAGGCCCTAAAATGAACTTTTTAAGTGCTAATGCATTTATAACTTTTAGAGAAATTTTTAATATCTCCCTGAAAAGTAACATATTTCCTTAGAAAAAGAGACACCCCCAATGCTCCTGATAGCGACTGCCTTTGAATACTTCCTGTGCATTAGGCATTGTGGATAGCCCTTCAGATATTATTGAAATTAAAGTTAGTAACTTGAGGTAAGAACTGCATTTTAAAAACAGGGATAATCACCAGGCTAAAACTTAGAGACAATTAAATAAATTGCCAAATGCACAAAATTTTCATCTCGACAGTTATGCTAAGTTACCAACCCTAGTACTAAAAATACCAGAAATTCAAGGCATAACAACAACCATGTTTTAACAATGAAGACTCTGAGGCCTACAGAGGGATGATGACTTATTCAAGACCACAAGGAGGCTGATTCAGTACTAGTCTGAGGGATCTCCTGGCCCTCTTTAATTCTTACACAAATAGCAAAGTGGGCTTTAACAGGAATGCACATTTAAAGGAAAGGAAGAACATGATTTCATGCCTGAGGAATGTGTGCTGCATTCAGGCAAAACAAACAGTACTTTTTCCACACAAAATTGCAGCATGTATAACTAAAGCTGAAACATACTTATTCCTCCAGTGCGTAGCCTTGAGAAACCTAAAGCTATTTTAATACCTTTTATTATTGAATCTGTCACAAAAGACAACTTACTCCAGCTATAACCAAACTCATCCTCTTTGTCCACATCTTCTGAGATTTCACTTGCAGATGACTGTGCATGATGACTGCTCATTTCTGCAAATGCTGAAGAAGGGGGAGGAGGCACATTGCACAATGGAGCCTTTCCTGGCTCTGATTCTGACTGACTGGGTGCCTGTGGGAACAAAAAGAATGCAGTGGGTATGTGTAGTCAAAGGGAGAAAAACATAAGGAAAAAAATGAGTATAATGTCAAAAACAGATATTGGCTTTAAAATATCTGACACATAAAGGACATGATATGTGTGTGTGTATACACACACACACATATATACACAGTATGGTACACAGGATGCTAGGATTCAGGTATGTTTAAATATACTAAACAAAACAATATGTATATAGGACATTCCATTAATTGAAATTCATTAAATCAGAATTATTTAATGTGAAGGCCTAAATGGCTTATGGTAAAAAACTATAGAGATTTTCCCTGTGGGAAAAACCTGCATTCAAAATTTTCACACATGTGTAGGGTCTGGGAAAGATTTGGGAGGATCTAGGAAAGTCTTACAAGAAACTAGGAAAAAAATGAACAGAGGAGTGAAATGATCAAAGAAATGCAAAGCTTGTTACTGAGAATAAATATAAACAACTTTTTATTGCTACCTGAATCCTCTCTCCAAATGACTCAATCAAGCCATGAAAATGTGCATTACACATGCAGATTCATCTATGAGGGGAGCTAGTTTGTTAGCACAGAGCACACAGACTCAAACCTATGGGGCTGGTTTTAAGGGACAATATCATTCACTTGTCAAGATAGTTCACAGGTAAGTGAGAAAACATGCAAGAATAACTCATACACACCAAAGTGGGGCAGACTTGCTGTCACTTAAGGATATAGGTTCTATTTCAAACAATGATTTTTGTATCATCAAGTTCTTATATATAGATTAAACAGAATATTAGAGTTTGAGAGATCCTTAAGTCACTGAGTTTGTGTTACTCATTTTGCAGATAATCTGAAGACATGAGAAGTGAACAATTTTATTTGAAATCACACTGTGATAGGTTTCTTTTTGCTTAATTTTTATTCCAATGCACATCCCATTATACCATGTTGTCTCCTCCCAGTTTCCACAGTAAGACAGTATGTAATTCAAGAGTAGAGATAGTCAGCTAAAGTTCCTACCCTGGTGTAAAGCTGTCCCTGACACCTGGAATCTACATTTTCTCTATCATTCTTTTACATATTTTCTACACTGAAATTCCTTGAATAAATCTCATTTTATATACGTATTCATGGAAAATGTAATATTAAAAAAAAACCTTCTTCCAGAACACACTAAATAATAGGCATGCACAGACACTTAAGATTAATTGTTGTCAAGAATAAAAATACCTAATATGGGCCTCCCTGGTGGCGCAAGGGAGTAAGCACCACATTATGACACAATCTGCAGCCTCTGCAGCACGAGTTCTATCCCTGGCCCGCCAGGGAGCAACCCACATGACAAAGCAGACCTCTCCTGACTTGCCCACTGCTCCCCTCAGCAGTGTATTTGTCAGTCTGCCTGTTCTACTCCCCACTCTGTCTCTAGTGAGTCCTCTCACTCTCCCATATCTCTGGCCTGTTCCCAGCTCTTGTATGCATAAATAAATTAAAAAATTTAAAAAAATTAATATACCTAATACAAATTATATCTAATACTAAAATTATTTAACACTGAATGCAAACTTTGATGATTCAGAAATCACTTCAGGATTCTAACCTAACCCCAGGGTTCCTAATAAATATAAATTACTATTTTCTAGCAAAGCACAGAAGAGCTAATTGATAGGATTTATGGGCAATACATTTTCAAGTTTCAGAATCTGCTGTGTTAAACTTTTTGGATTATATACCATTAGCCAGTCAAAAATATAAACAAATGCTATTATCCCACATGCTATGCCATAAAACTCTAAAATTAACCATGTACAAGTGAAAAGGAACCAATAAACTAATTTGATCAAATCACATTTCATTAAACTAAAGTGAGGGGTAATATGTAATTTATAATTTTTTTGGTTATAATAAAAATGTCTTTGAAATAATGAAAATGTTAGAAAGCATGAATAAAGCCCATTTCATTATTTAATAGCACAAAATCTAATTTGAATAACCTATATTTTAATAAATGTATAACACAAATTTCATAGATTTTTTTGAAGAGTAATTTTATTTTACTTTATTTTTTAATATTTCATTTTATATAATTCTTACATCATTTTTCATTTTTGCACAATATATGCATTTTCATTTTGGTGATATTCCCTATACAATTGCACCCCCCCTTATATTGAACCTAGTCCTTCCTTTCCCCGCTCCCCCCCACCATTATAGATCTCACTGCACAACTTTTCTGAGCTGTTATTTTCCTTAAAAATAAAACTCTATTTGTGTTAAAAAAAAAAAAAAACAACATTCATGAGCTAGCTTAGGCATATTTTCGTACTGTAAGTAAGCTAAAATGGTGGCCTAACATAAGTGACTAATGGAGAAACACAAATTTGTACTTACCAAAGGGGCAATTAGTACCCTGAAACTCCTCACTGAGATCATGTACTTAGATTATTGTTGACATTTCTTAAAGTTTATATACAAAAATTTAACTCTTTAACAAAGATTGTTTAGCTTTCATTGGGAAAAATACAAAGTGTGCTTGAAATCACTCCATGCCATGTATGCACACACAACATCCACACATAGCACACTATTACACACCTTCTTGCTAATGAAAATTTCACACTAACACAAACCTTAAATGGTGTGGGGGCAAAAGGGTTAGTTGGAGAACAATGGAAGATAACTCTACTTGAATTCTGTAATTCCTACAGTAACAGAAAACATTCCTTCAGATACAGCATCGTTGATTATCCATATTATAGTAACATGAAATCCAATGAATATCCATAAAATGCTTCCTGAAAGAAGCTATTTTCTTCCTTTTCATGATCAAATTATAGTATATAAGTTCTTCTAAATTTTTATTTGAATTTTGAATATGATTTCATCAGAATAGGAGATTATTTAAGTATAGATTTATAAAGCAATGAATCAGTTACATCAGTCCCTGATTTAGGGACTCACTAGGACACACTTCATGAATATTCAACAGACTCCTACACAAATACAATTATTTGTAGAGTGATTAACTCACAAAATAAATTGAAGGAATTGTATAAGTCTGTGGAGGACTTAAAGCAATACAAGGTTTTAAAGAAATTATGTGTGAAAGCAATTTATACATCTAGCAATAAAAATTAAAGTATCAGAAAATTTACTCACACCAATATACAGGGAAGGCATTGGACTTACGATTTTCCCTTACTCTTCAGAAGAGCCATCTAATTTTAGCTATAAAAATGAATATGCTCTGGCAAGATAATATGTTAAAGAAAGGATTTGCATGCCTATTCCAAACACAGTTCTTGTTTATTTTTTTCCCTGCCCAAATTTAGTAAACGGTGAACTGGGACAAAGGCACAGTAGTAACACAAAACAAAACGGTTTTGCAAAACGCAGTGGCAAGACAATGGGCATTATCCAACCTTGTCAGCGTTGAACTGTAGAGAATCAGCAAATGGGTTAGTGCTGCTGAAGTTGAACTTAGGGTAAAGGTTGTGCGGCAAGGAAGGCAAAGGGGATTTCTAAAAGGAAACATAAGAGGCACTGAGCCTGAAAGAAAAGTATTGAAATCAACTCAGTTTAAAGAACAAAGTACTTAATGATTTAAATAACTATATAAAATTAGAGCCTATCAGATCTAGCAATTGATAACATCTTAAACATTCTGAAACTAAACATTTTCCTCTAGATACCAGTTTTTACACCTGAATCTAAATCTGACGACAAACTACAAAAGAAAAGACCTAAACACTTTATTTTCACTGAATGTCTTGACTACCAGATAGATGAACATATATTTCAACCACTTTATATCTCAATATATGTTCCATGCATATCAGTAAACATGAGTCAAAAGTAAAGCCATAAGTTCGTTATTTACATTTAAAAGTGAACGTTCTTATTTTTATAACACAAGAGTCTATCTGTTCTAAAATGCAAAGTAAGCATTTTTCTGCTAGCTCATTGGTAACATTTATTATTCTTTTAACTTGTTTTCCAGAAGGAAACTATTCATTTTGACTATTGTGGAGGTTGCTTCAGGTAACATTTTTGCTTTTTTCATAACTGTGTATGGTTTATTGAATTATCTCAAAAGTAGATTTTAATTTAAAAAGTGATCCAGCAATTTTTAAAGAAAAGAACCCCTCTACAGTAGTGTTTTCTATTTCTGCCCACTTTCTGTAGAGGGCAGAGATTCATGCTGTTGTTTTTATTTTAATTTTCTATAATTGTTCCCATATTATTGGGGAATTTATGAGGCTTTGCGTAATATCTCAAGTCCTTCCTTAGTATATTTCTCATTGATTTTGTAGCTTATCCTAAGCTAAGACTGCTGGAGTTGAATATACATATTAAAGGCAGGATAGCTGCCACATAAAATTAATCATTTTCTTAGTTAAAAAAGTAATTTCCTTAGCACAATAAATTCTCCCTTTCACACACACTATCTTTTTATTTTATTGACTGCAACTTTTTGGGGAATTGCAGACATTTAAAATTCACGTTGGCTCCAATTAAATGTTTGTGTTACTTCTCTCTATAAAAAAGTCCTACTGGCAAGCATCAAGAGTAGGGAGAGGTTATCATGTGACACCACCCTGTATGAGAGAACACTCTGGAAAGCCTCTCTCCTCACTCAGTATGTCTGTACTAAAGCTTATGCCACATTACCCTTTCAATCTGCTCTTCTTGCAATGTTTTTCCTACAGAGGGAAGATAGGAAAAAGAAATGGGCACTATGACATTTCTGCTCATCTCAATTTTCTTCTTGCTTCAACTTAAAATGTCAACTCCTGCTTTACAAAAGAGAAGATCAAAAATACATAAAAATATGACCATTTATTAAGGAATAAATGACTCAGCAGAGATTAAAAACATATCCTGGGCAAAATAACTCAACGCTAAGGAAGGTAGCGATTATTTCTAATTCATATACATGGAATGCTTAGGTTTTCTGCTTCCATTATATGTAACAACATGAAACAATACCATAAATGAAATACTTATGGAACAATAGTTTTTCATTTTCCTTTGCTTTTTTAATATGTAGTTCTTAAAGGATCAGAATTTGGTCCTAATAGGAGGGTATCAAAGGGTACAGCATGAGCATAGCAAATGAAATGGTAGATGACCATATATTATTAGGGAAAGATTTATAGAAACAGTCTGTTTCTTATTTTTAAAATCAGAGGGAAAACTTCTGTTTATAGTCCTAAGAGCTGATAAAAATAGAAATGTTATTAACTGAGAAGTACAGAGAAGACAAAAACATTCTCTGGCCCATATTAATTGGGCCCACCCTTTAATTGACTACATGGTCAGAATAAATTCTGTAAAGCATCATGCTGGTGTAATTATCAGGGCTAGTTCTGGTAGTTCTGATTTTTTGAACAGCCTGAGAGCCAAAAGGACTAAACGACTTTTTAGACTACATACAAGTGATTTTCTAGAATCATCGTTAGATTCACAGATAAAAAAATGACTCTTAAGAAACTAAGTATTTGTGATTTTTTTTCACTTAGGTTACTGTGGACATGATTATTTCCATAGTTATGTAAATAACTGAAAACAAAATCTACATCATTTTTAATGCAAAATTAATTGCAGTTTCCCAAAACAAAATGTATCACGTAGAGGAAGGAAAATGTATTTCTCTATCCATCTAAGGTTACTGGCCATATTTCTGTAACAAAAAACAGGTTAAAAAAAAAAAAAAGCAAAACACGTATACTTATTTGTTTTATGTGATATGGGAGCCTTTATAAGGAGATGGAGATGTGAAATAAATTATATAAACCAGAGTGTTTTTTATAATAGATTTGATAAAGTGGACAGCTATGGAGAATACTGGACAAAAAGGCGCTTGAAGGATAGGACTTTCTTAAGACGCTCAAAGCAAGCTTTCCCAGAACATGTCACTGTGGTATATGGATTTTGAGTTGAGGTCAACTGAGGGTTCAAGAAAACTTTCACCACTCCATTAAATCTAGGTAATACCTACATTTAGAACTTTTATCAGAATTAAACTTTCTAAGAAAACCACGTAACAGGGCAAACATCTAATTACAGAATACTTGAGTCACCCCCTCCTTATAATGTGAGTGTCCCTCTTTTCTCTTTGAAGTCCCATATTCCTTTTCCATTCCTTAGCTCAGGAGACATACCCTCATTTTACCCTATTTGCTTTAAAATCTACATCCTTGTACATTCTACACACACATTAATTATTTTCTCCCTCTAACCTATCTGATGTTAATTTGATTGCTAGACCAGTCCAAGTAGAACAAGTGGGGCTTGGGGAAATTTTCTCTACTCCTCTAAGCTAAAGATATTGAATTAGAGGAAATCTAGCAAGGTCTGTTCATTTAGATTCCTCTCGATGTCCCTCCATCTTTGGAGACCAGGACATTTCTTTCCTGCAGGTATAGGAGCTGCTTCAGAGTAGAAGGGATAAATCAGAGTCCCTCCATGACCTGCCATTTCTCAAATTCCTTTTTCTTAAAATAATATATATGCAGGGCCTCCCTGGTGGCACAGGGGTCAAGACGCAACCTATGAAGCAATGCGCAGCCACTGCAGCATGAGTTCGATTCCTTGCCAGCCAGGGAGAAACCCACATGGCGAGACAGACCTCTCCTGTCTTGCCTGCTACTCCCCTCAGCAGTATTCTTTGGTCCGTCTGCCTGTTCTATTCCCCACTCTGTCTCTGGTGAATTCTCTCACCCTCTCGAGCATCTCTGGCCTGTATCCCAATTCTTGTATAAAAATAAATAAATCTTTAAAAAAATAATATATATGCAAAGTGGCTTTCTTAAATCCTGTCAGATATAACGTGACTAGTCATGGCATTGTAAGCAAGACTTGTACAGGGATAATTGCACTAACATCAGGCATCATTATGCCTCACATAGTAAAATAGGAATATTTTCTAGGTGTATGAGAAAATGTCTTCTGACTCATCAGAAACCATGACTGGCATTGTAAGGAATGTTTATAGTTTAAGTTTTTAAATGTAATAGTGAGGACCCTTTTCAGCAGTTTACAATATTGTCCTTAATGATATAAAATAAAACAAAAAGTATTCCACTCACACACACACAAGTTTTCATTTAAATAGCCACATATCAACACTATCAAGCAGTGTCTATGTTTAAAACAATAAATGCAAACAAAAGTAGAAGATTTGTAGTTATTTAAACAAAGTGAATAGCACTTGAAATGAATGCACTATGATGTAGCCATCCTATTTGCAGATTTTCTCATCTGCATAAGTAATTATTACCTAACAATAAACAACTGAACGATTAAAAACTGCAGATGTGATGATAACTGTTTACACTAAGAACTTCTAACTTCATTTCTTATAGTGGATCAAACCAGAGCTACACCTGTCTTGACAACAAAAGAAAGGACCAATGGGTAAATCTGGTTTCTCTGTACTCCACTTGTCTCTTTTACAGAACTATTTGCTACTTTCTCCCATTATTTGAGCATCAACATATTAAATTCTCAATTTAAATGCTAAAATATGTACTGTATGCATAAAATTATTTTTTGTTCTATTTTAACTTCCCTCAAATATGCTGACATTTTCTTTTTAAGGATAACCAACCCTGAAAGCTACTAAACAAATACTGCAAAGGGAATCAATATAACAAGTTTCTTAAATCCAGAAGTAGAAATCACTATAAGTTACAGGAGATTTAAGAAACACCTGAAATGGTATATAAATTTCGCTGAATATGTATGTTTCTGAAGACCTTTCCAAGGCATGTGGCCCAAATACACTTAAGAACTGCTACATATGAAAATGTTTCCCACTGAGACAAAAAAAAAATAGAAAAAATAATTTTTAACTTGGCTTAAATTTTTCATCACTAGTATCATTAAAGATTTCGAATACACAAAACTCACTTAGTATATTTTATATCAACAACATGCATTAAATGTGCTTATACCTCCTAAAATATATTTAAAGCTATTTACTTGTCATGACTGATGATAAAAAAGGTTAGCAGGTTTCTGTCCAGTAAGGGCTGTATAAGATGGAGAGCTATAGAGGGTGGCTGGGAAACAGCAATCATGAAATCACCAGTATATGAACAGTTTAAACAAAATCTGCCATGTGAAAATTTAATGTACAGTGGGATAGACAAATACACTAAAGATTATTCACAGGTGATCACAAGATTGTATAACCTTGGAATTTGTTCTAAAGACTACATTTACAAAGGAAATGTAAATAATTTATTTGCCTTGAAAGGTGCTCCTGGAGAAATGAGGGATTAATAACTTAATTCCTCTTAATGAATTACATAGTCTGTGATTATAGTGAACACTAATAATTATCCATATTTGGCTATCAAAGAATTCTACTTCTGTGTATTTTCAACTCATTTCAAGAGTATTTGAACATGATAGTGATTTTCAGGATAACTGAGTTTTTAAAAATAAGCAAAACCAATTTTTAGCAGTCTTCTGTGATTTAAAGACTCAGTATCTTTTTTCATACAGACAACTTGGCCACTGATACATTAGATTCCAAGTTGAACACTGGATATGCCTACCTTGCCCTTTGTGTTCGCTTACCCTTTGTCTGTTTATAATGCTCTGTACCATAAAGACTACAGGGTTGCCTGCTTTCCGAATGGCTTCCACAGCTTGTTCATGGCTTGCATCTCTGAGGTCCATTCCATCCACCTGCAATGGAAGGCCTTAGCTTAACATTTCAAGAAGCTATAGAACAACAGAATAATTGTGGTTCTGCAGTTTTGAGGACCCTAGGTGAGGTTCCTGGAAAATCTACTTCAGAAGGAAAAATAATTGAGTCCACTTATGAGACTCTAGAAATTTTATCTGCTCAGCAGATGTGCAATCCATTTCTTTGGACACAGATCTTTGTCTCCAGTAACAAAATGAAATAACGATCAATGGGGATGAGGTGCTTCTTCAGCTCTCCATATTCTACTCAATTTTTCCTTTAAATTAATAAATCAGCATGCCATTAAATAAATTATATAAAGGAATTGCCTAATAGGATTTTATTGTGATGAAAGTCACTAAAAATTTTTCTTCCAATTTATTATAGAATGGTTTGAGAAGTAGGTAGGTGATGCTTTGTATATTGCTCTCCAATTGGGAAGTTGAAAGTTAAAAACAAAATCCTGATCTTCACAAAAGTCAGGTTATTTATGGTAAGGTTAGTTTTGTAAAAGAATCTTAACAGTAGAGATGACAGGATCTGGAAGCCAAGAAACTGTACTTGTTTGTTAGCAATTCTCATAGAGCAGCTGGAAAATAAAAGTCATTTACAACTTTATATTGACCATGGATTGCCAGGTTGGTTATGAATAGGAAGGAAAATAGGTTGAAAGTCCAAATGTTAATCCTGCCAGAAAACCAGAAGATATTGTTATTATGTCCAATCACCACAATACTGTACATTTAACAAAACTGCAAAATCAGAGGTCACAATTCTGGAAAATAAAATTATTAGATCTCTGCACCTTTAAAGGAATGATATACATAACTGAAACATCCCTCAGGCTGATAGTTGGATGATAGAAAAATCTCTTTCAGGGCATATTAAAAATGCCTCCTAACTTTTTATAGAGTAAGAGTTAATTTCCATGTCTTTAGTTGGGCATTAATAGGAAAATTAAACAACTTACTCAAGTCCAAAGAATTGGAATGGATTCGTTTGTAGGTCTCTATTCATCTAGTCTATGCACATTTTTAGAAACTCTTAACAGGGATATGTTTTATAATTTCCAGTATAATAGAGGCCTAAGGCTTTCTTATTTACTAAAAAGTGTAGTAAACTAACACCATCTCGAAAAATAATATAGTAAAAAAAAGTCCCTGCACATGACACTCAACAAACCACTACTAAATGGCATGAAGTATTTTTCAACACACAAAACTCCCAGTCTTTTTAATCTGAAAGGAATGCTTTAGCTATCTTAAAACATTTAAACTCTTGTGCAAACAATGATCAATCATCTATAGAAGTAATTATAAATATTTCTTATTTTTCTACTAGGTCAAAGACATTTAATAGTGAAGTAACCATAAAATAAATTGCCTTTTGATAATCTGAAGTTGGATATTTTAGATTGTATTATAGAGTATTTTACAGAGTCTAAGTTATCATCTAATGAAAGGTAAGGATACAGAAAAAAGAGAGTAATCTCATTCTTCCTTATAAAGAGAGAAATCTCATCATTCTTCCTTATAAATAATCACAAGGAAAAATAACAGATGTGGCCTTTGCTCTCTCTCAAATCTCAATCTTTTCCCTTCTTTAGTTCCCAGGGACTATAAAACCAATATAAGAATAAATAAATATCCATAGTACTCATTTTAAAGTTATGAAGTACTATAATATTCTTATACAAAATTAAGGCATTTTAATGTGTATGTCATAGATTTAGAAAATGAAAAACAATTATTTATATAAAATAAAATATATTGGACATTATAGCAATAAAGCAATCGGTTTTTATTTGCAAGTTGTCTCAGTCTACTCAATCAATTAAATCCTGACAACTCAAAAAGGGGTCGTATACCCCTTCTTCTACCCTCTTAACTAAAACTCTTCTTGTCCTGATCAAAAATTTATCACACTGCTCTGAAGTGACCTGATTACTTGTCAAGTCTGTCCCACTTGACAGGCAGGCATGGCGCCTTACTCACTGTGGGAAGCTCAGAGCCTGTTATAGCACCAGGAAAGCAACAGCTGCTCCAGGAATACTTGTTGAAAAAATGAGAGAGTGACTCAAGACATAAAAGTCTATTTAAAATAATTAAACTTTTCTTTGAATTTAGGGACAGTGAAAATTTAATCAAACACCTTTCTCTTGTACATAACAAATAACATGTGAATATATAAACACATATGTACATGGACACATGCATGTGCACACACATACACACATGCATGCATACACACAGTCCTCAGTAATGAATGGGCACAGCACTGAGAAGAAGGAAAATCTGAATTTTGATGATGGGGAAAGTATTTATATGATAGTTAATCAGGGTCTTAGCATAAAAGATTTTACCAAAAATTTCATTTGGAAAAATTCTCCCCAATATAGTTTACCTAAAATAAGAATTTCTTGAAATTACATCTAATTAGAGAACTCAGCCACATTGTACACATGTAGTGCAGTTGTATATACTTTGAAATAATTCTAATGTTCTCTCCCCCCCAAAAAAAAACTTACTTTCAAACAGATCAGTCTCTAATTCAAAATATATAATCTATCACCAAATACTGAAGGGAAAATTTATGAATGAAATGGAATAAATAAAAAAGAAATGCTTTAACCACAAATGCTCTTATACTATTACACTGGGTTGGACAACCAATATAAAGATAGTGATTCCCTTGGTAAAGAGAATGAAACAAGTAAAGAATTTTAGCATAGAAAGTTCACTGGAGGGTACCTCTACTATTCTATCTCCAGGTTTCAAGGTTCCATTTTTGCCAGCTGGACTATCTTCAAGAACATGTTTGATGAAAATGCCCCTCATCACTTCACCATTGCTTAGACGACTCCCCATCCCTCGTCCACCAACAATGCTGATGCCCAAAGACTTGCTTGGTTCTCGCCAAAGTTCAACCCTATAAAACATTTAAAGAAAATTAAGTACTTTTAAGAAAATATGGAGAAAAGTTTTATGATACTGGATTTGGCAGTGATTTCTGGACTATGACACCAAAGACACAAAAACCAGAAATAGATGAACTGTGAACTTTAACAAAATTAAAAACTTTTGCTCATGAAAAGGTACAATCCATAGAGTAGAACAGCATCTTACAAAATGGGAAAAAAAAATTGAAAATCATGTGTTAGTTAAGGGACTAATATCTAGAATATGTAGAGAACCCCTACAACTCAGCAACAAAAAATAAACAACTCAACTGAAAAATGGGCAAAGGAGTTGAATGAATACTGCCTTAATGAAGATATACAAATAAATCTTCATAAGCACATGAAAAGGCGCTTAACCTCACCATTAGAGATGCAAATCAAATCAAAATCACAATGAGACAGCACCTTTTACTCATTAGGATGCTTACTATAAAAAAAAAAAATATCTCAAAACAGGAAATAAGGGTTGGTGAGGAGAAAAATGGAGAAACTGCAGAGAAACTGGGACCCTTGTACACTACTAGTAGTTGTGTAAAATGCCAACTACTATGGAAAACAGAATGGAGGTTTCTCAAATAATTGAAAGTATAATTACCATATGACCTGCAATTTCATTCTTGAGTATATATCCCAAAGAATTTAAAGCAAGATTTTGAAAGGAGATGTACACAGTGGTATTTATGGAAATATTCAAAACAGTCGAAAGGCAGAAGAAACCCAAGTCCACGAACAGATGAATGCATGAACAAAATGGTATATACATACAAAGAAATATTATTTGACCTTAAAAAGAAAGGAAATTCTGGCACACGCTACAACAAATATTAACTTTGAGAAACTTATGTTAAGTGAAGTCAGTCTGCTAAATGAAGGACACTAAAAAAGGACACACACTATATATCATTCCACTTAGATTATGTACGTAGAGCAGTCACTTTCATAGAATAAGAAAGTAGAACAGTAGTTGCTAGAAAATATGAGGAGGAGGGTATGAGGAGTTACTATTTAATAGGTCCAGTTTTAGTTCTGCAAGATGAAAAATGTTCTGGAGTTGGAAGACAGTGATGTTAGCAATGTAAACATCCTAAGGCTAGTGATTAGCACACATAACGATTCAAATGATTAAATAACATTTTTTTTTTATTTTAATGGGATATGTTGCTATATATGTTCATTTCTGCTAATACATTTTGCTCAATTTATTAGTTTTACCAGTATTAAACAAAATCATTTAAAATACCTTATGAATTACATGTTTTTATATAGGTTAACACATAGAAAAGTACTTCTGAACCTGATTAATTTCAAGTAAATACTGGACTTATACTTCAGCCTAGGGTACAGACAAATCAATGTAAATATAATGTTTGCCAAGAGCTCTAATATTATGGACATTAAGTAACCAACAATTCAGCAATTCCAAAATAGGTGATAGCTTATAAGACCAGCAACCAAAAATCAAGAAAATAAACATTTCTGTACACAATTTGTCAGAAGCTTTCTTTTGTATAACTCTTGCTTGTTAAGGCAGACATGGCAGAAGGGCAGCATAAGCAGGGTTGACAAGACCCTTTATTACTGAATCTTGCCATTACCTCCTAAACTCATCTCCATAGCTCTCTGCTTTCCTACTTTAATTCCAGCTACCACATCATCTTCTTGCTGTTCCCACCTTGGGCTTGGCACTGGTTACTTCTTCTGCCTTATATGCACTTCCTTGACCCATGAAATAAACACACATCTTTATGTATAATAACTGTAAATAGTTAAAAGAGCTATAAATAAAATTTGTGTCTCATGAAAAGGATGGGATATAAGAAGGTGATTAGCAGGTGATGGTTTAGATATAGGAGCAGCTAAGGGAACTTAAAGAAGACAGAGACAGCAAGCAGAGATCTCTTAATGAAACTTCAATCTGGTCTATGCTATAGGAAGGGACATTTAATGTTAATTAAATGGAAGAAAGTACGGTCCACACATGCCATCAACATTGAAATCTGAGGTGCTCCCAGAGGGGAGGAAGGTTGGAGTCAGAACTGCTGTGAAATGAGGGAGTAAGGTCATTCTGGGAATCAAGAGTAACACAGATGGAGTGAGGAGAAAGGGAGCTGATTACATGAAGACAGATGATGAGAAACAGCCTTACCTCGGTCAGCAATATTTTTCTTTATTGGAAATCTTAATCTTAGAGACTATTCACTTTGAAAGGATCTCACTAAGATCTTACAAAATTTGCGTAGTTTAAACTAGTCAAAATAATTTTCTTCACTCTAGTAATTCTGTGAAAGATGAGGCAATTTTTTTTTGTTTGTTTGTTAAAGCATTTCCTCAGGTAAAATGGTAATGCCAGTAAATTTAGCTATTGAATGTAAATATTTAAAAATCCAGAATACACAGGTGGGATTCCTCAACTTTTATCTGGTAAGTGGGGAAAAGTAAATGAAAGAGTAAAAGAAAATATCTTGGAGGGTTCCTTGCAATTGGTTTAAATTATAAAGTGGTTATGATTTCTTAAATATTAAAAGTAGCATCAACAGTCACCACAAACACTTAAGTACTTATCTTATGGTCAGCATTTTTCCCTGAGTAAGTTCCAAGTACTTTCCTTTAATTCTCACGACATCCCCATCCCTATGAGCTGGATAGTCTTATTAGCTCCATTTTGTTTTTTACATTTTATTTTATTTTTTTTAAGATTTATTACTTTTTTATTTAGGCATACAAGATCTGGAGTGCAGGCCAGAGGTACAGGGGGCAGGGAGGTGAGAGGATTCACCATAGACAGAGTTGGGGGAAGGGGGAAGAACAGGAGGATCCACTGAAATACAATGCTGAGAGAGCAGTAGATGAGACAGGACAGGTCTGCTGTGTCATGTGGGTCACTTCCCTGGCCAGACTGGCAATGGAACTCATGCTGCAGTTGCTGCCAGAACTGACTTTAACCCCTGCACCACCAGGGAGGTGCCAGCTCCAATTTTAAAAGAAGGTAAGATACACTAAGAAGTTAGATAACCCATGGATAAAAGCACCATATGCTCCATAGGGCTTGGAACAGATAGCAGTGTTTTCAAATACATTCTCTGGAAGAAATTCTGTAATTCCCTAAAACACCGGAGAAGATAACCAAAGACAAAGCTTGCAAAATGACCAGAATGTTGAGGAATAAAACTCATTAGTCACTGAACAGAACACGGTAAATATTACATTGGGGGGGGGGGTGGCTACAAAAGATAAATGTTATAGAACATGCTCATTTCAGGGTTAGTTTTGTGATAAGATGGCAGCCTTTCTTGGGACGTATACATATGTTTCAAAGAATGAAATTCAGAAAAATAAAGGTTAAAAATAACAGAGATCTGAACTCCAGACTGAAGGAGCTCTGAACCAAATTCAAGGCCTATTCTTTAGTTATTGAATAAATATATGATTACAACCTAGCTTCATCTCTCCCATATTTTTCACAGCTGTGAAATGGAGTTAGTAAGAGTCTACACCAAAAAATTGCACTGAGAATTAAATTGTGAACACACATAAAATGCAAAACAATGCTTTGACACCTAATAAGCAAGCAATAGATTTCTTTTTTTTTTTTTTTTTTAAAGATTTATTTATTTATTTATACAAGCACTGGGTACAGTTAGAAGCGCGGGAGGGTGAGAGAATTCACCAGAGCCAGAGCGGGGAGCAGAGCAGGCAGAAGGACCAAAGTACACTGCTGAGGGGAGCAGCGGGCGGCAGGAGAGGTCTGCGCGCCATGTGGGACCCTCCTCTGGTGGCCGGGGAGCAGCCGGGGCTTGAACCAGCGCTGCAGAGGCTGCAGGCAGCTTCGCAGCCCAGCACTCAACAGCTGCGCCACCAGGGAGGCCCAAGCAATAGATTTCTTAATATTATTATAATTAGGGTTATGATTACTGAGAAAATGTGAGCAATATATAAAAGTCAATTCAGATGACAAGTGAGCAGCTATGTACACCACCAACTCAACTCTATTATATCTGTACATTGATTATTAAGAAAGCCTCCAATTTATCCATCAATTTCACAAAAACATTTTAAAAATAAAATCATGACATGGTAACAAGGGTATGTGTGGAAAAAGTAATTCTCATATATTTGAAGAGAAGTAAATATTGGTGTGACCATCTTAAAAATTATTTGACAACTTCTAATAAATTAATTAAAACATTTACCTATGAATCAAAATTCTACTTTCGGATACATTCCTAGATACATAAGTATACATAAGTCTCATACATAAATATAAAGAAATAGATATATTCACTGCACATAATTATTATCTCTGTAAATAAGTGTTAAATATGCAAATATCAATCTGGAAATTAATTAGGATATATTCATATATTGAAGTGAAATACAATAGCTAAATTGAATAAATTAGATGTTATCTTTTTTTTTTAAGATTTATTTTATTTTTACAAGAACCTGGGTATAGGGCAGATGCGCGGGAGAGTGAGAGGATTCACCAGAGACAGAGCAGGGAACAGAACAGGCAGACTGACGAAATACACTGCTGAGGGGAGCAGCGGACGAGACAGGAGAGGTCTGCTCGCCATGTAGTTTGCTCTGAAGCCAGCGGGGATCTAACCGGCACTGAAAAGGCTGTGTACAGCTTCACAGCGCTGTGTTCAATCGCCTGCGCCACCAGGGAGGCTCCTAGATGTTATCTTAATTAAACAACTTGACAGATCTCCAAAGTAAGGAGGCTGCCCAATGATGTATATAGTATGATACTAATTCTATAAACAAAGCCACCAGCAAAATAAGAGAAATAGTTTGTTTACAATATTAAAATTTACAATCACTATAAATTCGGTAGTTTTTTTGCTGCAGGAATGAAAGTCCCATCATATTGCAAATGTTGTAGACCATGTTTATAACTCTTGTTCCTCATTTACTAAAATCTGTGGTTCTTTTGGTAAGCTTCTTCATAGAATTTTATGAGCTTTTCCCCCAAAAGTACCTTAATGCTTATACTTATATTAGAGTACAGGGCTCTTTCTTAAAATTTCTGGCAACTCCAGATATATTCTCTCTGAAAAGTAGATACCACCTTTGAAGACACCTCTCAGGCTACTGTGAAGGTTAAAACTGAGAATAAAATTATAAACACCCGATTCTTTCACATGAAGAAATTTCATAACAAATGTAGCATTTAAAACTTTGTTATAAATGATATTTGCTTAGTTATAAATGATAATAGTGGTGATGATGATGAAAAAAGACCAGGCAATGTCTCACTGAGTGTTCTCACTCTGTATCAGACACTATGCTAAGGATATCACATGCATTATTGATGGGGTTCAGATGAGATGCTGGAGTTTAGCGAGTGGGGACCTTGGTTTTACTATGAGAAAGATTTTAGCAGTTTCCCATTCAGCGTCCATCCTAATTATTCTTCACTAAGCTTCCATCATTATCATACTGAATCCTTCCCCAAACTGGAAAGTTTCTATTAATAATCCTATTTTCAAGATAAAGTACATGGAACCTCACAGAGATTAAGAAATTTATCTTAGAAAGTATCTTGGTGACTCCCAACACCTTGCATATTGCCTTCTAAAAGCAATTTTCCCTCTCACAACACTACTAAAACTGGTTAACTTATTTTTTTCTCTGTGATTACTGTCCTCCAACAAATTCAAATTTATCACTATGATCACTAAATGCAAAATAACTTGATCTAATTTACTTCTATCTCCATTCTCAAATAAGTAAGAAATTTGATATCTTACAGTACATTTTTTTACCACAGATCTACACTTATATTTTTTTCTCAACGTAGGTATTGATATAGAGAGACTTTTATTTCTTATGTCAGGCTTTTAAAGAACTCAAAAATCAAAAAGTAATTTTAGCTGACTGGAAATGCATACTATTTATGTGAAGGCAGCATAAATTGTTGTTCATACTCTGAACATCACTCAATCTAGAAAATGTTTCATGTGATGGCTGGAGTCTCAAGTTAATAGGTGAGCATGGAAAATCATCGAAATATATTTCTGAATAGAAGAAGACATGTTTTTGACTTAAGCAATGTATTTACTCACTGCAGTGCACATATCAAATGTTTACTAAGTGCAAGGCACCATGTGATAATCACTTTTAGACCTAGTGAAAGATTACTTACCATTTACACCTAATGCAAAATACTTGGTATTTTTCTTTAGTCATTGTGTATGTGTGTGTATATACTACATCTTGCCTAACCCAAGTAAAGATAACTTCCTTGAAGGCAGGATTTATTCCTATCCATCCCTGCTATTCACAAAGTCATTGGCCTCGCATTTGGTCCAAAATCAGGACTCCATATATTCCTATTAAACTTTGTTTAATTTTACTCAGCATGAAACAAAAACATGCCTCAGTGATATATAATGATAAACTGGACCATATTAAAGAAAATCAACTTGGGCCTCCCCAGTGGTGCAGCGGTTGAGCACTGGGCTGCAAAGCTGCCCGCAGCTTCTGCAGCGCTGGTTCAATCCCTGGCCACCAGCAAGGGGTCCACATGGCCTGCAGACCTCTCCTGCCCCGCCCACTGCTCCCCTCAGCAGTGTACTTCAGTCCTTCTGCCTGTTCTGCTCCCTGCTCTGGCTCTGGTGAAGTCTCTCACCCTCCTGCACTTCTGACTGTACCCAGTGCTTGTATAAATAAATAAACAAACAAACAAACAAACAAATAAATAGATAGGTAGATAGGGTAGAGAGATAAATAAATAAATCTTTAAAAAATAAAGAAAATCATCTTTTCTAGTATATATGAAATGAGTGCTAGAAAAATTAGGAATTAGAAAAAACATAGTCTATAATAACATGCCTATTTATACACATTTTGAATATATAAGCTTAAATACCAAGCATCTAAAAATGCTAGAGAAAATACAAATTAATACTTGATAGTATACCTCAGATCAAACTCCACAGAAATTATCCATTCCAACATTCTATGCATAATTTTCCCTAATTTTATTTGTCCCTATTATGTTCCCAAACCCTATGCAATAAACATTATCTTCTCCACTGTACATATGAAGAAATATTTAGGAATATGAAACAATTTTTCCAATGCCATAGTAGCAAGATGTAATCAAGTACTTGCAACACACCTCCTTATCTTTAAACACTGAGTTGGCATAAGACAGAAATAGTCCTTACCGTCTGGGCTGATTCCAATTGCTGTATGCTGCATTTTGTAGTTCACTTTCTTCTCCTTCTCCTTCTTCTCGCTCTGGTAGTTCTGGAATGTCTCTGTTAAAGAGTTACACAGTAAGACTCCAAAATCCTAGCTAAGCCATGCAAGACTGTCTTATGTGTATTTGGTTTGGCCAGTACGTGTAAAATATTTTACTTAAAGGGAAAAGAAGACCTGTTAAAGCATAATAAAAACCATATATTAGACTCAATCTACCATAACTTGTTCTGGAAATCTATCAATAGCTGAACACTGAGAGTCTTGTCTATACTGTTTCTTTATTGATGAAAAAAGAAATGAAAGGAGAAAAAATACAAAAAATTAAAGAAAAATCATTCAACAAGTATTTTTTAAATACCTGTCATGCAAGAAGCTAGAGCTACCACATAGATTATAAACAAGCACAGCTCTGATCCATCCCTGGTCTGAAAGAAGTTAGCAAGAATTTAACATATTTTCTTCCTTGGGCCTCCCCGGTGGCGCAGCGGTTGAGCGCTGGGTTGCGAAGCTGCCCGCGGCCTCTACAGCGCCGGCTCGTTCCCCGGCTGCTCCCCGGCCACCGGAGGAGGGTCCCACATGGCGCGCAGACCTCTCCTGCCGCCCGCTGCTCCCCTCAGCAGTGTACTTCGGTCCTTCTGCCTGCTCTGCTCCCCGCTCTGGCTCTGGTGAATTCTCTCACCCTCCCGCGCTTCTGACTGTACCCAGTGCTTGTATGTATGTATGTATCAATCAATCAATAAATAAATTTAAAAAAAAAAGAATTTAACATATTTTCTTCCTAAGGATAGATCAATACTTTCCCTACAACTTTTAAAAATGCTATTGTCCAGCTACAACCCATCCAAAAGGGCCAGACAGAATACTCTTTATAGGAAGTATATTAAAATGTACCTGTATTCAAGGTCACTTTGAATTTCTGTAGGAATTCACATTACCAAATACAAAACACATGAAAAAGGTGGCCTCAATCTGGTAATGAACTCCAAATAGAATTAGAAATTAACCGCAAAATCAAGAAAGTATCTTGGTTTTCCAAAGGTACTGATGCATCAGTAAATAACATCATAAGGGCAAAAGAAAATGGTTAAAATAATTATGGTGTGTCCTTGTGCTGTTTCTAAAAATTGGATTGCTAGAGACATATATATGTATAGTCTTTGAAAGCAAAGGCTATAAAACTTCTGATTCAATAAATGTTTAATTTGATTTTCACAGAAATTGACAAATATGACAAAGAATATGATCAAATTTTATTAATTCCCACTAATAGGAGTACTAAACTCTGACAAATTATATAATCTTTAGACTCTGAGATAGAAAGTCATCTAACCCAATAATCAACCTGTGTTTGACTGTATTGCACAACATTCCTGACAAACAAATATCCAGGCTCTCCTTGACTGTCTCATTGCTTTTTTGACCTGAATGTTACATGTTTGTTTGTCAGCTATTAAAAGGAAATCTACCTGTCTATTGGTTGGTTGTTTCAATTCCTTTCACATGCAATTTGAGGAATGAGGCTCTGGAAAAGGGAAAGGTTCTAAGAGTGTAAATCTGACACTAGGACAAAGAGCTCAAAGTGGGATCTAAAAAACAATGTTAAGAAGATGACTGAGAAGTAGATAGTCTGAATGAAGCCCTAATCAGAAGATGGAAAATTGAGAGGTGAAAACTAAACCTAACCCAGAGGAGACTAACATCCTAACTCCCCTCATATAAGAACTTCATTCTCTTTAAGGTAGTCTATAATCTTCAATACTTTTAATATGCTCCTATAAATGTGCTGATTATTCTTCATCCATCTTATAGTTTAAGGGACTCTGCTATGTTTGATTCATAGAGCAGAATGAACCAGTTCTCTTCCTCTGTCATTCCTTCAGCTAAGAATAAATTGGACTGCTTTGCATCCATGTTCAACTGTTGAGTATCAACAAAATTTCTGCCAATTATAGTAATAAACTATCTTTTCAAATGCATATAGTTGTCAGGTTGAAATCTAGTACAAGGTGACACAGCAAAGTAAAAGTAAGATCTGAATTAAGGCCATCTTTGTACAAACCTTGAACTCTGTTTCTATGCTATGTTGACATACATTTTTGTACTGGGCTTGAGCCATTCTTTCTTTGGATTCAATGGTTAAGAACATGGAGCCTGTCTGATTACATTCCACTCCTGACTGCTACTTATTAGCTGTGGAGCTTGGGCAAATTACCTAATCTCCCTCTGGTGCAGAGTTCTCCTCTATAAAATGGAGCTTGTACCTTATTTTATTAAAAGAAATAATTTGTAATTTGTCTTATTAATAACAAATATACTTTTTCTGCAGTACAGGAACTAGTCACAGTATTGGATAAACCAGATCTTGTCCTTTCCTCTGTTGGGAGGCAAAACAAGCATAGTGTCAAAAGTGGCTCTTTCTTTCTAGAAATCTGTAGTATTTCTAAGCCCCCCAAACTTAAAAGGAGTATGATGTTACTTTGAAAAATTCCTTAATTAAGCTATTTGAAATGAAATTTCAGAGGGACTTTAGATCAAATGCTTTTGCAATTTTGACAGGAAGCACCAGAGGCTATAATCAATTTGGGAGATTAAATCTGAGATTAAATTTCTAGAGCAGGATGTGGCTGAGCTTAGAGTGTGAAGTAAATATTCTTATCCCCATAAAATCCATGAGGCTCTACGAAAACTTTATTCCCTTTGTTAAACACACAGCATATTTTTCAGCTTTCTCAGACTGTCAGCACACTACGGCCAAGTACAATTTGCAGAGGATACTGATATGAACAATGCCATGCCTGTAGCATCACTGGGCATGAGGGTATTATGGAATGTTCTGATATCCTCTGAGGAACACATCTCAGAAGATTTTAGAGTGTCTGCAAAGCTATTTCTACTCTGCAACATATTTAGAGAAAAATTTGGCACTCAGTTGCTAATACAACTGAAAAAAAAAAAAAAAAAAAAAAAAAAGGACCCACAGCTGAGAGTGCAAAACGGTATGGTCTGGAAAAGCAGTATGGTCTGGAAAAGCAGTATGACATTATTTCTTTTTGACAGCATCATCAAAACCTAGTTTCTGCCCTCTTATGGGAGAAAAACTTTTTCCTGTGTTTAAGATTCTTACTAAATTGCATATCAAGAACCTTTAAAAGATGTATCATTCTGAATCATATACAGTGTTGTAAACCAATGTTACCTACATAAAAAAAAAATGAGGCATTTTCACCAAAAAATAAAAAAAGAAATTAAATTTAAAAAACCCCAAGTCACATACTCGGTTTCCTAACATGCATACACCAAGACATTCAACTCAACTTTCTCCAAAAGAGTTAAAAATAACCTTTAGAACTGTTTCTAAATCTGTATGTATGTTAAAAAGAAATTAACAAAATTTGAAAAGGCATTTGAGAAAGTATGATACAATAGCACATAAATTCTAAGTACAGGAAATTAATGAAAGAATATTCATATCTGGGGTAAATTCTCAAACTCTGTTTAAAAGTGGGTGATACAATTAAATATTATTTTAATTTCTTGACTTGAATTTTAATATATTTTTCTAAATTTCCCACACTATATGATAATAAGTGATTAGGGGAAAAGAGGAAAATGTTTTAAAAAATCTTTAAAAAGGGAATGAGCAATTCAGTCTTTTTTAACTGTTCTAGTCCTCTCTATGGATTCAAAACTCTTCTTTGTAATATACACTATCATTCATTCATTGTAGTAGATTTACTATTTCACTTACCTGCCAGTGTATGAAGAAAAAATATCCAATGCCATCATTCCTCTAGATTGTTGTCCCAAGCTTACTCTGAAGTCTTCCAAATGTTCTGTGGGCACATAAGTAATTCTGGAACAGAACACAGTTCATGAAAGTAAAGGGAAACAAAATTTGCTTAAGAGTTAAGAAAAATCTCCAGAATATAGACATGCTGTTGTATTGTGTCTATGCTCTTACTTTTTTCACACAACTCATTTAATCACCTTACTAGGCAGAAAATCCGAATTTCAAAAGGATAAAGTACCCTATAGATAAAAGTGACAACAGAAATTACATTTTAAAATTCTGCTACTGGTAAACTATTTACCAATAAACCATATGGGGAGGGAAGGTAGCGCTATTAGTATTCTTGAAGAAGACTAGTGATTTTTTAAAATTAGAAAGATCTATAAATCCTGAGAAAAATAACCAGTAATAACATTCATTTCATTCAAGGATTTTTGAGTTCCTTAGCAGAAACAAATTAGTTGTATTCTATGAAAACACTAAAAGTCACAAGTTACTTTATGTATTTCATAATCAAATAATTGACTGGATATTAACAAACATTACCAATAATTATGTTATTTCTATTAAGTTATAAACTGTCAAATCTGAAGTTAAACCATGATAATTCTATGGAAAGACTCTTACAAATTTAAGGAAACTTCTTTTAAGTTCATATTGGTTTCAGAGAAAAGGTTACTGTTTATACTTGCTAAATCAGTAAGTATTGGCTGAATGCCTATAAATGTAGCAGGCAGTGAGCTAGATATTGACTACAGCTGTAGTGTTTAGAAAATGACATTTGAAAATTCAAATCTGCTGTCCTATAAGGCCACATAGTTGTGATACACTTGTTTAAATAGGTTGTTTCAAAGCCCTTAAATTATTGAGTAGTAAAGCAAGAGAAAGATTGCATTTGGTTTAGCATGACTTTGCAACAAAAAGTAGTATCCAAAATGCGCAATATAAAGACCTTGAAGACTATAAAACTAGCTAGCCATAACTTACTTTAGACACAGTAATAAAATCTTAACACTGAAGGGCAAGGGTAAAAGGATTTTTATGCTGTAATAAATAAGAATTATGCCAATGGCATAATTTATTGAATGATTAGGATATATACTTTCAGATATATTGATCATTCCATAAAAAAGCATTCACTGTGAGATGATTTGGGTCTGGAGTCAAATGATACAGTTCTTTTGCTCATCAGGAGTATGATGAGAGGGTAAATTACTATCACTGAATGTTCTCCTCAATCTCAAAAAGGATGTAACTTTATACGAGACTACTGTAACTGAGAAGTATTCACACAAATTTAAGTCAGTTCTAAAAGTCTGATTCCCAACTCACGCTAGTGAAATCCATGAATTCTTGGGAAATGTCTTTATGACATTTTTACCTATCCGGAGGATCACAAAATGAAGCAGAAAGCACAGTTCAGTGGATAAGACTATGTTGGGTGAGAGAGCTGCATTCTAATTCTGGTCCTACTTTATTTACTCATTAATAAAAACACCTTTCAGGTGCTACAAAAATATACTGAAGAGTAAATCTGCATTAATCCCTTGAAAAATTAAAAGACAAAAATGTTTAATAACGCATTGTGGCAGGAAAGATTGCATTTTACGAAAAGAAAACTCATGATAAATGTGTAAAGCCTAAAACCAGGAAAGCCTATTTTAGAAAACTGGTATTATTTCTGAAGAATTAGTATGGTGAAACTCAGATAAAATTTTTTTTTAAGTTTTTTAATTAATTAATTTTCTTACATTGCGATTCATTTTTGCACAATGAGTGAATTAATTCTCAGATACCTCCCACCATGTTATCACCTGTGAACTGTCACCATAGTCCCTTGTGCTTTTTCCTTCCCTGTTTTGACCACTCTTCCTCCCCCTCCACTGTTATGCTATATGTCTTAGATCAGATAAAATCTTGGGAAGAAAAGTCAGGAAGAGATAATGGAGGAAAGCTAGAACACAATAGCAATGATCACAATAATCAGTTCAAAGTACTTAATTTTTTAATTGGTTTGAGAAGGAAAAGATATTTCTATCACAAACTGCTGAAAATGAGTTTCTGTCTACATTTGTTCAAAGTTGCTTTTCCTTTTAGGAAAGGAGGGTGAGAAAAAGGGCAGAGGGCATTTTGGAAAAATTTTCTGATACCTTTAAGTAACAGAGCTAAAGAAGACATAAATATTTAGCTCAATATAGAGAGCAAAGCCACCAGAACAAACATCCCACAATGCAGCAGAACATGCAGAGTGATTCCAAAACAAACCTGGTCACACAACCACACCAAATCACCAAACAACAACAAAACTGAATTACAAACTGCATAAACAGGAAAACAGCTGATTTGAGAGCTGTATAAAAAATTCTTAACTAACCTTAGGTTACAAATGGAGAGGAAGAAAAATCTGCATCAGTGATGCCGAAATGAGATACGGATATTAATCCAGAGATTGTGTCTGCACATTCAGACAGGATTATTCCCTTTACAAAGGAGCTTGAAAGCTTAGTAGTTGGAAAAATATGATTTTCAAATAAGTTCACAATCTGCAGTGCAATGTGAAAATACCTCATATCTCTGTTGGAATTTGTGTTCTTATATAAATGAAGGGGGGGAAGCCAAAACATATACGCTGAAACCTATATCTGGATCTACCCTTGCAATGGGCCATTACAAAAGCATGAAATGGTTTTCACAGACAAGTTATAACACACAGTCATAATGAGCTTTTGAATCACCGATACTCACACATAAAAGAGGGCTCGATCGTCAGCAGGTGCTGTAGAAAATCTAGAATGTGAAGCATACGCCGCGGCATCTTTTTACAATGGTGTTAACAAATGTCAGTGTCTTGTGCTGAATGTGAGATGCATACATATGTAGTTAAAAGTGGGTGCTCCTGGTTGTTTTTTTCCCCTTTCCACCTCCCTCCTATCTACACCTCCCCCAGAAAAGCATCTGCTCTTTACTGGTGTCTATAGCAGTGATTATTAACAAGCATGGAAAAATGTAACTGCAATCAATCTTTTATTCCTTGATCAGGAATTCATCCCACACTTTAGGTTAAGGCAGGTGAATTCTGATTCAGCTCAGTAATTATCTGGCAGATGTTGCAAGCAGCTGCTGCTAAGCGCAAAACCCTGGCTATTATTACAGAAATATAAGAGCTCCTGGCAAGGTGGAGTGAGAAGTGAAACAGAATGCATTCTGGTGAGGCTTCACATCTGGTCTTCCGCAAAAAATAATGAAACCTGGAACTTAAACTGGCTGTTCTTGAACTCTTGAAACTCAAATTATCTACCCAGGCATGCATGAATGCACATACAATGTTCCTAAATATCTACCATAAATTGTAAAAAAGAAATCCAGTGCACTGTCTCAATTAGCATTGCTTTTCTTAAAATCAACCAAGTTATATAACTGAACTATTTAAAGTTTTTTTTTTTTTTTTAAGGCCCTATAATACACTCCCTACCACTACCCCCAGATTAATTTAGGTTCATAACAAGAAATAAGGAGGAGGAGTTATGGATAAAGACTAGATCCTGGCAATCACTACAAAGCTTAAATGGCCAAAGGCAATGTTACAGTTCCATTCAGAGTAATAGAAAGACTAGACTTTCCTTTAGGGAGGATTACTCACATAACTTTCAAGGTAATTCTAAACCTCTTGTTACATGAAAGCAATTCACAGAGATGGGACATGGTCAAAAACATATTCCTGCAAAATGCAGAAAACATGTTACTCAGTTCTGGTCAATCAACATGGCTATTTGCTTTGTCATTTAACACATTTTTTTTTTTTTCCCAGAAAAAGGATTATATGGTTCTAATTTCTCTTACCCTTTGCATGAGTCAAACTATAACCAGCTGAATCAGAGCTTTAGAAAGGCACTTGTAAAGAAATCAAATGTTTTGTGCATATTGTGTGTGGTGTGTGAGCATACATGTGAGCATATGAGAAAGAAACTGATTTCCAAAGCAGGGAAGGTTGTAGAATTTTCCTTATTTTCTTTATTTAATGTAAAATATGACAGTTCGTTTTGGCTCCTAGAATCCTAAAGGAATTATTTATAAAGCTAACTCTCCAGATATCCTTCAAGATCTTAATAAGGAGCTATTCACATGAATGGGTAAATTATAATACTTAATCAGAGTATGGGAAAACAAATGAACAATAAAACAAAATAGCAAAAACAACAAAAGGAGAAAAAAAAGGCTTTTGAAGCTTGAAAACACACCTGACAACTTTTCTAGAGCTGACAAGATGTTGGACTTATACCAAACTGATGTCACAAAGTCTTATTTTTTGGCCACGTTTCAAATTCTGTAGTATATTAGGACTGAGGGGTAAGGATAGAACCAAAGCACTAATATGGAACTCAGAGTGACAAAAAGTGAACAGGGGACCTGTATCAATGCATACAGTATAATGTAAATTATCACACAAGAAATCAAATGAATAATTACAAGGGCATCTGTGTATTATAACATCTAAATTATGTAAGCTAAAGTGCTTACAACAGTTTCCATGTGGATCTGTATCAACTATCTTTTAAGCAAAAGGAATGGACACTTACCTGCAAATTGTGAGAAAAGCACTTAAAGTTTAACCTTTTTCTGGGAGTAGAGAAACTGACATTTTCAATGATGCTCACTTGTACTAATATTATTTATAAGATAAATAAGTAAGTATCACATGACCTGATGACAGGCTCCCTTTATAAGTCAAATAAACATCAAAATTATGAAAGCCAATTAGTGAAATTCTATCTAAAATACCATTTTTCTGTAAGATGGCAGAATCTAACCCAAACTGTATTTTTCTGCTTTTTATTAATGGCAAAATGAAAAACAGATTGTATATATAGTTTTTATTAACCTAAGCTCTATCAATACATACTGTACAAAAGAATAAGACAGGGGCCTCACCGGTGGCGCAGCGGGTTGCGCGCCACACTGTGAAGCTGTCACAGCCTCTGCAGCACGGGTTCGAGTCCCAGCTGGCCAGGGAGATTCCCACATGGTGCAGCAGACCTCTCCTGTTGTGCCTGCTCCTCCCCTCAGCAATGTATTTCAGTTGGTCTGCCTGTTCTGCTCCCTACTCTGTCTCTGGTGAATCCTCTCACCCTCCTGCGCCTCTGGCCTGTACCCCAGCTATTGTATAAATTAAAATATATATATATATATATATATATATATATATATATATATCTAAAAAAATAAAAAAGGAGTGACAATTGCATTTAAAAAAAAAGAATACAGAAAGCAGTCAGTAAAATAACATTAATACGAATAATGTCTTCCATACAGTGAATGATCTTTCCTGAGCTCTTATTTTACAATTTTAACTTTTACATATTAAGCAGAAATATTCAACAATTGATGCTAGAGGAAAATATCAAGCTATTACACTGATGAAGTGTGACAGATAGTAAAGTAATGAACTGATTTTGTGCTGGCTCAAGAAATGTTTGGCAACAAATATGACTTGCTTTAAGCACGGTGTGGAATTACTAGGCATTTTAAAAACTTCCTGACAAAGTATCAAATTATTTTAGATTATGATCAGATCACAACAAGAGATTACAAAATTCTCCCAGATCACGAGGCAAGTCAACAAAGGGCAGACTATGGGTTCAAGAAGCACTGTTCTCTTGGGTCTTCTCTATGCCCAGCCCTTACAGACCCGGCTAAGCTCTAATGTTCATACAGGGCAATTAGGTAGTGTATGAACCCTTACACTGAGAGGACTATAAACTCGGTAAGACCCTAGAATAGAACCTCCTATTCTATGAAAGATGTCTTACATCTAAGGTTTTTCAGATAATCAAAATTGAAACAAAAACATTGTTTTCGGGCCTCTCTGGTGGCACAAGGGGTTAAGCACCGCACTGTGAAGCAATCCGCAGCCTCTGCAGCAGGAGTTTGATCCCTTGCCGGCCAGGGAGCAACCCACATGGCGCAGCAAACCTCTCCTGTCTCGCACACTGTTCCCCACAGCAGTGTATTTCACTCAGTCTGCCTGTTCTGTTCCCTACTCTGTCTCTGGTGAATCCTCTCACCCCCCCACATCTCTGGCCTGTAACCTAGCACTTGTATGCACAAATAATCTTTTTAAAAAAAAAACACCAAAAAAAATTGTTTTCATGTATTTCAGCATCATTTTGTTAAAGAGGCCATATCTACCCTAAAGAACTATTCATAAATAGTCAAATTCTTACGCTATTTATATTATGTAATAATCCTATATATCAAATAGAAGAACCATACTAGGAAAAAAAAACAAAACTGTTCAATGAATTGAAACTCGGGTCTTCCTGTTGGCACAACAGGTTAAGCACAGCACTGTGAAGCTATCAGCAGCCTCTGCTACCCACTTGGGGTAGCAGACCTCTCCTGTTGGGCCCTCTGCTCCCCTCAGCAGTCAGTCTGCCTGTTCTGTTCCCCACTCTGATTCTGGTGAATCCTCTCATGCCCCACACCTCTGGCCTGTACCCCAGTTCTTGTATGCATAAATAAATCTTAAAAAAAAAAAAAAAAAAAACTCATGAATTTCCCAAGCCCAACTGGGGTCTAAATGAAGCTTACTTTATGTCAGGTCCAATGAGAGAATGTCTTCTCAACATGGCTCGTGCCTGGGCATTGGTTAAACTGATAGTAGATTCTTCATTAATAGACAAGATGCAGTCTCCAACAGAAATTCGTCCATCTCTACTAATGGCACCTCCATGAATAATGCTTCGAACAATCATCCCCAAGCCATCTTTATTAGCACTTACTGTCATCCCTATGGTGAAAGAAGAATACAGATAGGTACTGGTATTAAATACATGGATTTCAAAATCAACTTAATTTGAATTTAATAATTCCTAGGGATTTAAAGATAAAAGAATAGCAGTAACATTTTTACACAATAAAAACTAACAAAAACAATGAAAAGCTTTTCTAATAAAACTTTTCTGGGTAAATATTGAAATGCCTGAGAAACTCTAAGTACATTATATGTTAATTTTATTATTGATGATACAGGTCTGCACTGTGGAACAAGTATAAATAGACTATTTGATGTATTACCCTTTAAGTAGGAAAGCTCACCCAGAGACAATATTCTGTCAGTATCTAATCAAGTTCACAATTGATTAGCAGTTCATCTCTAAAACATATATAAATGAATAAAGAACAGGACTTCAAATAGAAAGTTCCTTCCATAAGTTAAGAAACTCTGTTATTACCTTACTACATCATTTTTTCATTCATACATACTTATTATATGCCTACAATGTGCTAACTACTGAGGCAGTTGCTTCAGGTAAAATAAATCATAACACAGAATTTCTAACATCAAGGAATTTGTATAAGTATTATCTCCAGTGCCTACCACAATGCCTAATGTTTAGCAATCTGAACAAAACTGATATGAGCTCATTACCTATTTTATCTCCAAATCTGAATTTCTATGAGCTCAGATATGTTTAACTGCCCTCCTGACATGTTCCCTAAATGACTCAGACAATGCAACCTTACTAAGTATAAAACCGAAATTCCCAGTTTCTACCGCCCTTCAATTCCCCATTTGCCTTCCACTATTTGGTAGTGGTACCGCCCTCTTACCCAAAGCAGAAAATTTTGAGTTGTTCTTGATTCTTACCTCTCTCCCCTTTTAACATTTAATTCATTATCAAATCCTGCCAAAACTTATCTTGAATCCATCTACTTTTCTTCACATCCATACTAACCCTAAACCAAGACAATATTTCTCTATCACCATTCAAAAAAGACAAACCACATCACATCACTTCCTTGTTAATAACCCTTTAGTAGTTCCTGCTACAATACATGCCCGTGAGGACTCTATATTCCTGCTGCAGGCTGGTTCTCCCTAAGTGTGCCCTATCTTTGTGCCAAGTTGTCCTTGGTTCCCCACATTTCAGCAACAGGGCCTTCTCTCAGAAATACACCTAGTCACTCCACATTTCAGTCTTTGCCTGACACCCTCTTTCTGTAGCTAACTCTGAAGAGCTAACTCTTTTTTTTTTTAAAGATTTATTTATTTATACAAGCACTGGGTACAGTCAGAAGCACAGGAGGGTGAGAGAATTCACCAGAGCCAGAGCGGGGAGCAGAGCAGGCAGAGGGACTGAAGTACACTGCTGAGGGGAGCAGCGGGCAGCAGGAGAGGTCTGTGCATGATGTGGGACCCTCCTTTGGTGGCCAGGGAGCAGCCAGGATCGAACCGGCGCTGCAGAGGCTGCGGGCAGCTTCGCAACCCAGCGCTCAACCGCTGCGCCACAGGGGAGGCCCTGAAGAGCTAGCTCTTTTTCACTCTTCAATATCACTTCCTCAAAAAGGCCTTCTCAATCAACACATTTAAATTAATGTCCCCTTCTCGCCCTACCCTTACTCTATTTTATTCAAATATATAAAACCTTTTATATTTAAAATTTCTAAAATAACATAAATTCACTTGAAACTAAGTTCTAAGAGTAATTCTAGAAGAATATTAATCAAGATAGAGATATAAAACTATAAGATATTTTAAAAACTGAGAAGTCACAAATTCCTTTTTAGGTTTCCATTAAAATAATAAGCCAGAAAACAATTTTTTCATGAATATTAATTCCTATTATGCCGAATTAGATGTTATATCTTAAATATTTTATCAGAAAGATCCTGACTATAATATTTCTGGCCTGGTTTTTCATGCTGGATAAGGGCCAACCAGGCTCCTTGTTCCTAGTTATCATTTTTGAACAAAATTCACCCAGGCATATAAACATATATATAAATAATATGTTAAGAGTCACACTAGTGATTTTTTAAATGTATTGGAATTAAGTAAACATCTCCGTTTACATAAACTAACAATTAAGTTTAGGCACTATTTCATCCCAGGTGGGTTTCTTACAGCAGAGACTGCCTCTGAAATGTTTCAATAGATACTACAGTTTCCCCTGGTGCTTCAAGCCTTCCCACACAGACCAAAAAATCAACTGTATGACAACAAAATTTAATTGGAAATCTAAACCACCATCTTGATTTCACTAGCACTATAAAGCAAGTCGCAGACAGGGCCTTCTCGGTGGCGCAGCAGTTCAGCGCTGGGTTGCGAAGCTGCCTGCAGTCTCTGCAGCGCCGGTTCAATCCCTGGTCACCAGGCAAGGGTCCCACAGGGTGTGCAGACCTCTCCTGCCACCTGCTGCTCCCCTCAGCAGTGTACTTCAGTTCTTCTGCCTGTTCTGCTCCCCGCTCTGGCTCTGATGAATTCTCTCACCCTCCTGCACTTCTGACTGTACCCAGTGTTTGTATAAATAATCTTTAAAAAAAAAAAAAGATTTGTAGAATTCTTAAAAAAAAAAAAGCAAGTCACAGACACAAGACAGCATGAGCTATGGTAAACATGATTGCTGAATTCATTTGTCGAAGCACCTTTAACTCACGACTCTAACAACAATAAAAATGGTCAAGTCCAGTTATCCTGATAACCAACAGGTTGACAGTTACCTTATAGTTTCCTTTCACCCAATGATAAGTTTTCAGGGTGTGATGTGATCCTCTTTTTGTCAGGATTACTTTGGTTATTTGAAATCATTTGTGGCTCCATATGAATTTCAGTAATGTTTGTTCTATATCTTTGAAGAATGCCACTGAAACTTTGATAGGGATTGCATTTAATGCATATTGCTTTTGGTAAGATGGCCATGCTAACAAAGTTAATTTTTCCAATATCTTTCCATTCCTATGTCTAATATAATTACTCAAACAAGCCTAAAAGTGGTTCTTTTGTAGATTAGTAAAGTGAGGGACTTAGTTTGAAGTTAAGTTGGTCAAGAAGTTCAGAATAGAAGTAATGGAACTCAGGTTTGGAACGATTTCATGGGTTTGGTTTCATAGTGCATGGTTTGGAATGTATTACTGTACTTCTTTTAGGAAAAGACTGAGAGATTTTATGATTTACAACCAAAATATACTTGGTGGATATTGCATCTGAGGAGGTTTGATCCTATGCCACTGAATCACATACAGCATTGTAAACCAACCATACCTCTATTAAAAAAAAAATGGGTTCAATGGCCAATTAATAATGATAAATACTGTATTCTATATTTTCTTCTCATAGATCCACACTTGAATATCAAGACACTACTGACAAACAATGGGTGCCTTGGTGGTGGGTGTGGTGTAGTAACATATGGCAAAGGGTTTGTTCCTATAGCTCTAAATCATAAACAGTAGTATAAACCAATGTTACCTCAATTTTTTTTTTACAAAATATATTAAGAAGTAGTACAAACAGAATTCTGTATCCTTAAATTTATCACAGTCTAAACTTTCAAACTTGGAACCAGTAAATAACTTCTATTAATATCCCATAAACTAGTATTCTCAGGAACATGTTTTCAGAAACATTGCATTAGCAGATGGAATATTTCTAACATGCTTAGATATCTATAATATCTTATTCATAATTATGGAGCGTAGTATAGCTTAAGTTTTATATTATTCTTCTAAATGGAATATATAGCTCATTATACTATTATAACTAAGTAGAAATTTTCTGCTATAAATCTCCATTGAGATGCTATTGGAAATACACAGCCACCACCAAATGGAATGAAGTCTAGAAAACAGAAACTGGAATCCACTCATCAAGTAAACACTGCAGGGCTCCCCTGCCAAGTCTCAAATTTAAAAATGAAACAAGATCTTCCTACCTTAAGACATAACATAAAGGGTCTTAGTTGGCTATATCACAGACGGAGCAAGATCTATCTAATGCAGAGCTAACCAGAACACCTTGGGATGTGTTCTGGTATTACGAACAACAGATCTGGGCCTTTCTGGTGGCGCTGGTGGTTGAACACCACACTGTGAAGCTGTCTGCAGCCTCTGCAGCACGGGTTCCATCCCGGCCAGGGGACGAGAATACCACATGGCACAGCAGACCTCTCCAGTCTCGCCCCCTGCTCCCCTCAGCAGTGTATTTTGTCAGTTTGCCTGTTCTGTTCCCCACTCTGTCTTTGGTGAATCCTCTCACCCTCCCGCACATCTGGCCTACCCTGGTTCTTGAATAAATAAATATTAAAAAAAAAATTAGTCTTAAAAAAAAAAGAACAGATCTAACATGCTATTTATCAACACCAGGCACCTGTGACAGAGATGAGTCATGTGACTGCTTAACTCAAAAAAAGAACAAATGTGCTCTGTTAAATTTTGTTTTAGCTATTATAGTTAGCACGTTATTTATATGAGACATCTTCTTTGACCATTTTAGAAGGTTTTGGGATTATTAACCAGCCACATCCCTTTTCGGGTGACAGAGAACACAAAAATCCTGCCACCTGGGATAAAGTACAAAATAAGCTGTATTTATTTTGCTGGTAGCACACCTGGCTGTCTTTTTCTCATTATTTCAGTGAATGAAATAAATTAAATACAAACTGACATATGCTTAACCAGTAATATCAAAGGAACTAATAATTTGCCTTTCCAAAGATCAGAATTCCAAATTGCTGACTTTTCATTTTCTTAGAATTCCTTTTTTGATTTGCTGTTTCAAATACAAATAATACGTATATCTTTTTTGTGAATGTAAATGAAGCTTGAGAAGACCTTTAAATAATTGAGAATGAGGGATTTAAGTTAGTCTGAAATAAACAAACCTGCTATCCATTTCAGGAAAAATAATGATCACATAACAAAGAGAAACATAGAAACTATAGGAAAATTTACATATTTTCTCATCTATAGCCAAAAATAAAATCATGTTCAGATTTCCCCCTGGCAAGAGGGTTGGGAGGTAAGCTATATGTGGAAAATAAGAAACTTACCTAGGCTAGAATTGCCTTTTGCTACAGTAATAGTTCTTTCAAATGACTCTGTGGATATATTTTGGAGCATGACACACTCGGCAGTAGAGGCCAGGGAGCTCTGTTGAACGAAGAATTCGGAGTCCTTACAGAAAGAGAAAGAAAAGTCACACGGAAAGAAAAACTAGACTTTGGAGTATGATTTCAACATCACCCATATGCCCTAATTGGTTTCGCTTTATTCAGCAAGACCTTATAGCTAAATTATTATGCTAGTAGGTTGCCTTCTGAAAATCTCAGCATTGGGAGAGCACTTGTTCCAAATTAGCTTGAATTGATTATATAATGATTTCATAGAGAATTACATAAAGGTTCATTTACATAAAGACTTTTACTTCTGCATGTATAGGTATATTAGCTAGAATACCCTAAATAGTCAACATCCGCAACCACATCCTAACATACAAAGCATATTTTTAAAATCTTACCTTTCCAACAGAATCAGGTAGCACAGGAGACGTAAGCTCTGTACTTGATATTACTTCATGTGGTAGGTGAGGTTCATTCCACACTGCTGTGTTTTCACATTTATATTGCTCAACAGCATGTGCAGGTATATAATCATTCAAGGAAAAGCCAGAAGCCGGTCCCATGCTCAAGTCTACTGAAGGAGAACTCTCATCCTGTCTTTGTAGGAGATTTTGGGTGTACAGTTCCTCCAAGGACATGTGCAGATCAAGTATTGGATCTGTAGAATTTTCAGTAATATCCTGATGAGCAAAGGACAAAAAATTTAAAATATGGCCAATTACATCAATGTATTTTCAAAGAACACATTTTAATGGACAACTATTCAGTGAAAAAGAAAACACAACATACTCATTACTCAAAAAGCATAAGCAAACATGAAAATTCTTTCTTTATCTATGTAATTTTATAAATGTTCCTTTGAATAAATTTCCTGAAAACCTTACATTTCATGTTCTACTAACTTAAACTTGTACAACACACTATATATAAGATCATTCAGATATATTTTATTCACAAAATTATTTCAAATTTAATCTATGTAGGAAAGTAAATAATTTATATTTCCAAATATTAAAGAGTAGTTTATTTGGAATCAGTATAAGGTTCCTATTTGTTACCAGATTGAGAACACAATGAAAATGGCATTGCTTCAGATTCACAAGAATCTCCAAAAAGAAATTTATTTTGATAGGCTTTTATAGATGTTTATGGAGAACAGAACACCATACAATTCACATTATTATAGGGGAAAGTTTCATAATTACCTTGCTAGATATAACCAAAGGGAACACTAAAAAGGGGATCACAGATGTAGGATCTAATCCAGGCTCTCTTTTCAACAATCTGTACAGCACAGAACCTTTCTTATCTTGATACTAGATAATTTCTGAAATTCTCTGAAACTCCCCAATTTTATGTTCTACATAAATACACATCTCCACTTATAACAGATTTAATAACATATTTTTGGGCAAACCACTGATCCATGAATGGCTGCTGAATAAGCATAAATTTTCCCTTCAATTATTTTATTGACATTTTTAAAGTATGCCTGCTTCTCCTCTCAACAGTAGATCTGCCTGTTCTGCTCCCCACTCTGTCTCAGGTAAATCCTCTCACCCCAACACCCCGTACCTGTGACCTACACCCCAGTTCTTATATGAATAAATAAATCTTTAAAAAGGTAAATAAATACTCTGTTTGGTTCGATAACCTATTAATTGGAGGAAATAACAGTACCACACACAGGACTGTTGGGAGAAATGAATTAATTAAGTGAATTAATTAAATGAATTAATTAAGTCTGACTTAGTTGAAAGTACCCAATAATTGTTAGTCATTGGTGTTATTTTTTATTACACATTGTTTGCATGTATGAAGTTATTTAGTTTAAACACATAGAATTAAGAACTGTAGGTCTAAAGATAAGCACACTTAAAATGCTGTTACATATTGCTAAACAGTCCTCTAATGTTCTCTCATTAAAAGAGACTATAGGAATATGTAATAACCAATCTTGCCGACTTAAATTAGTTTCACAATTGGATGAGTACGACATACATTTATTAATGTTTTAATGTTTAAAGTGCATGTTCCTGACAAATAGTTATGAGATAAGGGTTATCTCCTGTGAACATTCTTTATTTTTTAATTGTATCATTTTGATTGTATGCTTTTTTTATTTGAGCTACTTCACACCTCTTCAGATAAATGTTTCCATAACACATCCATCACCAAAGCACCGGTATTCCTCTACCATAGTTGACTGGGTGCCCATCGTCCCCTGAGGCACACTCAATTTTACAGTCAGAGTTCTAGTGTTTGCTGTATCTGTTTCTTTATATTCTACAATGAGTGAAATCATCTAGAACTTGTCTTCTTTCTCCTTTTTTTTTAATTTAACGTAATTCCCTCCAATTGCATCTATCTTGTTGCAAAGGGCAAGAGTTCATCTTCTAAAAGCTGTGTAGTATCCCCCTGTTTATATTTACCACATCTTCCTAACCCATTCATGTGTAGTTGGGCACTTGGATTGCTTCCATAACATGGTTCTTGGAAATAGTGCTACAATGAACACAGGCGTGCATACCTCCTTTTGAATTAGTGTTTTTGCATTCTTCAGATAGATACATAGGAGTGATATTGCTGGACTGTATAGTAAATCAATTTTTTTGAAGATTTATTTATTTATGCATCAAGAACTGGGGTACAGGCCAGAGTGCAGGGGATGAGAGGATTCACCAGAGACAGAATGGGGAACAGAACAGGCAGACTGACCTAAAAACACTGCTGAGAGGAGCAGCAGGTGAGGCAGGAGAAGTCTGCTGTGCCATGTGGGTAGCTCCCTAGCTGGGGATTGAAATCGTTCTGCAGTGGCTGCAGACAGCTTCATAGGTTGTGTCTTAACTCCTTGCACCACCAGGGAGGTCCAAGTAGTAGATCTATTTTTAAGATTCTGAAAATCCTCTGTATTCTTTTCCAAAGGGGCTAGACAAGTCTATATTCCTACCAATACTCTATGAAGACTCCCTTTTACCCACAACCTCACCACCAATAGTCATTTCTGGTCTTTTGGTATGGTTTTCCATATAATTAACCCAACATTTTATCAGTATGGTATTCATTTGTTCTTGACATCCACATGTTTTGAATGTAAAGTCTTTGTGATATATACTACAATTATTTTTCCCAGCCTGTCAACTTGTATTTTAAATTTGTACATGTAATAAACATATATATGCAAAAGTTAAATTCTTTATGTAAACAAACCTTTACCTAATTCTTTATGAAATCATTATATAATCAAACCTGTCAAATTTTCTTCTACTTCTGTGTTATATATTGCTTAATATGTCCTTCCTCTACACAATTTAATGCTTTTAGTATAACTGTTTTGTTTATAGGTTTGGTTTTAACTCACCTAGAATTTATTTCAGTGTGCTCTGAGTTTTGTGTTTCCTTTCACTTTTTGTAAACACTCTTCATTTTTTGTAAATATGTAATCAATTGCTCCAAAACAATTTACTATACTCCTCTTCCTCAAAGCAATTCCTCTTTGGAACTACCACTATTTCTGATACAAAGTATTAAATTACAGTTATATAATTTTTTACATTAGCAGTAATAGCATACACAGTAGTAACATTTAAAATCACTAGTCACATAAGCAGGAAAGGTATCATTCTCCACATTCATAGACCTTATCAATAACCTGTTGGATTATTCATCCAAATAGGATTATTTTATTTTTACGAACTATAAGAACATACTTATTACAAAATTTGTTAGCACCTGTATTACTAAATTATAAAAATTAGTAGTAAATTAACTCCCCCATATCGCAAATAAAGATAACAATCAAAATTGCTTTTCATCAGAAAAAGAGGTCAAGCCAACCTTGTTAACATAAATTTTATGCATTATTCATGAAGGAGTTAACACAGACACATAGAAAAGAAAGAGCTAATCAACACAGCAGACAACATACGCCTACTTCAGAAACATTTCTGGTTGCTGAACAACCAACTGAGTTTTATTTTTAAAAGTCTTATGGATCTAAAAGAAAAGCATTTCTTCCCCCACAAGATGTTCAAAAATAACTACAATTTTCCAGTGTAACTTTGTCTCTAAACTGAAGTCTTTCAAAAATCCACATTAACATGTACTTCTACTTGATATATTCTACTTGGGGAAAAATAGGGAAAAGGTTAAATAAAAATGTCAAATATATTTGAAAAGAGCTCTTTTTCTTAAGTATAGTAAGTTAAGGTTAACACGTGGGCACATTATTTATTTTACATTTTTAACACATTATGTTTGCATAGATTAGCTAATGTTTAAACATCCATTGGATGCAACTGCTTTTTTTTTTTCAATAAACAATCTACAATATAAATCTTCTCCTGTAAGAACAGCTACTCCAACTTACTATAATTCTACCACTCTTGCTGTGTTAAGGTACACTTCCTTTTTAGTTTATACATTGACCCTACTGAGTCAAAATGTTGTAGAGCAACCCCGAAACAAAACGGGGTGCCTGACTGTGGGTCCTCACCCGCGCGCTTAAAAGGACTTATCAATGCTCTACTGCAGGCACACGTGAAAGGTTAATAAAAGGTTTATTTACAAAGGGAAGGGGAAATGAGGAAATGTACAGCTCTGGGAGAAAAGTGGGAGACAAAGTTTTAAATGAGTCCTACCCGATCCGCCGATTAGGAATCCCAAAATGGCGCTCTGAGAGCTGGCCGCCAGCCAGGAGCGGTGAAGCCAGGAGGCGAGCGATCTTGAGCCAGAGAGCCCAAGGCCCACGTGTTTGGTTTTTTATATCCAACCTGGCTGCCCAACTCCACCCTCAGGTCCCAGCCACCCTCCCTTGGTGGTGATGGGATTTGTCTTTCCCAGAGTCTTGATGGCTTTAGTCTGGAGTGGGGGTGGAGTCCACAAAGCCTGTATGGGATTAACTCAGGACATCACTTCCCCCTAACAAAAAGGCAACATCTTTTGTAACTTTGAATGCTGAAGTTTTTCACACGAATTTGTGACATCATCTTAACTATAGAATGATTTAGTTTTTTTAGCCTAACCCTTTCTCCAAAAACATTTTTAAAAAGTTATCTACTTTTTAAACTTCAAAGTGAATGTAGCAATATTATATTCTACATAATGACACTAAGTAGAGATTTGTAGGAATATAGCATCATGGAATACATTAATATTTGCATTTGATGTGCAAAGTATAAAAAGACACTTCCATCTTAACAAATGCCAAGTTCAACCTGAATAGAAACAACAATATTTTATAGGGGGACCAACACTCAGGAATGAAGAACATGCACCAAGCTGGTAATCATTTCACCCCTGGATCAAAAATGAAAGCAATATATACAAGAGAGGGAAGGGAATGTAGTTGTTTTTAAGTCAAAGTAGAAAAACATAAATGAAAGGGACTTCTTCCCAAGAACTATGTTGAGCTTTTACCAAAAAGTTTAAAAGCATTTAAATTCAGAATACCATTATTTCTATATTTTGTTATGTCTTTAGATTAAACCCAGAATAATGAAAAAGGAAACATTCACTGGCTTTTGTCTTTAAATTCTACATTTCAGTGATCTGCCTCTACTAACCAAATGCCATGGAAGCTAGTTACATTTTTCACTTTCTTAAGTAATGGTTATTTCCCTTAAATCTACATATTACAATTAATCAGATTTAGCAAAATAAAAGACCATAATGGGCCCCCAAATGGAAGAATTTTGTGCAGAGCTCTTCCCTCACTCTGGCAGCAGCTCTCCAGCTCTATCTGCTCTTAGGAATAAAATAATAAGGACTCCCTCTAGGGCGAGTCCCAGCTCTGGATGGTTAGCTCTGGTAGCATACTGACAAGGTCAAAACCTATCAAGGTAAGGAGGTAGGTAAAATTATTTGTGTTTCCAGCCACCACTGAAGGCTGTGAGATTACCACCAATTTAGCACAGTCAGAAATCCAAGAGTTCACTGAGATACTGATAATTCTATCAAATCAGTGGAGGCTTCTTTTTGTCTCTAAAATATCATATGCTTTTGATTTTATTTTATCAAGTACAGAATCCTGTAGTGAGCTAACATTTTTAAAGAAAACTGGAAAATTCTAAATTCTGTAACAATTTGATGTTAAGTCTTTTTAAAATAAATACAGTTCAGGAGCCTCCCAGGTGGCACAAGCGGTAAGACGGAGCACTATGAAGCAATCTGCAGCCACTGCAGCATAAGTTTGATCCCAGGCCATGGAGGTGACCCACATGGAGCAGCACACCTCTCCTGCCTCGCCCACTGCTCCCCTCAGCGGTGTATTTCAATACATCTGCCTGTTCTGCTCCCCACTATGTCTCTGATGAATCCTCTCATCCCCCCTACACCTCTGGCCCGTACCCCAATTCTTATATGCATAAATAAATAAATCTTTAAAAATAAAATAAACATAGTTCAAAGAAACGAGATGAATGTACCATCTTTTTTTTCTATTTACATACATTTTCTATAAATATCTAGGTACTAGAAAGATGCCACAAAAAAATAAATACAAAAACTTTCCAAGAAAACTGAAAGCACACAGGAGTTTCACAATGTGTTTTAAAACAGCCTCATTAATGTCTTCTTTGTTGTTTGTAGTTGATAGGCCAGCTTGCCAAAATTTGCTTCAACAAAAGAGTAAACTGCTTGGGGGGAAAAAAAAAGGAGGCAAACAGACTTCAGTAAGCCAATATGTTGTGCTGCATACAGCCAGCATTTGCCCTGTAAAATATATGCTTCTCAGTATGCAGATTGTGTAATCCCTTTAAGTAACAATTACTAAGTTAAACAATGCAATCTGTCCCACTGGCAAGAAGTGTGTGATGCTATGGATTAGGAGATTCCATTAGGAGATGAACTCAGCTTCCAGCCCTGAGGCCAGTAAAGAATGAACAGGGTCCAAACAGGACACAGTCAGATAGACAGTCTCAGGTGTGGTTAAAGAGGAGCAGCTGCTCCATTCAAGATTATACCTTGCAAACCAATTCAAAGAGAATGCCCCGCATCATTTACAAGGAGAACAGGTGCACCTTGAACATAAAAGAAAATGCTTCGAAAATGTTCCTGCTAAAAAATTACTTGCTAATCAGGAAAGGAAAAAAAAATACATTAAACCTAAGGAAATTTTACTTTCCAACTCAATATATATATACACACTTTCTTAGTGTTGAATTTATGTGGAAAATGTAAATTTCACATATTTAGGAATTATAGTACAGTCTTTTCATCTCGATTTTTTTTTAAGATTTATTTATTTATTTATACAAGCACTGGGTATAGTCAGAAGCACTGGAGGGTGAGAGAATTCACCAGAGCCAGAGCGGGGAGGAGAACAGCCAGACAGATGGCGGACACTGCTGAGGGGAGCAGTGGGTGAGGCAGGAGAGGTCTGTGCACCATGTGGGACCCTCACCAGCAGCCGGGGATCGAACTGGCGCTGCAGAGGCTGCGGATAGCTTTGCAGCCCAGCGCTCAACCGCTGTGCCACCAGAGAGGCCCTCATCTCAATTTTTAATGTTTATATTTCCCACAGAGAATAATAAACAAATATAGCCATATATAAACACTTCAGGAAGATTTAATACAGATTAATATTTTGCCATATTTTCTTCAATCTCTTTCTTTGTAGAATGATTATTATTCCAGATAGGGACCCTATGCTTCCTTCTTTCCCCAAGAATAACTTCTTTCCTAAAGTTGACAAATCTCATTGCCATACGTTTTAGTTTTAACACACACTCATAAATATTAATACATACAAAATTGTTTTATATATTAATTTCTATAAAATATAAACAGCTTCAACAAATCAATGAAAAGATGAGCAATCCAATACAAAAACAATCAAAATATATGAAGAGAGCAGTGACGGAAATAAAACCAAATGGTTAGTATATGAAAAAGTTCAACTTTACTAGCGCTCAAAAATTCCAAAATTATATGATTCCAAACTCAAGACAGGACAGGTTTAAAATATTACTCATTAAATTTTACAGAACATATCACCAAGAAAATAGAGTCGGGGCACTTATGTCAATAACCTAGTTCTAAAATATAGATATCACAGATGTGTCAAATAGTAACTAGATTCTTCATTATGCAATGTTTTAAATATACTCTCCTACTTAATATGATTTTTACTTAAAAAGTTTTGCATAATTTTATATAAAACTATGACAGCACTAAGTTTATCTTAGCTAGTAAATAGTGTAATGAATTAGTTATTATTAAACTTTGTATAAAATCAGTTTTAAAACCATTAAGAAAATAAAGTTATTCTTGTAATTTTTTCCTAAGTAGATACGGCTTAAACATAAGAGAGATACAGTTCACTAAATGAAATTATTTTCATTTTGTAATAAAATTATGTAATAATGAATTATGTAATGATGTAAAATAAATTATGTAATAATAAATCCATGACTGGAGAAAGAATGTCTAACATGCTACTCCCACAGCAACATACACAGTGGACTCTGTAAAATAACACCAGAATCTCTTATAAGTAAAATGACACTGCCTTTGTACCTTGAGAGGCGAAGATGGAAGGGAGGGACCATAGTTCAGGCCATCACTAGAAGTACTGCCATGAAGAGATAAAATAGAGGCTTGAGTAGAATAGATACTTTCATTATCAGGAGAATATTGAGACTCAAATGTAGATTCATCTGCTAAGTCATCATTTGTGTCCACCTAGGAATAGTAAATAATAATTTAATCATTTACTCAGCATCATTTGTGTCTACCTAGGATTAAAAAAAGTAGTATGAGATGTGAATTCTGTTCTATTACATATATAACGAGGTCTGTACTTGAGAATAAAGGCACACTGAAATCATTGTGTTTTTTTTTGGGGGGGGGTCTATTCCATTTTCTATAAGATCCTTTTAACACATTAAAAACTCATATGCAACAAAACAAGGATGAACTTCCCAACTGCAGCAAAGAGACCAGAATAGAAAGTTAGCTTATTCCATTGGCAAAGGGTTAAATGTAACAATTAACAAGGGTCTGGAGCAACTCTAAATAAATCTTAATCAGTTCCATAAATTAAGGAAAATATTTGTTTCCAGTTGAAATTATTTTTTTCATAATAGATACCCAACTCCTAGAATTTTAATAAAATAGTGCATAATTTTTCATATTCACTAAAATAAATGTATTCATCAAAGGAGCTAATTATTTTAATGTTCACTAAATAATACATTATGCTGAATTTGTTTTTAATAAATTTTAAAACCATTAAAGTTTCAGAGGCCCAGCTATTAAGGATGATCATCAGAAACCAAAGAGAAAATATTTTGTACTCATGCTGAAACTATCAAACAAGGGGCCTAAATATGATGTGGTGAGGTAAAGTTATAAATTATAAACTGGTACTGTAGAGTAAGCTAGAGAATTTAACCATATCATGTATAAATCCTATTACCATCTTCTGTGACAGAGCCATAAAAAAACATACATACATTAAATCACGATGAGATTGAATCTCTTCTTGAAATTCATTAGCACCTTAGAATGTCAAACTAACCTACTATCCTTTTCTGATATTACCACTATTTTCTGCCTTGATGGCAAAATGTGTTCTAGTTCTTTGTGATGTCAACTTACATGTTCACAAGGAGAAATTAGAAGCATTGTAACATTATGCTAGGTAATGTTCTTGCAAAAACTTGGTCAGAATATAGGTTGGTCATATTAAAGTGACCTTCTAACAATATATTTTAAATACTGTTCAAATTTACCAGCAAGTCACTATGTAGAGGTTTATCCTTCATAACTGTGTATTACGTACAACAATCTAAATAGTGTATGCTTAATATGTTATATATTTGCTTTAAGTAACATTTAAAAATAATATCTCAGGACATTTATATAATCATCAATTCATTTAGTTCTTGTAGGGTCCAGATAAAGAAAATGACCTTTGAAGATTATGTCTGGTTAGGAGAAAACCCAACACCTGCTACTTTTATTAGATAATGAGCTCATAAAAATAAGTCAGGTTAATTTTGTTTTTCATTGGCATTCATTTAAGGATATTCAAGGAATTCATGCAAATTCTAGAGAGAAAATTACTTTAGGGACCATTTCTAGAGACGATATTTGTGTCCTGCAACCTATCAAAAAAAATTCCAAACTAGTTTTGAGGTGTTAACATAATGCCCATGGAGAATGGGGCTAAAATTTTACTTGGTATGCTGAATACTATAATGTGAATAATTGTATTTATTGAAATATACACAATGCTTTCCAAAGTGCTGTTTTAAAAGCTGGCAATTTAAAAACATTAACCAAAAAAACTGTCTCCTAAAATTAGGATTATCAAAATCAAAGAAATAATTCATACTCTGGTTTAAAGAAAGATGTACAATTGGTTGGTTATAAGAACATAATGGAGAACTTCATAGGTTTTATTTAAAATTCTCTCTAGCCACACACCACTCAAATAGGTATTTCAAAATTAGGCACACTGCTTCCCACTGACACTGGACAGTGCTTGCACACAAAAAAGTCAGTAATCTAACCACAGTGACAAGAAAACTGGGGATAGGATGTATGATTGATTATATTTATATTGCATAAATGTCACATATATCTCTCTAACATTTAGTTTTATACTTTAATTACTGACACAGCAATGTCTCCTCTACGATACCTTAAGATTCGTAAGAGAAGGAACCATGTATTTATTCATCAACAGTCATTAAATAATTTTATTTTAGTGAAGTTTTATATAAAGCAAGAATAAATTTTTCATTTTTCCACTAAATCAGTGATCTTCACAAATACATACTTATAAAAAAACAAGCATTTTTACATAGTCTAGAGACATTCATGTTCTTAATAACCAAATCAATTTATATGATTTTCACACTCTTAATAGCTAATGGAATAATATACCTGTTACCTCATTAAAAGTAATGAAGACACTGAGTTTAACTGAATACTAAAAACTTAAGTAAAACCCAGAGATCCCCTAGTAGGAAATTAGAGCAATTAAAGTGCCAACAATTTCTCATAATAATGTAGAAATTAATGCTACTTGTTGACATAATGAACTGCTAACTGAATTTTCCCCATAAATCCAACAAATAGTTTTAACATATATTACGGATTGTATTTCTACTCTGAACTGTAAAGTTGATCTTTCCAAAACATAATGAATAAAGAATATAGTAAGACTGTAGAATATTTTGAAAGGCAAAATTAGGGTCTCCATGCTGGCGCAGCAGGTTGAGCCCTGTGCTTTGAAGCTGTCCGCAGCCTCTACAGCGAGGATTCAATTCCCGGCCGGCCAGGGAGATTCCCACATGGCGCAGCAGACCTCTCCTGTCTTGCCTGCTGCTCCCCTCAGCAATGTATTTTGTCAGTCTGCCTGTTCTGTTCCCCTCTCTGTTTCTGGTGAATCTTCTCACCCTCCCACGCATCTGGCCTGTACACCAGGCTCTTGTATAAATAAAATCTTTTTTTTTTTTAAAAGGCAAATCTAAGACACATTAAGATTTATGAAAGAAAGCTTGTTAAGTTGTGGCCACTAACCAGAGCCAAGTCAGCCCTGAAGAAGGCTTTGTCAGCCAGTCTCTCCTCGCAAGAGTGTGGCAGGTAGAGAAAGGACTCCTCTTTAGCAGAAACATAACCTTCTTCTGGTGAAAGCTGCAGGGAGAATGAAGCTCAGTGTTTTAAGGATGATTTCATGAAAAAGAGAAGAGGTAAAAGAAGAAAAGGAAAGGGGAGGGAGAGGGGAAGAAAAGTGAGAGGAAGACAGAAAAAAAAAAAGGAAAGTTCAATGAGAGCATGGTTTTAACACAGAATGATGAGCATGAAATACGATATTCATATTCAAAATTCTTATTTTTTAAGATACAATGAGAATATTTTTCTAATACCAGTATTATCTGTTAAGTGAGAACCATTTTCTCTTTTTTTAAAATATATTTCTGCCAGGTCACAGGCCCTAAAAGTAACTACTTTCTGACTTTTATGAGACTTAATCTTCAACAATTTTGTATTTTTTAATTTATTTATTTATGCATGTAACTACAGGGGTGTAGGGCAGGGGGAATAGTGGGGGGCTGAGAGGATTCACCAGAGACAGATTGGGGAGCAGAACAGGCAGAGTGACTGAAATACACTGCTGAGGGGATCAGCTGGCAAGACAGGAGAGGTCAGCTGTGCCATGTGTGTTAGCTCCCCGGCTGGGAATCAAACTTGTGATGTAGCAGCTGCTGACAGCTTCATAGTGCTGAGACTTAACCCTTGAGCCACCAGGGAGGCCCAAGCTTCAGAAGTTCTAACAGCTATGTGCACATGTGCAATATGGATTTATTTTTTTCATGTTTTAGAACTCATATATGTATTGACATTTTATTTATGTCTTGCTTCTTTGGAAAACTCAGCAATAAGATCTTGAATTCTATCCTCTGTAGTTACTCAATTTTCGTTGTGTGACTATATCACATTTTATTTATCATTATATTCTCTGTGGACATTCACATTGTTTCTGATTTTATGTGAAATTTCTAGATCTTTAAAAGCACAGCACAAGTCAAAATATTTTGTTTGCTGAAGTTGGCCATTTTCAAATCTATTTAAGGTATGAATACCAGAGAGATTAGATATCATTCTGTGTTTAAAACTACTATTTGAACAATTCAGAAGAAAGCATTTCACTACTGTCTAATGTTTATAGTGAGTTGACAGTACAAACTTTGCTTGTTGCAAGGTTTCTGGAACTTTTCCCTTGGCATTAAACTGTATCTTTTCAGTGAATATCATATAGATAAAAGCATGGAAAATTATGAGTTAAACTGAGTTGACTAGATATGTGATTTTTCTTTGAATTTTATTCCTTTGCGTTGATATTTTATTTTGTTGTTATTTTAAGCTGTCACTTGAATGCCTGACCTTCTGATATACTTTATTTTTAACTATCCTGAGCTTGTATTGCTAAGTTTATGTAGGCAGAAGACAAATCTGATATATTCTAGATTAAGGGTCCTGGGAGTTTTAGTTTTCTTATTTGAATGGATTGCTTTTGTAACTGAGTTTGTATTTTAAGTATTTTTAAAAGAAATCATGGAGAATACTAAATAACATAGCAATCATCATTGTTAGAGGTTCCTTTCTTTAATTTTAGATAGTTCTCAATAGAATTGAAAATTATTCCAGAAATGACAGCAGCCATGGGAAAAACAGTTTGGGTATTATGCTGTTTTAAAACTATAAAAATGCCCCAGATTTAACATATGTCTCCTAGCCCTTCTTACTTAAAATACTTAGAGGCAAGTAGAAAATTTTTCTCATACTCTATTAAATGCCTGAATCCATTTCTGTTGAATTTCTACATTTGTCTTTAAGATGACATAATGACAAAATAATGTAATTATAAATTATATAAGTGATTTGAAAATTTGCAGGCTGCACTTTTGATTTTTGAATTTTATGATACCAGTTTGCAATTTATGTTACTTTTCTAGTGTTCCAAGGTTGGGGCAGGCAGGACATGAATTTCTAGTCTTTTTCTTGTTATTAAGGTAAAACTGACATAAAAATTTATTAGTTTCAGATATACAACATAATGATTCAATATTTGCATGTACTGTGAAATGTCTCAACAATAAATCTAGATAACATAAATGCTTTTTATAGGAGAATATCAAAGTCTATCAAAACTATCTTTTATATCAGTAATCTGATCATTTTTATCTACCAAATAGCTCACTAAACAATCACTTCATATAGAAAGCAAGCAATTTTTCTGTGTTAACATGTAAAAGAATTTGTAGGAAAACAATTTAAAAAGAATCAGTATATCTCTGTTATGCCTTACTAGAATACTAAAGAATGCAATTTACTTGAAAAAGAATGTTAATGAACCCTAGAATAAAGCCTCTTAGTTTAACATGACTGATTAAAAAAACTCTACATGTACATAATCTAATTAAATTGTGATCTGAAGCTATTATTTATTATAATCTGAATCACACTCATAAAAAATCTTAACATATTTATCCCAACTCAGATAAAATGGATAAAACATTCAGGTAATTGTTTTAACTATATCATCCTATATGAGCAATACATGCAAAAGCTGTATTATAAGGGAAAATGCTGCAGGAGGCCTTGTTGCTCCAGCCAGATAGGATACTGACAAGCAGCAAAGAGAAAGGGCCTCACACCGTGGGGCTGAAGATCTGGCATTCCTTTGCTTTTTGTTCTTGGTCATAGAGAGAGAAAAATTTATCAAAAAGTATATTAGGCAATAAATTATATGTATCAGCATATTGTAAGTAAATAGCATGAAAAATTGTTTGTTTAGAAATTAGTTGTTGGGCAGTTTGGCCCACTTGACAATGGGAGATGGTTTATTAAACATGCCTGACAAGCATTACAATACAATAATTATAATAGGTCCTTCTTTTGCCTTCTCTTGAAGTTTCTTGGGAAAGTTTTTAAATGAAGCTATTTGAGTTAAGGAATTTCTAGGTAGAAAAAAGTTCTGATAGCTGAACAGCAGCTGGCCCCCGGCTGAAGGTCATGTGAATAGAATAGTCCTTTGATGCTTAGGCTTTAGCTGATAGGGATGCACTGGCGGTTATTCACTGTTTTAAATAATTGTCTAAATGAAAAAATAAGTAGCTTTAATGTTAGGTTTGGTTTATTATCTGTTAACCTTGAAAGCTGCCGTCTAGCTGAGACCTGTAGGGGCCAGTAGTCTATGGGAAACATAATATACTAATTGTTTTTGCTTTACACATGATAATGTATTTCCTTATTATTATTACTAATAATGAATAAAAAAAGACCTGCTGAGTCTCTCGGCAGAAGATACTAGCACCTCACCAAGTGTCAGTGTCTCCTCATTCTACCTCATCCCCTTCCCCCTCAGCCCTTAAGTTTTCAGTTCTTTCGTTTCCGCCTAGGCCGTCTCATCCTTTCAGGAACCCCTGACAAGACGTTTTGTCGGAGGCTGGTCCCCGGCAGGAAAACTTCTTTATTTTTTCCCACGAGTTTAACAGTAAACCTTACTTTTATGTAAGTTATTTTTCATATATTGTAATGTATATTGATTTTGAAATATTAAATAGTCCCATGAAAGACATTTATTTTGCAATGAGTTTAAAATTTTTCTTTAAAGGATCTGGGTATGGTTTCTTCTTAATGGCAGTTAAAAAAAAAAAAAGAATTGTTCTTCTTGATCTATCAGACCAATATATGGTCAATCTTAAGAAATAAGTAGATTCCCCTAATGCTCTCTCTTCATTCCTTCTGTATTCCCTTTCTTATTGCTCTTTTGTTCTAATTTCTACAATCCTGGTTTGATTTTAGGTTAAATTAACATATTCTTCCAAGTTCTTCTCTCTGTTTCTTGTTTTTCATAGAAATATTTTCATTTTATTAATTCTTAAAATTTTTTACATAATTTTATAATTTTGGATGTACAACTTCACCCACCCCACCATATGTTCACGGCTTCACTACCCTCCACCAAAACTCCAGCATTGATATCCTATCCTCTTCCTTTCTCTACCCCCTCTCTCTTCTCCACATTCCCTCAGGTAACCACTGTATTTTTCAAAGACTCTAAAAACTCCCTGCTGTGCTTTATCAGTTTGTTTTTTCTCATTATTTAAATTTGACAAATGATTTTCATATGTTATTAAAATTCTTTGTGGAATAAAAAATGGAGCATGAATAAATTAACAATAAAAATTAACAAAGCTTACTATTTCAACAAATTCCTTTACAAACCTTACAAATCTCTGCTTGATGTTTATGCAAATATAGTTACCTGTTTTCTTAAAAGAAATATATTTAAAAATATACATGGAAAAAATCCATAAACATTAAGAATGTCTCAAATAGTTAACTGCAATTCAGCGACAAGTCCTATGCTGCAATGACCATACTCAATAGAAATATTGCTGTTATGTAGCATAGTTACTTGTTCTTAATATTATAATATTAATGATATAGAGGCTATTCCCTCCAAGAGGACAGTTACAAGCTAAAGAAACAACTTTGATAAGTTCAATTTATTGCTCTGTAGTAATTAGGCAACAAATGTGTTAAAGGCAATAGAATATAGAAACTTAAAGCAATTCTGACTGAGACTCTACTTTTCCATTATAATTAAAGAATTGTTTGTTTGTTTGTTGTTAAATGTTACTAATTTCTCAAATTCCCTACAATATTGTTGTTAATTTTTCTTGAGAAATAATTTGATTCTGTATTCCTAATAACCTTATTAAATAAAAAAGGCCAAATGTGAACCACACAGTAGCAAATTACAATTTATTCCTAAACTCTTTTTCTTTCTTTCATTCTTTAAAAATTTCATTTGAAATTAAATTTTTACAGTTGCAGAGCCAATAATCACAAGTACACAACAACCATCATTCAATCACAAGAACAATTAAAGCTGAAAGTACGTCTACAAGTCATTTTTTCCCCAAATATAAAAAGAAATCAGTAAAATCAGAATTCTTACAGGTAAAGGCTTGGCAACTCCTATTCTCACAATCCCTGGTGGTGCACCCTTTAGTGCCTGGACAGCTTCTTCAAGACTGCTATTTTCCAAGTTAACATCATTGACAAACATAAGTCGATCTCCAGGAAGGAGTCTCCCATCCTTTTCGGCAATGCCACTGGGCACCAGTGAACGAATTACGATCACGGTGCTTGCTGGATCAACTGGATCCTGACAGAATGGAAAGGAATTTAAAGGTAGCGTCTTTACATTGAAAAATACTTGCACAGGTTGCCCACTCTAAAGTGTAATAGATGGGTAATTGTTTCATGCATATTAAAAAATTTATATAAAAACTCTAATGAATTATAGGAGTAATGGTTATATGGGTAAAAGTTTTTAGAAAGTTTAGGAGGAGTTCACCTTACAAAATGGAACTCTCACCTTCCAGTATCCCTAAGTAGACCACTGAGATTGGACACAAAATTTTGAAATCATAATTTTAAATTTTTATAAATTATCAAATTTTGTTAACTATTATCTGAGGTTATAAGTCAGATAAATTAATTACTAACCTTAGTGTTTTATAAATAGCACATGACTTACTTCAGTGAGTAAGCTGAAGGTAGGGTCTGTCTTTTTGAAATGAAGAAATAGAGAGACAATATAATGTTTGGTAATGCACTGTTATCAGTTACACAAGCACTTTAATATTAGAACAAGGCTCCAGAATTAGTCCCTATGAGGAACACAATTCTCTGGAGTCATCAGAGATGGTTTTCTAGTTCAGTATTAATTAATGAGGAGCAACAGCTGCACTCTATCTGATGGTTTTAGCATAGCCTCAGTTACTCAGTAGAGAACACAGTGCAGGGTAAGGATGCAGGTCACACTTGACCAATTTGAGCTTATTCATAATTCAGTCAAATGACAGGAATACTAGAATTTATAATATATCTAGTTACAGGTCTATCATTCACTTGAAACAAAATAAATATCTAATACCTTTCGTCTTACCATTAAAATAGGAAACACCAATTAAGAGCAAAGAAATAAAAATAGTTTAGACATACTTCCAAAATGATAAAAAAAAATGTATTTCTACAATATACATAAAATATATTACTCATGTTTGTCAAATCCGAAGAGCTCAAAAATAAGAACTAGAAAATGCAATCAATTTCAAATCAATTAAATTAATTGATCAATGTATTAAATTATTTAAATTTTATTAACTGTTCAAAGTAAACTTTAAAACCCTTTATTATAATCAATGGAGAATCATGTAAATTACTATTCTGAAAGATTTACTAGAAAGAAGAAAATGTCTTTGATGATGATAAAATGACTTCTGCTTTTTCTCTGCTATCAATAGTACACCTTCAATATTGGTCAGCCTTTAAAAACACTGTTAAAGTAGGACAGATTTACCTGATAATCTAAAATGCTAAACCCAAGTCCTTTGCTCCCTTTTTCCAGCTCAATGTGCTGAATATCAGCCTCCCACATGGCCAAAGGTCCTTGAACTTCCTCCACATCAGGCGCTGCCAGGACAGGATCCTCTGTCTCTGAGGATCCAATGAACTCACCAAGATCTACATGAGGCTAGAAAATAGATCAGACAGCTCTTATTTCAGAGGCTTAAGTTTAGCAGATACACATACAAATACTACAAATAAAAGGGAGATTGCTAGCATCTGTTCAGAACAAACCCTCTCATGTAAGATTAGCAACTGCTTATCATGAAATCTTTAGGAATTAAAGTACCAATTATTGAAAGTTGTTAAACCAGAAGAAAAACCTAATTTGTAACAAACATGCTTGTAAAAATGCATGGCTCAATGGCCTCCTATAAAAACATGCACAGCTCAGCAGCATGATCATGGGGGATTTTCATTTTTTAATCAGTACTGAATCATCATTGAAGGCAGGGAAAAAGTGTAAAGCTATTTATGATAGTAAAGAAAAACAATTCCTATGATAAAAACTATTCAAAAAGAAAATGGGTATATAGAAAACTTTCATACTCTATGCAAACAAGGGTGCTGAATGCTATGGGCTTGTACACATGATCATTTCATCAATAAATTAACATACATAGGTAAGTTTTGAAGCCTATCTCTATGATTTCTTACCTGTACTGTCTTAGCAATATTCTTAACCTCAGTTTCAGTTACACATCTCATATAATTTTTGAGGATCAAATGAGGTACATTTATATAAGCTCTAGCACAGAAATGGAGGTTCAAAATGTTAGCTTCTTTCAGCAAAAATAAAGTAAACCTAGGTTTTAATTCATCTTTGTTCATCTGTGCCAACATATCAAATTTAGGAAGGACATGCTGCTGCTGATACAATCCTATTCTGTATATCACTTTTCCTTTTAATTATTGAATAGCCTAAGACCATGGCTACATATATGGCCACCTGTTTTATTTTAAAATGCCACTAAAACTGTATTAAAAAAAAGATGAATATGTTGTTGCTAGACTCTGAGTGCTACACAATTTGGAATTATTGTTCTCATTCTGTCCTATTCCAATCATCCAAGTGAATATTAAACTATGTACTTTAGTCCTCAAAGTTTTCTAATTCCACTATATGGATTCTTCATTCTAATAGCATCTCTCATACCTTAAATTAGATATGACTATACTTCAAATTCTGCAAGGTCCAAATCTTAACTTTAGATATCTATTCTAAGTCCTCAGAAAAGTTCAGGAACTCTATTTCTTAACATTTTGATGTGAACAGGAAAGAATAAGGGAATAGGAAAATGGATATCTGAGTTTCTGGGTATCACCAGATTATATCTGACATGCAGCATTGTAAATTTTTGACATTTTTAAAATGTGACTAGTAGCAAATAAGTAAAACCTATACACATAGAATAGTAAAACCTATACACATAGATAACGTATCTATTTGTATTATAGCCATTCACTGAGCAGTTATGCTGGACAAGTTATATAAAAGTATCTCATACCACATATGTAGTGTATAGTCACTATTTACATACTTATCTCTTCTGTAAAGTGTACCATCTACTACCATTATGCACTTAATATAATTCTCTGAGACATCATGGCTGACATTTTATAGAGGAGAAAACTGAAATTCCACAATATAAGGTAACTTGTACAATGTCACAGAACTGTAGGTCCAACCTAATTCAAACCCAAGTCTGTCTGACTCCAAGGTCTATCCTACAAGTCATGGGCTATGTGAACAAACAAAGTACACAAAAAGAAGTATTAGGAAAAAAAAGAAACTCCATTATGTCTACTCACAATAGTTTCATATTTGCAAATCAAATACCTTTTCAGTGAGTTCAATATCACATAAGTCCAGGCTATCTAATTCTGATTGGGAGGAGGGGGGCACAGTTCGGCGGCAGCACACCACTGTCACTTCTATTGGCAATTCTTTTAAAATATTCACCACATCTTGGTGACTTTCCCCAAGCAAAGTTATGCCATTCACCTGTGGAAAAGACATACAAAAATGAACATTTCAGCACAGGAATGCTACTTTGAAAGGGTTTTTTGTTAGATAAATAAAAATAATATGGTAATTACCACATCTCTGTATTAGGAGATACAGAATTAAACCTGCAGCAATGCAATTTAAAACATTTAATGAGAAAATTCAGATTTTTGTTGAAACTTTATCTTCTAAAATATTCAGAGAAAATTCACCAACTTTCATCCATATTTGTTCTGCAAGTGTAGTAATTTGGAAAAGTAGAGTTAATAAATATATTCCCAAGTGATAAAGAGAAAAAGAGAATGTCATTTTAAAAGCTCATATTTTATATCATTAAGTGAAAAATTAAAAATGGAAAATGATAAATACTGTATGCTAACATGTTTTAGAAAACGTGTATAAGGGAAAACATAGTCAAATTTTGTTATTTACTCATTAAAAATATCTCGAATACACAGAAGCAAATACAAAAATGAAAACTGTTTGCAATAGAATAGGGAAGGGACTTTTCAATATATATTTTTATATTTTCTGTGTTCTAAAACATAAATGTGTTAACTACTCTAAAAAATTTAATAAATGTTTAAAAAGTTTTATAGTGCTCTGGATCTCAAAAACAAAAAAAAAAAAACCTGGGCTTCACCTACAACATGGCAGAATAGAATTTGGGATCACCCCCTTCCTTAAAAACAACTGTAAAAAGATTAATATATGCTCATAGGAACATCCAAACACTCCATCCCATCAAAAAGTCCCAGGACTTCCCTAATAGCGTCTGGAGTTAAGGCTGGTGAAGGCTGAAGGGAAGGAGGGGGAAAAATAGAAGTGGAACCTGACTGGGCTGGGTCAATCACCCAAACCATGTAGGAGACAACCTGTACCATTATGAAGCCCCCGGAGGCACTCTGCTGACACATAAGGGGAAACAGACCAGCCCTGGGGCAGGGGGATTCATAGAGTACAGGCCTAGCAACTAGAACACCATGGTCAATCAGCAGGGGCAATGAAAGGTCCCTCCTCTACATCCCCTCCCAGGAGAGAACAAAGAAACGCCAAGCTGAGCCAAGCTGGACTCCATAAAATGTCCAACAGTAGAGTGAATGACTTGTAAGATAACTTATGAATCCTCTGGGAAGGCAAATGAGGAGTGCAGATACTGAAGCACTGCAGAAGCAGCAACAGAGGCAGGGGCAGGCAGCGATGGCCACAGCGAATGGCCACAGTGACAGGTCTACATGCCCCACCACACAGGCTGCATCACCTTCTGGCCAAGTGCAAGTTAGAACCAGACATGAGCCTGCTGTCCACATCTAATTCCTCTCACCAGGAAACTCAAGCTTCACAGATCACAACACTCAACAGAAAAGGGCAGCAGGGATGCAAGGTGAGATGTTTACATAATCTGAGCACAGAAGACAGCCTGTTATGGAACAAAAGAGGAGGAGACAAAGACATCCAAATTTACTCCTCAAAGTGAGATCCAGCATTAAAGCCCAAACTGCCCTTCAGCTGCTACCTTAAGCAACTCAGAGGAAAGCAAACAAATGAAACCCTAGGACCCCAAACACATACACACTCACAAACACACACACACACACACACACACACACAAATAAGGCACTACACATAACTAGGAATATATGAACACAACATGGAAAAGCAAAATGAAGATGAAGACATAAACCTGGGACAGAAAAGAAAGGCTCTAAAGGACACAGGTTTAATTCTGTATTTCCTAATACAAAGTTGTGGTAAAACAGAGGACCTATCAGGTAAAGACTCCAAAAAAACAATATGAAAAATGCCAAATGTGCTATTGAAGGTCAGGTCAAAGGCAGATAGGGAGATACAAGATGTTAGAAAAATGGCCCAGGAACAAAGAGAGCTCTCAGAATGAAATGCAGACAAATTTAGAAAGCACTTTAAGTAAAAATAAACTGGCAAAAGAAAGTGTTTCAGATGTATAAGACTCAAATGAACAAATCATCTGCTTAGAGGAAGAGAATCAAGATAAAGGAAACATGAGGAAACTCTATGAGAAATTCAGATTCCACTGGAAGAGGAAACTTAAGAATAATTGTGATCTTAGAAGGGAAAGAGGAAGAAGTGAGAGAAGACACTGTTCAAAAAAAAAAAAAAAGGTAACTGAGACTCTCCCAAATCTGAAGAATGAAATAATGTGGATGTCCAAGAAGCAGAGAGAAAATTCAAATTATCAAATTTAAAAGGACCTACTCTTAGCCATACCATTGTCAAATCACCAAAAATAAAAGATAAAGAAAAAAATTTCACAGGAAGCAAGAAAAAAATACATATAACTTACAAAGGCTCCCAATTAGGATTTCCCCAGACTTTAACGCACACACCCTCCAGGTAAAAAGAAAATGGAAGAGTTCACATTCCTAAAAAACAAGAACTGCAAACCAAGGATTCTCTATCCCACAAAATTATCATTCATACATGAAGCTTAAATAAAGGTTTTCCCAAGGAGAAGCTAATGGAGTTTACCACTACCAGCAGAGTCCTTCAGGAAATGCTGTAAGTAGTTTTTCTACTGGAAAAAATAAAACATAAATTCCTATCAAAATGACAATAGCAATACAAGACCAGAAGCATGAGTAAGAATATTATGAGTCAACAACAAAACACAAAGGGGAAGGAAGAAACAGACAGAATCTATACAGTGAATTCAGATTCAATAGGAAGACTGAACCAGAATGAAATAAAGTTTCAATTCACAGCTGCTGCAAACAAAGAAACAAAGAGAGCAAGAGCCCAGGACCAAAGGGCTTCACTTAGTGAGTTCTAACAAACCTATAAAGAGTATTTAATATCTGTCTTACACTCTTACAAAAAAAAAAAAAAAAAAAAAACTGAAGAGGGAGAAAAACTCTCCAACGCATTCTAGGAGGCCAATATTACCCTGATCGCAAAACCAAAGATGGCACAAAAAAGGGAAATAATGGGCTAATATAGCTGGGAAACAAATATACAGAAATCTTTAACAAAATCGTAGCAAACCAAATACAGCAACATATCAAGAGAATGACAAACCATGATCAAGTAGGCTTCATCTCACGGATACAAGGCTGGCTCAACACACACAAATTGATCACTGTCATTCATTGGATCAACAAAAAGGAAGACAAAACCACATGATCGTCTCAACAGATACCAAAAAAGCATTTGACAAGATTCAACATCCACTGATGATAAAATAAAAAAAAAAAAACCTAAAAAGTGGGAATAAATGAAATTTATCTAAACATTAGAAAAGCCGTATGTGACACACAATTGTCATCATACTCAATGGTGAAAAGTTGAAAGCAGTCCTACTAGGATTAGAAACAAGATGGATATTCACTACTACCACTGTTATTTAATGTAGTATTGGAAGTCCTAGACCAAGCAATTAAGCAACAAAAAAAAAAGGAAAAAAGAAAAAAAAGAACTGAAAGTGAAAGGGGAAGTTAAATGCCACTATTTGCAGGTCTCCCTGGTGGCCTAAAGGCTAAGTCTCAGTGCTATCACCACTGAAGCCTGAGTTCGATTCCCAGCCAGGGAGCTAACCCACATAACGCAGCATACCTCTCCGGTCTAGCCCAATGCTCCCCTCAGCAGTGTATTTCAGTAGACCCGTCTGTTCTGCTCCCCACTCTGTCTCTGGTGAATCCGCTCACCCCCACACACCTCTGGCCTATGCCCCAGTTCTTACATGCATGCATAAATAAAAATAAATCTTCAAAAAAAAGTCACTATTTGCAGGTGACATGTTACAACACTTAGAGACACCAAAAGGCTACAAAAAATCTTCTAGAAATAATTAATAGAGTGGCAGGATACAAAATCAATACACAAAAATCTGTGGCATTTCATATGAAAAAATGTATGTATCAGTGATATTTCATATGCAAACAATGTATCAGAAGAAAGGGAAATAATGAAATAAAGGGAACCATTTACAAACACACCAAAAAAGAATGAAATGCATGAGAATAAATTTAATGAAGGAGGAAAAAGACCTGTTTATTAAAAACTATAACACTCTGTTAAAGAAATAAGACAAAGAAATGTGAAGATAGCCCATGTCCACAGATTGGAAGAATTATCATCATTAAAATGGTTATATTACCCAAAGCAACTTATAGATTCCATGTAATATCTATCCATATATTAATGAATTCTTCAAAGGAAAAACACCAATTACCCACTTTTTATGAAAACATGAACGCTTTTACACAATCCAGCAATAAACAACAATTAAAAAAATGAGCAAAGGGCCTAAATAGACATATGTTTTTAAGCAGACATTCAGATAGCCTATAGATATATGAAGAATTATTTAACTTCACTTATTACAAGAGAAACTAAATTAAAACCACATTGAGATATCACTTCACCCTGTGAGTATGGCCCAAATAAAAAAGAATGGAATCAACAGACATTGGAAAGGTTGAATACAAAAGAAACTCTTATCTGCTGTTGGTTGAATGAAAGTTGGTGCAGCCACTGTAGATAGTGTTATGGAGATTTCTTAAGAAAATAAAAATGGAAATTCTGTATGATCCAGCAATACTTACATTAGGTATTAATGCAAATAATATGAAAATTCTAATACAAAAAGATTTAACTGTGCCTACATACATATCAGGACTGTCCTAATATGTCCACTATTGCCAAGTCATGGAGCCAAACATGTGCCCTTCAACAGATGAGTGAATAAAGAAATCTGGGAATGTATACTCAGTGGAATACCATACCACAATGAAAAAGATGAAGTATGGCATATGGGACAAAAATGAATGTACCTCGAGGAGATTGTTAAGCAATATAAGTCAAAGAGTGAATGACAGGGAACAGATGGTTTCACTCATCTGTAGAATATACACAAGCAAAATATTATAGGAATAAATCTTGAACTCAGTAAAAGAAAATAATGATTATCAGAAGGGATGGACAGAAGAAAGAGGAAGTAGGGAAGGGAGGCAGATGGGATATGTGTGCAGGTGATTTCAAGGAAGGTGAGTAGAAATGTGTACATATGGAAAAATAAGTATGTCAAAAAGAAATATATCATAAAAATCCTCCAATGGTGTGGGGAGGGAGACCCTGCATGGAATTTGGTTTACATCAATGCACATACATACACAAAAATTCTGCTTTATATGGATTATTTGTACCTTTATATGGATTATTTATACCTCTCACTCACGTACCCTTTAGAGTGGAAAGTGAATATGACAACTTACTTATTCATCACATTAAGCCTCTTGTAGCATTTCAAGAGCTTTATTTAAGGGGTTTGGAGATGGCATAGCTCCTTACTTCTAAAAGTTCATCTCCACTGAAAAGCTTCCCGCTGTGTCCAACAGGACCTTCTGGTAGAACAGATCGGATAAAATGATGCCCCACGGTTGCTTCCAGACTTATCCCCAACCCACTGTTTTCACTGAACTTGCTCACATGCGCCACCTGAAAGGAGAAACATCATCATAATTCTAATAATTTTCTTTTAGTACTTTTATAATGTATGTATTTAACAAAATGCTCAACTTCCTCACAAAAGCTTCAAAAATTTTATTGTAAAGATGCAAAGTTTGGGAGCTTCATCTTTGAAAGGTATTTGAAAGGGTATTGATGTCTCAGTTTCATGAACTACCATAAACCATATGGGTGCAGTCAGCTACAAGCACCCAAGACACTTTGCAGTTCCCACAGATGTTTCTAACAAATGGAGGATAGTCACAACTACCACAGATAAATACAAGGGGCTAATCTCAAGCAACACTATAGAAAAGGACCCACACTTAGCACTTACTACTGTGCTAACCCTTAGAGAAGTAGTTGTTATCATTTGCTTCTCATAAACAGAGCTAGTTTCCAACCCTATTTCCTATATTAGGAAAATGAAGTTTAAAGAAATGACTTTAACCAGGGTCACGCAGAGAAAGAGTTTTGAACCTAAGCAGTCTGAACTTTCTCCAAACTGAATTAATTTTTTTATACCTGACTCTGTACATTAAGTTCTTAAAAAAAAAAAAAAAAAAAGTCCTAGGCATTTGCTACTTCTCTAGGATTCTTTAGGATGGTCATCTTTATTACTGTAATGAACTTTCTACTCTCAAATATAGCTACAAGTTGGAAAGATAAGGTGGTAAGCTAACCTACCACTATTTCATAATTAATTCCCATAATCCTTTGCCACTTTGTCAGCAAAGCAGACTCCTGTTTTATATCTTCTGCCTCTTCAATCTCAGCTGACAGCAATGGATACCCTGAAAAACCATCAACAAAATTAAGTTAGTGACAAACTACAAAAGCGTCCCTTTCATAAACTTTGGAACATTGTAATCAGAACTTGTCTATCACAGAAGTCATGCTCTTCATCCAACATGAGTTACTCATTTCTCTACATATTCTAATAATTTTTTAAAGATTTATTTATTTATATATACCAGCAGTGGGTACAGTCAGAAGCGCGGGAGGATGAGTGAATTCACTAGAGTCAGAGCAGGGTGCAGGACAGACTGACGAAATACACTGCTGAGGGGAGCAGCAGGTGCAGCAGGAGAGAGGTCTGCGTGCCATGTGGGACCCTCACCAGGTGGCTGGGGATCGAACCGGCACTGCAGAGGCTGTGGGCAGCTTCCCAACACAATGCTCAACCACTGTGCCACCGGGGAGGCCCTACATATTCTAATAATTTAATTTAGCATGCTATCATTTGTATGTCAGCACTGTTCTAAAAGATCCCTTTTTTTTTAAAAGATTTATGTATGCATACAAGAACTGGGGTACAGTCCACATAGAGTGGGGAACAGAACATGCAGATCTACTGAAATACACTGCTGAGGGGAGCAGCACGGAAGACAGGAGAGGTCTGCTGCGCCACGTGGGTCACCTCCCTGGCGGGGGATCGAACTCATGCTGAAGAGGCTGTGGACAGCTTCATAGTGTTAAACCCCTTGCACCACCAGGGAGGCCCTAAAAGATCCCTTTTGAATCTTAACTATATTTCTATTAAAACATCTGATATTATCTAACTTTTTTTAAAATGAGTGAGGACTCTGAGTCACTACAAGATTCATTTGTTGTTTTTTTTTTTGTTTTGTTTTAGTTGCCCTTTTTTTTTTTTTTGGTTATAGTAAAAAAAACACACAGCCTTCTATGTTATTTTTATCACTTTTATTGTCATTTGGTTCTATGAAGGAAAAAAAAAAAAGACTGCACTATACCTAAGCAAAACAAACTGAATTAACAACATATGCAACTCATAAAAAAATATAAAGAAAACAGAAAAAACTGTGGTTGTATATTAGATAAAACCCCAAATTAGAATGCCACTAATTGGAAAATGGGAGATGGGGGGTATTTAGAAAATAAAATCACTAAACATTTACATAAACAATTTTACATGCTTACCTAATATAATGGGATGAATAAATTGTACTGGAGAACTATTGGTGCTTTAGCAGTGGGTGTGGTGCAGTAACATACATCTGAAGAGCTGTGATTCTACACCTCTGAATCATATACAAAGTTGTAAACCAATGTCACCACCATTTAAAAAAAAGCCTAACTAAAATAAAAACTGGTTAAGAATTTTTCTATTCAGTTAACTGTTCATTTATTTTTATTGAAGTAGCACTGGTTTATAAGGTTGTTTGTCATTCATAGGTTTAGAATCACACCTAATCAGATGTATGATACCATACCACACCACTGCTAAGGCATCCATAGTCCTCTATAATATTTTAAATCAAATTCAAAGATTTCCACTTTGCCTCATAATCTTTTAAGAAAATCTCTTTAACTCTTCAAATTAATTTTTAATATCATTTTTGGTATTCAAATTCAAATTTAAAGAGCATTCCAAATTCAGATTTCTCATTAGCTATCTCCTCTTTACTGGGAATTAATGAGCTTTCACTCCAGGGCTACTTGGCAAATTTCTTATGCCTTAAATAAATTTTGTCTGTCTCCACAAGAAACTAGAAATAAATAAATATATATATATATATATATATATATATTTTAGAGACTAGCCCCCCAAAATAAGTGTTTTCCTCTTCAAAAGTAAATTCAGTTAGGAGAAGGATGCAGGGCTAAACAAAAATTCTAAGATATCTCTGACCCTAATGAGGATTAGAAAGAGAAGAGTAGCTCAGAGTCCCTCTTCCTCCCACAACCCCTGATTTTGTTGTGTTTATATAACTGGGTAGTGACTCAAGCAATATGGAATTTTAAAGGGAGAAACTGGGGAATCTGTAAACTACTGATGAAGTTAACCTGACATCTGTATTCCTCCAACCAACCCACAGTCACATAACCCTCCCTCTCCTTTCCCAGCTCTCCTAAGACTGGATTTCATGAATATTTTAACAATCAAAATGTTCAGTTTTCTCATCTTACTATCAAGTCAAATGACTTGTTCACACTTACATGATAAGTCAGATTTGTGTGGAAGAGGCAATGAACTCCTCTTATTTCCTGTTTGAGGACCAGCTTTGGGGTAGATGCATTAAAATCACTTGCAATTTTTTCCTTCAGTTAAATTTATTTGAAAAAGATTTTATGACTTCTGATTCTAAGTCTAGAACCTCTCCCACCCATACTCCCACACACATATGCACATTTACCAAAGTCAAATAAATGTTTCTGAGCCTTTAGGAAGATGTCCTGTACTCATCCCCATAGACTCTCAAGTTTCATGCTTTGAAACATTTTTATCCTTTCCTACTATGCTAGGTATCCACTAAATAATTTCTTCAACTATTATGGTAGAAATGGCAAAATGCTATTAACCCATATGAATTTTACACATCTCACTTCTGGGCTATCACTGGAAACACAAATAATCCTTTAAAATAATAAAAGAAAATCAAAATTTTGAGCAAAAAAAAAAAAAACATGAATAATGAAGGAGATGCTTTAGAGAATTAGGAAGCGTTAATAATAGTACCTAGTAAAGGGCAGAATTTGCATGAAGAGAAGTCAATCTTGGACTGCAATGTTCAGTGGATTTAAATTACCAAAACCTCTAAAGTAATCTGACACATAAGGGAAACACACAATCTAAAAAGACTGTAGTAGGGCCTCCCCTGGTGGCACAGCGGTTGAGCGCTGGGCTACGAAGCTGCCTGCAGCCTCTGCAGCTCTGGTTCGATCCCTGGCCACTGGTGAGGGACTCACATGGCGCAACAGACCTCTCCTGCTGCGCCCACTGCTACCCTCAGCAGTGTACTTCATCAGTCTGCCTATTCTGTTCCCCGCTCTGGCTCTGGTGAATTCTCACACCCTCCTGCGCTTCTGACTGTACCCAGTGCTTGTATAAATAAATAAATCTTTAAAAAAAAATAAAAAATAAAATAAAAAGACTGTAGTAACTGGCTTAATAACATGTTAAAATGATGCTGCTATAAAATTTTTAAACAGCTTGGAGGATTCTAGGTTATAATAATGAAAGACATCTTAGGGGTTTAATAATTTGGAAAATTTCTTTCTAATTCAACATCTTAATATTAAAATTTACAACTTTTGAAATTTTTAGAAGTGAGGAAAAACTTTCCCAAAACCTCAGAGTTTCATTCCTAAGAGTTTATACTTTCAATCTCCAGTGTTTATTTTTAAATGCTTTATAATTTTATTACTGTTTGCTCAATAAGGTAGAGACACATGACTACACAGGAATAAAGGAACTGAATGAAAATAATTGATTTTAGCAACCCCTAAAGGCTATTTTGATCTACTAAATTAATAACATCTAGGGGCCTCCCTGGTAGCAGAAGGGGTTAAGACACAACCTATGACATAGCTGTCCGCAGCCACAGCAGCACGAGTTCAATCCCCAGCCAGCCAGGGAGAAACCCACATGGTGCAGCAGACCTCTCCTGACTTTCCCACTGCTCCCTTCAGCAGTGTACTTCTGTCATTCTGCCTGTTCTGTTCCCCACTCTGTCTCTGGTGAATCATCTCACCCCCCACACCTCTGGCCGGTATCCCATTTCTTGTATGCATAAACAAATAAATAAATATAAATTAATTAATAACATTAATAACATTAATTATAAGGATTTAAGAACTTTTAAAAATTCTTTAAGTAATTTGTTATATTCATAGAAACAATTATATTTGAAAAGTTCTGTCTAAAAAATGAAAAAAAAAAGATAAACTGGGTACAGGTGTTTACCTTCTTCTTCAATTGGTAATATGCTGGTGTTTCTCCTCAAAGATAAAGAATCTTCATCTTTTTCTGAAATATAAGAATAGCTCATAGTTACTTTTTTTTTTTTTTTTTGGTGGGACCCTCGCCGGTGGCTGGGGATCAAACTGGTGCTGCAGAGGCTGCGGGCAGCCTCGCAACCCAGTGCTCAACCGCTGTGCCACCAGGGTAGGCCCTCATAGTTACATTTTTAATATAAGCAAGCAGTTGAATTTTTCCAAACCCACTGCATTTATATAAACCCTACCCTGAAAGTTTGTATTTTGTATGTAGACTTTTCAATAACCATATGTGCTTAAGAAAAGTTCATTAATGGGAAAAAGTATAAATATCTCCTTTGATTTGCCTCCTGTATCCTAGAACTGCAATAACTACTACATGGCATAAATTACAAAATGATCAGTTTGAGAAGCGAAGCAGCATTTTTATGCCAACAACCTTTCATCTATGCACCCTTACATCAGTGAGTTACATGGAGATGTCAGTAATTTTCAGACATACTCATGCACAAAGAGCTTACAAAAAACATTTTAAATGTGAAATTAAAGTTGATTCCTTCAAGGATAGGTTGGGTATTCAGAGACACCACAGGACTCACATAAATAAACTAATGTTCCCATCTCCTGAAAGAGGAAACATTGCAGTGAAATAAAAAACTGGCCTGAGACAGAAAGGTAAATGACTATGCACGATTCCAACAGAGAAATGGTGATTGAATAAGATAGGAAGAAATATGATTTATTCAGATGTTCATTTCTACAGTTAATGGACACACTGTTGGTTCCAGTTAATCCCAACTTCATTAAATTTCCATTTTCTTGATCACTAATAGACATTTAAGAGTAGAAATCATTTTTTAAATAAATTATTTGAGAAGGAAGAAAAAAACCTTAATGACATGAATGTGTAACTAAGCAGATTAACCTGGCATTACCTTTGCTTATGCTGGTATCAACAGGAGACAAAACCACCTCTTTTGTGACTTCCTCCCTTGATGGGAGCTCAGCTTCTTGCTTCATTCCTCTCCTCATCAGTGTCAGGTGTACAGTTTGTCCTGTGTGTCTCAACACCTCTACTGCCTGTTGATTGGTAAAACCCTGCAGGTTTGTGCCATCTACCTGTGATAAAAACATGTTTTTTTTAAATGGATATTTGTATTACCAATTCACCAAATGCATGTTTATTGCTTGTTAGTATGAAAAGAATGGAGAATAAGTACTTCCCTAATTGGAGAATGGGCATGACAATACTCTAATACCTTTTAGAGATTAGCTTATTTTCACTAGAATCACTCAGGAGGGTTTCATTTAATATAAATTATAGCATCCCATTTCTAGAAATTGTAAGTCAACAGTCTATGGTAAGGGCCAAGCTTCTATACCTTTTAAACCATTTTTTTATATTTCTCAGGTGATCCTGATGTACACAAATATACATATTACAAAGTCATATTTATATTGACTTTAAAAGGGAAAGACAACAAAATTGTCTTTATATCTTTCTTTTCAAAGAGTGTATGATTTTTCCATCTTCTCCAGCTCAGAAATAACACTACATTTGAAATGCCACTGTGATCATTCCAAATTTACATCATCTTATCTCCCCAGCATTGCTTCCACAGAACATTCCTCAAGATAATACTCCAAATTTTCAACAAAACTTAGAAAGGCATGTATCAACGGCCCTTACTTTCCATCACCATCCATCCTGAATAATGCTACCTATCACTCTTGTCCTCTAATTCCAGGGAGCTCATTCCAATTCCTTCATCCTGCAATGATTCCCTCAGCCATAGGGTCCCCCAAAAGTTCTGACCCTCAGTGTAGTTCCTTGATAGCCCATTCCAGTAAGTGCTACTTTCATTTGTTCATGTAGAAAACACCTATAACTGCTTTCGAGTGCACTCCAATAGTTACTTCCAAAGTTATGCTGATGTTCCGGACCACACTCAAAGTCTTCTTTTACCCATTCTACTTAATAACATTTATCAGCATTTTAATTTTACATTTCCTGTCATTTTGTGCCTTATGACTACATGCCTGAAGAGGATTGGACTCTGTCATTTTTGTTTACAATCATGTCACCAAAACAGAGCCATCTGCTCAGTTACACATGCACCCAAAATGAAAATACTAAGCCACTGACTAATACATCAAAGACTTATTTGTAAAGCAAATTACTTTGGGGGTGGGGAATAAATGTAGATTATACCAAGAGATTTTTATTTCATAAAGTAAAAGTGAAAAGTTTGGAAAAGTAGAACAAATTTTTAATGTACTTCATTTAAAATGTAATAAAATTCCAATAATTGATATTATTTCCATTTGTGAAATGACTATAGCAATGGCTATGCTTTGTTATTATAATTGCTAAGTTATAATAGATTGGTTCACAAGATGAAATGCCCTTATCGCAGATGTTTCTGGAAGAATGTAAAATTTCTAATTACACATATTTGTTTAATCTCATTTGTTTTATTATATATCCATATATCTGTTTTATATATAACAAAATAAAATGTACAATATAATTTATAATGTATAAACCAATCTATATTGTATCTGAACATGTAAAAAAGGAAGAAAAGGGATGGAGAAAGGAACAGTTAATTTTAGTTTTAATAATGGGCACATTCAATCAAAAATTTGGAGACTGATCTAAATGATGAGCTTATACTTGGCAAGTTCGCTAAGTTTTATATAATACTTTAAGTCTTGTATAATACTTGTTAACAGTAATATGGAAGCTTGAACACAGATGTCTAACCCTGTTCTCTTTCCTCTTACCATCACACTGTTGTTTCTCTTTGGTTCAACTAACAAAAATCTAGTAATAGTGAAAATACCGCAACAGAACTGGAAACTAAAGAATAAAAGTTCTTACACAAAGTAACTAGAAGAAAATTCTATGACCACAATATAACCAGGTTGAAGGCAGATCAACTGAATCTATATCAGGGAATAACTTGTGTGGTTGAGGAAGAAACCAGTAAAAATACAACAACAGCCTCTCATTTAAAGGAGGCAACTGAGTAATAAATGTAAATCCTAATCAGTGATTCCAAGAAATACAATACATGCCAGAGGTCACATCGAATTAGGAACATACAGTAGCAGAATATTACTTACATATAATGGTACAACACTATGTAAACAGGCACACACAAAAAACACCAACTCCTATACTACTAACAACACAAGAAACAATCTCTCAGTCCAAACTCCTGGAGAAGGTGCATGTACAGAAGCCTCAGCACAAACACCTTCCTATGAAATTGTTAGTGCAATGACTAGGAAAATAGATATTATTTTGAAAATTCCTTTCAAAAGGATTCAGATTTCATTGTATTTATGAAAATAGAGATTATGGAATAGTTAACAAAGAAAAAACAAGAATCTACCAAAAAGGAAAAAGAAAACTATTACAATGAAGACTGTTAATTTGATTTTAAATACTGTAAAAACAGGGAATGGAAGATAAGATCATACAATTTTTCTGTTTCAAAGGAGAAAAATAAACAGACAAAATGATCTAAGAAATATGACTGAGTGCATACAGGCTGACCTAGGAAATTCAACATAGTTGTGAAAAGAATTATAAGGAGAGATAAAGAAGGAAAAAAATAGAGAAATCATTAGGAGGTATGGACATTTACCTCAGCCTACAGATCAAAGATACATGAAAAAAAATGAAGAAAAAAAAATAGCACCTGATTATATATACTGGTAAAATTCTTCAAAGATCCAAAGAAAAAACTTCTATCAGTATCTAAGCAACAGAGTGAACAGGTTATCCAGAGAACTTGTGATAAAGAAATTATGAAAACCAAGAGTTTTATATATAGTGTAACGTGTGAAAATGAAAATTATGGTTGTGATGCTATGGTTATTTATATCTATACATAACCAAAGTGAGTTGAGAGGGGCTACCATGCAGAAATTTAAGCTAAGTGGCTAAGAACTATAGCTCACACATATTTGGGGCATAAAGGGGCTGGGATATTTAAAGTAAGAAAAAGAATGAGCTCATTTTGAAGAGTTCTATAATCCCTACCCTACCCACTCAGATATTTCACTCCTGGCTTCATATCAGAGGATTTTGTCACTTGCAGTAGGGAAAGATACAGAGGACTGTGTCTAACTTCATCAGATGGGGACAGGAGAGGCTGTTTAGTTACTTTGACAGTGGAGGAGAAAATTGCTGTCATGCTGGGAAATGTCAACAAACTGACCTTCCACAAAAAACAGAGGAGGGAAGTACATAAGAAAAACAAGGGCTAAGGACATTTAGAAATCACCCAAGAACATCTGTTGGAGGTGGCCACCCTGCGTAGTGAGCAAAAGGGCCTTGACCCGAGTCTCTAAGGCATGTGAAAACACATGCATCTCGGAGGAAAACCTCTGAGTGACAGGACTTGGTGTTGAGAGCCTGGAAAGTGACCTGCGTGGAGTCGGGCTTCTACATCTCCACAGTCTGAGAATAACAAAATGGAGAGATCCTGTGCAGTAAGCAGAAGGGCCTTGACCTGAGTCCCTAAGGCATGTGAAAACACATGTGTCTCGGAGGAAAACCTCTGGGTGACAGGAATTGGTGTTGAGAGCCTGGAAGTGAACTGCGTACATCTCCACAGATTGACAACAACAAAATAATGAGCGAACTTCCCAGGCTCAGGCTAGGAGGCGATAAGATTATGTGTGTGAGAACTAACCGCCTGGTATCCTACTGTCTGAAGTAAATAGATAATAGTAAGAAAATAGACTAACCATTCATACATGTTATCATTATGTGGTATGCTTTGATGTTACACCTGCTACAATTAAAATAGTATATAATGAGCACTAAGACAATAAAGATTTGCTGCATGCTGGACATGACAGTCCCCCATGTCTGATTTCCCTCACCGTCGCGGTTCAGGCTGGGACTCACTAGAAGTCCACAAACATCCCCAAAGGATGATAGGACCCAAAAGTGAGGACCTACAAACTGCAGAGAAACTAGGAGGAACAGGTAAGTAGTGTCAGTCAGACGGAAAAAACAAAAACAAAAAAACTCTGTTTTTCAGTTAAAGTTAAGTATTAAGTCAAGTATCACCACTGGGATAACCCAGGAACTCTGGAATAAAGAAGGAACGCTCAGTGACAATTTTAAATGTTCAGCAATAGTCTCTCCAAGCATAGAGCCATCTTATAGCAAGGATGAAATGTCTCACAATCCTTACCAACCTTCCTTCTCATCTTGCAAACTGTCAGGATCAAAAACCACAATAAGAAAGTGAGAAAGGAAAAGACAAGCTAGGTAGGGAAAGTCAGACTGGACGCACACCCTATCCTTGAGTCAGTAATCAGTTCATAGAAGACTTTTTGGCTGGGGTACAGTTTAAAATCAAATTATTATTTAGAATATTTTTAATTACTAAATTGAATCAATATTTGATGATTCTGATTGACCATAGGACATTTTATTGTCTGAAAATACATATGTCACGGGACTTGCTAAGATTTTTTTCCCAAGGAAAAGGAAAGATTCCTTGCTATAAAGGAAAGATTCTTTGCTATTAAAAATTGCACTATGAAGCAATCCGCAGCCTCTGCAGCACGATCCCCAGCCAGCCAGGGAGCAACCCACATGGTACAGCAGACCTCTCCTGACTCGCCTGCTGCTTCCCTCAGCAGTGTACTTCAGTCAGTCTGTTCTGTTCCCCACTTTGTCTCTGGTGAATCCTCTCACTCCTCCAGCATCACTGGCCTGTACCCCAGTTCTTGTATACATAAATAAATACATCTTTGAAAAAATAAAAATTAAAAGGGATGGGCAATAATAAAATTTTGAAAATTGTTTAAAATTATCCTCCCTACGTCTTCCATATGCAATTTTTGTTATCTCAGCCAAACAGTCTAAGTGTACAAAGACGACAAAAGAGATTCTCAGACATAAAAGGTCCAGAAAACCTAAGTTCTCTTCTTGTAAATTATGCTGAAAATATTGTTGATGGAATATTAGTCAAACTTAAAGTTTGAAGAAAATTGGAGCATATAAGAGCCAGTGCTAAGTAATTTTTTTATTTTATTTTTTTAAAATTTTAATTTTTTTGAAAAGTAAAAATCCACTTTAAATAATA